AGACAACGTTCAAGGAGACAGTAATGTCTAGATGTTTCAGAATCAGAATGTTTATGTGTTTTATCACAGGTTTCGTATTTCTTTTTCTCCTCAGAACTGTCATTTCTATTTTTTTCGTAGAAATTTGTACAAGACGAAAGTGTTTTGAAGATGTGGAAACAAAAGGCATTTCCACCCGTTAAATCGGGGGGGGGGGGGGGCAGAGGGAGGTTGAGGACTGAGGAGGTATTAAATTAAAATGAACACGTTTTAATGTTCAGAATAGACTGAATGTGGGAGAAATGCACACTGAGGCAAACCACACGTGATGCATCTGAAGTTATCGTTTCAGCCTGGTGGAAATGATCGATGTTTCTTTCCTGTAGATAAAGCCTGTTTTCAGTGACACTTAGTTGTTGCCATTTTTTTTGTTCCCAAAAGATTAAAACCACAACTATTTTGTATTGAATGCAATGCAAACTCTGTCTGGTATTTTTGTGTGACTTGTACTTGGGTTTATTTTTTTAACAAGGAATTAATTACGGGACTTCTCGGAAATGAATAAACCCGAAAGCGAAGACATTTAAAGGAGAACAAGTTTCAGTGTCACAAAGCTCATTTTGAAGGATTCTGTGCATCTCCCTTTGCTAATATACCTTTATGTAGTGATTCTTTTAATTCCATGTAGACAAACCCCCCTTCTAGAGATGTTAAGAGTTGTTATGGTAAAATATGCCGTCACACATTGTTCAGAAAAGTCAACGTTTTTTTTTACAATCCATTTCAACTTATCCCTTTCTGACCATTCATATAGAAATACAACGCCCTCATTTTAATGTAGAACATCAGATTACAAAAAACAACACTAAACATACATATATTCCTCATTTCTATTGGTTTATGAAAATATGTGAGATTACATCTTTCTCATATGTAATAGATTATTTATTTTGTTCATTGCAGCTCATACTGGCAAAACAGCCTTCAGCAGCCCCGTTTTCTCCTTATGTACACATGTTACATTCTTTTTCTCTGAAAAGTAACAATCAAGGTGAAGTTGTTAAGTTAACCAAATGTTAGTTGAAAAGACCAAATGAATTATGTTACGAAATACACAAGAAATATACAAGAGTTGCAACTTAAAGAGTTGTTATCGCGCAGAATTGGCCATGTTGTGCTATTATCTAGTTCACATAAATATTATTTTTCTATGTAGTAAAGAAAGTGTAGAAATAGAATGAAAACGCTTAATCAGCCTCGTCTTAACGACAACTGTGACTTTAATTGAAAGCAAACACAACCGTTGGTTGTTTGTTTCATGAAACGACTCTCGTGGTCTACAACAATCAGGCTGTTGCACAAACAATGTACAGCTTACATCAGGATTTGGGTCAACAGTAAGAGAAGCGTCCTCCTTTCTCTTTGTCCATATAATTGAACTTTGTCCAGCGACCTCTGACCTCCGCTTAGCCCGGCGGCAGGTGGCCCCCTGGGATCTGGTAGCTGTAACCCGGACACACCTTTTGTACCAGTCTGTAGTCGACGCTGTAGAAAGACACGTAGACGCAGATGACCCGGAAGGGTTTGGAGCAGGTCCAGGTGACGTAGCTCTGGGTCTGCTCCTGAGCGCACGTCTTGGACGGGTCGTAGTGACACGGCGTCACCTTCTTGTTGCTCTCCGTCTTCCCGTAGCCCGCCCGGCAGTTGAACGTCTTCGAGTCCTTCGGGTTGACCACGCTCTGACGCTCCAGATCGAACTCCACCTCCCTCGTGGGCGGGACGAGGCTCACGGACACGTTGCCCACACCCGTGGAGTTGTGGCGGAAGTAGACGCCGAGAGAGCCGTTCCCGTGGTCCACCATCTTGCCCATTATCAGAAGATTCAGTTTGACGGTTTTGATGTTGGAGTAAAAATCCCCCCAGCTGAACGTTGTGGAGAATTTAGACGTCGCTTGGACCTTCAAGACGGGACGAAGCTTTATCTTGAAGGAAGGGTGGGGTTGTGACCGTGAGTGTCCCCCAGGTCCGTCCAGAAGTCCCCGCTTTGTTGGACCACTTAAAGGGCTGACAGGCAGCTCAGTGCTCCTGGTTTGAAGCCCCCGGCCTTTTTGAGAAGAAGGGTCCTGATCTCCGTTGAGTTCAGCTCTCTGGCTGATGGGGATGTTTGCGTGATGTTGCCCGAGTACCAACTATCCAGAGAATGAATGAAAGACATTTCAACATTAATAATAAATAGATAAGAACGATCAGGGATTCATGTTCCAACTCACCGAACAAAAGGTTCCTTCCAGGAGCATCCACACAAAGCACCGCCCGAGGAACATCTCCATGGTACGCATCTCAAGATCCATCCACTCTGCCCACCTGACCTTCACTCAGGAGGAGGCGAGCTTCTGAAAACGTCTGCATCCGCATCAGGCGCAGGTGGAGGTGGAGCAGCCTTCTGCCGGCTCCACCGGGTCCTCTGACCGCGAGGCTTTGTTGGACCTGGAGGTTTTCTACACTTTGCTGTGATTGGCCTCTCTCTCTCTCTTTCCCTCTCTCACCCTCTCTCACCCACCCACCCCCACAGACCCTTTGATTTAACTGTATCGCTCCTGTTGTCCTCCCTCTGCTCTTCTTTTCAGTGAGAGAAATGCCCTCTTGTCATGTTTCGGGTGATGAACTAATTTGACTGACAGGAGGCCCACTGCTCCAACGTGATGCTGCCACTCTGTGGCCGGATAGCAAACTCCAGTCTGATAAATGGAAGAGACCAATTAAATGCAACTACGTGATAAATAAGTCCCCTGAAAACTCTTCAATAACATTGGTTATTTGTCTTTAAAACAATTAAGTTTGACAAAAAAACTCTTTCATTAAAAAATGATGATTAAAAGTGTGTTAAATAGCATGTTAAGCAAATTATACTTGTTACAAAGAAAAATCTCTGACCTGTAAAAAAATCATAAGAAGGATAAAAAGTGAGATTGTGTTGTGTTAAGCGACCAGCCACTGAAATGTCGTCATCATTAAAGATTATTTCTTTCTTTCTTTCTTTCTTGTGCATGGCTGCAAATAATAATAACCAACAAAGACAATAACACTCAGCTGAAGCCGACCGAGCGGAGATTGGATCTCTTCTGCTACATGAATTCCCAGTAAACGACATTGTGTCACGAAAGAAAAGCGCACGCTTTCCTTGTAAATTCTGGTAATTCAAGCTACAGAATAGCGTCACTAAATTGAAGGCAGCGATGAAATACGAGTCCAGAAAACGTAATTTAATTCCGTCGTGCGATGTAGATTATTGGGGGCTCAAGATTCTTGGATTTTCTCACACCTGCAAAATGTCCTGCATCTTCCTTCGAGGCTCAGGTTGCGTTGCAGGTTTTTGTTTTTCTGACGTTTCCTGGTCCAGAGTTACGGAAAGGAAGGAGGTTAAAAGAAAAAGGTTATCAATTTACCTATCCAGGGGAAATGTAATACAGCAACAAACACCGAACGCTGCAGCAAACAACCCTCAAACAATGCCAGGCGTTACTTGTATAAAGCCTGGCACAGCGCAGGGTTCTCACACCGATGAAGGGCCGCAGGAGCTAAAGAAGAGTAAGTCCATTGTTACGTGAGGAAAGGTAATTCTTTTAGTTTCTATTTTCTTAAGATATGATTTATCTGCTTGCTTCATATTTGTTTGTTACCATATAAATGTCTATATGCAGGACTTTGCAGTACATGCACACGAAAGTAGTTTGGTGTGCAGGAATGAGCATTTCGATGTGTATCCGGATCAATAGGAATTTAAATATCTAAATACCTTTGGCTCTTCAGAATGGACTTTATTCACCGCGTGTGCTCATGTGTACATGTTATTTGATTTGCTCTCTTTTAAAATTGAAATGACTTTGGTCACCAGCTTTGATGCTTTGGAGAATGGTGTCCCTTGTGTGGCCTGTGCTTGCTTTGGTCACGATAAGTAAGTATCGCATTCTGTTTTGATAAATGTACATTTATTTTAGTGTTTAAGTTAATTCAATAACTGACTTTTTTTTTTCATTGTTAGCAGACTGAATTTTATCTAAATATATCTGTCTGTTTTCACAGGTACGGTTACTTCTCAGAATTCAGGTAAATTGCAGTTTGAATCCCTTAGTTAATTTTCCATGCTGTTACCATGGCATTCATACAGTCACAGTTTAGCCAGGAGGAAGTTACAGCATGACATGAAAAAGTGGCTTCTGATGGGTCAGAATATTAGAATATTATTTTGTGATTGTTGAATCACAAAACCACAAATAACACAAAAGGCATATTTGGTAGATATGGTATAACATGGGTACGATAGGCTAGGTGTGCTGATCTAGAAATATATAAAAAAGGAGGTGAAACATTTGACAATGAGACCACTATGTAAGGATATTACATTTTTTCTTAATGTCTTTTGTTAGGACCCCTCTACCCAATTGTTGGATTAAGAAGCGGAAACTCAGATGATGGAAGTTCTCCCCAAATTCTCCTGCAACGACCTTTTCCGTATTTTGGACATTCATATGATCAGATTTATGTATGTTAATATAATATATAATCCATATATTTTATGTTTTGTCGAGGAATCATCTTCTCATCCACTGCTTCGCAGTTCCTTCCAATACAAGGACTATTTTGTAAATTGGCGAAAAATAACGTACTAATTGTTAGTGTGAACCTGTGTGAATTATTTCCAGGTAAACCATAATGGACATCTGACCTTTGACACACCTTGGAGTAGCTACGTACCTCAACCGTTTCCACTGTATGGATCCAGGGACATCATTGCTCCATTCTGGACTGATTTAGACAACAGAATAAATGGTCAGGTCTACTACAACCAATACACCAGCAGCAGCATCCTCCTCCAACAAGCTACGCGAGACATTCGTCGCTACTTCCCAGAATTGAGCTTCAGTGCCGAATGGGTGTTTGTTGCAACATGGAACGAGGTGGCTTACTATCCCAACTCTGGAACCGTAAGTTATTTTGTTCTAAATGAGGAAACTCATAGGATGTGTATTTAACCTTTCACAACCTATATTTACTATAATAAGTAATTCTATTTTCAGCAAACAACGTTTCAAGCAGTCTTGATCTCTGGCGGCCAGTACTCATTTGTGCTGATGAATTATGGGATAATAGCCCCAACACGTTCCAATATACAGGTCGGAGGCGATCAAATGATATGTGACTTGCTCAAATCTGAATGCAGATGAACGAAATCCCCAAAAATAATATTACCTTTTATTTATGTGACGTATCTATTTACAGGCTGGCTATGACACAATGAACTCCACTCACCATTTCACCATCCCTGGATCTTTTTCTACCGCGGCATCAGGCAATGACGCAAATTTCCGCCTGAGGAGCAATGTCCATGTACCCGGTCGTTGGGCTTTCCGGACCGATGATGGATCAAGAGGCTGTATTTACAGGGGTAAGATCAAAACCAGAGGGTGGTCACCATAGGTGGTTCTTTACAGGTCATGTGGCTGTGTGATCATCACTCTAAAAAAAAATGTAAAAGGAGGACTGTTGAAAAAACAGTTTTTTAACTAAATCAACAAATATTTTTAATGCTGCTGAGACTGCTCAGTAGAAAGTGCATGCTGCTATTACATTACAATATGGCGGCATATAATTGATCTGCATTGCAAGTTCATTTCTTTTCTTTTCATGCCACAATAGTTCCCAAAAGGCAAATGGTTAATTGTTGTCCCAAGTTTAAGGCGGCTGGCGATATTTCTTGCGTGGCATCTTATTTCTCGTTTAATCCCCTAATCATTGTCACCATTCTACTGTTTTGAGTCTGTACCTTGATGTGACCTTTCGCTTCAATTCTTCTGTAGGTGAAACAGTGCAGCTGGGTGACTCATTCTGGAGTGACCGTACCTGTGCGCAGAAGTGCACCTGCACCTCATCAGGCCTGCAGTGTCACAGCAAAAGCTGCTCCTTTTCCCAAATCTGTCAACCCGCTGCCTTTCAGTTCTCCTGCCAGACTGTGCAGAGAGGCTCCTGCAGCATAAGTGGTGATCCACATTACTATACCTTTGATCAAACAGTCTTCCACTTCCAAGGCACCTGCACTTACGTTCTCTCTGAGCAATGTGGTCGTGGGTTGCCCTACTACAGAGTAGAGGGCAAGAATGAGCATCGGGGCAGCACCCAGGTTTCCTGGACACGACTGGTTAAAGTGTTTGTCTCTAATGAATCCATTGAGCTTGTCAAGGGACGTCGCGGTGCAGTTAAGGTAAGCAACTAGAAATAAATGTCACTTACTGTGACATTTTTGTTGTGGTCAAAGTTCCAAAGCTATGTCTTACCTTGTTGTTGTGTTTACAGGTTAATGGCATCTTTGCAGACACTCCATTCTATCTCAACAACGGCACGATACAGGTTTATGAGTCCGGGTTTTCTGTGATCGTCAGTACTGACTTTGGCTTGGAGGTGTCTTATGACACAAATCATTATGTGAAGATCAGTGTGCCCTACACGTACCAGAATGCAACATGTGGCCTGTGTGGAAACTTCAACAATGATGGCAGGGATGACTTCATAACCAGACAAGGAGTAAATGTAAACTCGGCTGTGGTCTTTGCCAACAGCTGGCAAGTATCAGGAGCGGACGAGCCTGGTTGTGAGGCGCGGTGTGGAGGTCTGAGCTGTGCTACCTGTACTGCGGCTCAGACTGCTTTATACAGCAACACTGCCCATTGCGGTATCCTCCAAAATAGCTCTGGACCTTTTGCTGCTTGCCACGACACACTTTCCCCACAGCGCTTTGTGCAAAGCTGTGTGTATGATATGTGTGTAGGAGAAGGATATCAACCCATTCTGTGCCAAGCTCTGAATGTGTACGCAAGACAGTGTCAACAGAACGGTATACAGCTGCCAAGCTGGAGGAGACAAGACTTTTGTGGTATGTCTGTCAGTCAGAAGACATTATTTCAAACAATGCTTGGGCTACAATGTTCATGACGTCGATAGCACTGTGCTTTTCTTTTGTCTAGAGATCCAATGTCCTGCCAACAGCCACTTTGAGCCCCAAGGGACCGCATGTCCAGCTACCTGCGTCAACCAAAATTCTACCCAAGGCTGCCCTCTTCCTGTCCAAGAGAGCTGCCTCTGCAATTCAGGCTACATCCTTAGTGCTGGAATCTGCATCCCTCATGCTGAGTGTGGCTGCCGCTTTGAGGGTAGCTACTACTGCTCGGGAGTAACTGTAATACTAGACGAGGACTGTCGGAGGCGTTGTACCTGCAGTTATGGCTCCATGACTTGCCGCCCCCATGGTTGTGGCCCACTTGAATCATGCAGGGTGGAGGAGGGAGAAAGAGGATGCAGACCCAACAGCTATGGCACATGCTGGATGAAAGGCCCAGGGTCATATTACACGTTTGATGGATTGACGTACCAGTATCCCGGCGCGTGCCGATTGACCCTTGCCAAAGTAATGGGATTGTCTAGTTACCCACATTTTGCGGTGACAGCAGAGAAACTGCCTGCAGGCCAGCAGGGGTTTTCTAGGCTGCTAAAGTTTGAGGCTATGGGAATACAGGTGTCCATTGAGATGGCAAGTAGCAGCAGAGTGATGGTAAGTCTATTTAATCGTTTCTTTTGAATGGTTAACAGCACACAACCTTTCTTAACTCTTGAGCATTTCAACTGTCCCTTCAGGTTGATGGACAGCAGATAAGACTACCATTCAGCTCGGCATCCAACCAAATCCAAATCTACCACAGCAGCATTCACAGCATCATGCTTCGCACGTCCTTTGGTGTAACTATACAGAGCATTTGGCCTCACTTTGTGCGTGTCACCGCTCCTGGTATCTACAACGGTTCATTAGGTGGACTCTGTGGAAACTACAATGGACAGCCTCATGACGACTTCCGCACACCCAATGGAATTCTGGTAAACAGCTCTCAGGGCTTTGGGGACAGTTGGCGGGACGGCTCCCTCTCTGCACACTGTGTGGAAAGAGTGAATAATAACTCTACAACCAATTACAATTCTAGTGAGTATTGTGGCATTCTTGGTTCCCCACATGGGCCGTTTGCCCAATGCTGGGCCATGGGGAGCTCCCAGCAGCACGTGGATGCCTGTGGGGAGATCATTAGAGCCTCTAGAGATCCAGCATCAGCGCTATGTGAGGTCCTACGAGATTACGCACTAATGTGTCAACAGAAGGGAATTGCCGTTGGACATTGGAGGAATGCAACTCACTGTGGTAAGCACTTTTTTGTGATACATGATACACGTCATGATAATGACGTAGCATAATAAATTGCTTTTCTCCAGAGCAAAACTGCCCCCAAAACAGCCACCCAGAAGTCTGTGGAAGCTCCTGTCCTTCCACCTGCCCCAGCCTCTCCTTCCCTTTCGTCTGTGACACCGTGTGCCAGGATGGGTGTCAGTGTGATGATGGGTTTGTCATCGACGGCAACCGGTGTGTGCGACCTACAGCCTGCGGATGCTATCACCAAGGACGCTATCGGCAGGGAGGCGAGCAGTTCTGGGATGGGGAAGAGTGTCAGAGTTTGTGTACCTGTAGAGGCACAACTGGGCTAGTCCACTGTATCGCCAACGCCTGTGGTCCCCAGGAGTCCTGCCGTGTGGTGGAGGGTGAGTTTGGCTGCCATCCCGACCCTCATGGCACATGCTCTGCCTCTGGTGACCCGCACTACCTCACCTTTGATCGCAAGGCCTATGACTTCCAGGGCACCTGCCGCTATGTTTTGGCGACTGTCTGTAATGACACTGATGGGCTTCACCAATTTTCTGTGGAAGCTAAGAATGAGCCAGTTAACGGGTGGCCAGTTTCAGTGACGGCAGAAGTTTTTGTGAATGTGGCTGGCTATCGTGTGCATATGTCGAGGGAGAGCCAAGGTGTGGTACAGGTGAGTTACACAAACTCTAAACAGTTGGAGACACTCTGACTCTCCTTGAATAAGGTGGTTGCAACCTACAAGCTATAATTGTTAATCCAATTTTCTTTATATATTGTGACAGGTGAACGGAGTAACTAAAAACTTACCTATCCTCCTGAATGGAAGTCACGTTTCTATCCACGCTAGTGGATTTCGCACATACGTCAGTGCCGATTTTGGCCTGAGTGTCATGTACGATGGATGGTATACAGTGTCTGTCTCTGTACCTCCAAGTTACAGGTGACTGCCATTTACTACAGCGCACGTTTCAATACTTTACGTTCTAAAAAAATGTTTTATTACACATTTTTAATTAATGTAGGTTCGATGTATAAACATATTTTTGGTGTCGTTACCACAGAGGAAAAACACGTGGACTTTGTGGTAACTTCAATGGCAATCCAAATGATGACTTCCACACCCAATCTGGGATGATGGTTACCACTCCACAGGAGTTTGGGACCGCCTGGAAGGTGGCAGGCAACTACACCTGCAGCGATGGGTGTGGCTCCTCCTGTCCACAATGCACCAATGAGCGACCTGCCAGAGCCCGATGTGACGTGATTCAGGCATCTGACGGCCCCTTAAGCTTCTGTCATGAGCTGGTGAACCCAGCGCCATATTTCAGTAACTGTGTGTTTGATGTTTGTGCTTCGCGAAGTGAAGACCAAGACCTTCTGTGCAGAGCCATTGATTCATACGTCAGTGCCTGTCAGTCCGCGAATGTTCAAATCTACCCTTGGAGACAGAACACCACCTGCAGTAATTCAACAATCTATTCATCATTTAAAACAAAGAAGTTTAGAAAACTGGTTACCATTAGAACGCACAAAGGATGTCCTTACTGGTTACCGTATCCAATACATATCAGGATAATGGCTACAAGTCATTATTTCATAACAATCTGATAATCACCATTTCTTTCCTCATTTATATAGGACTCGACTGTCCCGCAAACAGCCATTACGAGCTGTGTGGCATTGACTGTGGACACACCTGTGCCAGCAGCGTTGATGCCATCTGTGAGCCGGTTTGCTCTGAGGGATGTTTCTGTGATGAAGGTTTTCTCCGGAGCGGGACAAAATGTGTCCCCGTGGAAAGCTGTGGCTGTCTATACGACGGGTTCTACTATAATGTAAGTCATAAGGCTCTTCATGGATAAGACACCAGATTTGCATATCTGTTTCCAAGTAATTCACCTTAATAATTCAGCCTGTTTACAGTAAAAATACATTTTAAAGTGCCTTCTGTGCATGGCGATCTTGTTGCAATCTTTTTTATGAAAACTTCACTATCCCATCTCCCACAGCAGTTTCTTCATCATCATCATCATTATCATCATTTTTAATGCGTCTCTTTTTCTCATATGTTACAGGCTGGTGAGTCCTTCTGGACCGAGCGGTGCTCCCAGCGATGTGAATGCCACGCTCCCAATGACCTTCGCTGTTCTGCCGCGTCTTGCACTAATGCACAAGGGTGCACCATCAGAAATGGCCAGCTGGGCTGTTTTGACCATATGTCTACGTGCACTGTGTGGGGCGACCCACACTACGTCACCTTTGATGGGGTACTGGCCCATTTCCAGGGCACATGCTCGTACATCATAACTGAGAGTGTGAACCACGGAATGAATGAAACACAGTTTCAAGTAGTCGCCACCAACAATCATCGTGGCAGCAAACGTGTGTCGTTTGTGTCAGCAGTGGATGTTTACCTCTCACATCAATCAGAGGAAGTGCATGTATGGATTGGACCCAATAAAAGAGTAAAGGTAAGCTCTTAATTGGTTTAAAGATGAACATCTTTCTGTATATCTGTATTGTTAAGTAACAATATCTGCCTCCTGTCTCTCTACGTCTTTCTTCCCACCAGGTAAATGGAGGTGAGGTGTCTCTTCCCACCACTGTTGGAACTTTAGCTCAGCTAGTAAGACAAGGAAGTTACATCGTGGTTGAGGCTATGGACTTGAGAGTTCACTTTGACGGCCAAAGCACCTTACTGGTCCGAGTGGACCAGTACCGTCAGAATCGAGTCACAGGCATGTGTGGAAACCTCAACAGGGATCCTTCGGATGACAAAGTTTTGTCCAATGGCACATTGGCACAAAATGACAATCAGTTTGGACACAGCTGGAAGTCATCGACAAGCCAACCAGGGTGAGATGTTATGAAAAGAAAAGGCAGGGCTAACAGAACATAAAGAAACAACAATACCGATATTGCAGAAGAATTAATGGAAAAAATCAAAGTCAGCTAAAGTGTTCAACGTTTACCATCTTTTCCAGATGTGGATCCACTGATGAAGACAGTGGGGACGGATTGAGCGACTGTCTCTTTCTGCAAGAATACTCAGAGCTCTGTAGTGTCATCACCAACAGTAGCGGTCCCTTCGGTGCCTGTCACGTGCAATCTGACCCACAGCCATTTTTCGGTTCCTGCGTCTATGACCTCTGCCTTTACACTCCAGCCAATGGCATGCTGTGTTCTGCAGTCTCCGCCTACGAGAGAACCTGCTCTGTTCTGGGGTTAAGCGTCCCTGAATGGCGCTCTGCTTTGCTGTGTGGTAAGTTTGCACTGGGTTTATGGATAGCCAAAGTAATATATGAGAGATAAAATCCTTAGGTTAACAGAATCACTTGTAAAGGGTATTTTCTTACTTCTCCCACTCATCCTTCTCCCACTATTTCAACAGCTGAGTCGGACCCCTGTGAGCAGCTGAACTGCACAGAGTACGAGTGGTGTGGTGAGAAGGACGGTGTGTACGGCTGCTTCTGTGATGAGCGCCACCATCGTTCCAACAACGAGAGCTACGGTGAGGGCTCAAAACACTGCTTTGTTCTATTGGTCACGGATGTGACATGCATAAGATTCGGCGTACATAGAACTCTTGGAACTCTCAAGCTGCAATTTGGCATAAAAATATCAGATTTTGTGGAATCACTGACGGCAGATTACGGCCTTAAACTAAGTATTCTTAACTTCTGCGTCAATTTTAAATAACTCTCTCTCTCATACGTAGACTCGTCCATCACTTGTGACAGTAGCTCGGCCACCATGTCCGTGTCGCGCTGCCAACTCTTTGAAGACGGATTCCCCTCCAGCGCCCTCCACCTCCGAGATGCCACGTGCAACGGGACTCTGCAGGGCGGACGACTGGTGTTCCAATTCGACAATAAAGACCAGCTTTGTGGGACAGCTCTCACGGTGCAGTCCACACACTTTTATTCTATCAACACAGACGGAAGGAGGTTTTAGATGTTAATGGTTTTCATAATACGTGTTAAAAGTACAAGCAACTTAAACCACTTTGTTTACATTTTGAAGAGCAACGGAACCCATTTCCTCTATAAGAACAGCATCCAGGGCGACGTGGACCCTCGTAAAGGTCTAATCAGCCGCCAGAGGAAAATTCAGTTGGGTTTCTGCTGTGAATACCCTCTAAACCACTCTGTGTCCATGAATGTGGACATCAACCCCGTAGAGAGGTGACAATAACAACACCGTCGTTGTGATAAATGTTTTGTATATTCCCTAATAGCCACATTCTGCACCTTGTGCAAATCAATAAATTTTAAACCAACAATTCCAAAAAATGATAAAATGAATGAACATTCAGAGAAGACTCTCTCCGTTGTGTCAATATGAATACTTCTCCCTTTTTTTTTTGCAGCATTGTGAGGAAGAAGCTTCCGTCGGGCCATGGACAGTATCATGTGAGAATGATCCCCTACCAGGACGCTGGCTTTCACTTCCCCCTGGCCAGTAACGGGAGCATAGACATGGAAATCGACAAAAGGATGTATGTGGAGATTCGGACAGAAGGAGTCGATGAAAGCCAGATCTCCACCCTTGTGGACTCTTGTTGGGCCACGCCAGTCGACATGAAGAGCTACCCTGTCCGCTGGGATCTCATAAGCGCAGCGTAAACAAGCTTTTGCAACTTGATGCAGAGTAGCACTCTGATCACAACGTAGCCTGTTTAGTACTTTATAGCCAACCCGGTTACATCGTCACTTCTTTCACCCTCCAGGTGTCCGAACCCAACCGATGGTACGGTAGAGCTGCTTGCTAACGGCATCTCCACCGTGGCCCGATTCTCCTTTAGGATGTTCACCTTCATCAACTTCTCATCCATCCACCTGCACTGCCAGGTCCACCAGTGTCTTCTGAGGGATGGCGACTGCACAGCTGTAAGTTGCTACTGTTGTTTGCGTGCGTGTTCAGTTCGGGTAGATTATCGGCGGAAGCCTCTAATGTTGTTTTTCTGCAGGACTGCCAGCCTGGCGACCACAAGCGAGCGCGGAGGGAGGTGTCCCAGGATGCCATCACGGGCATCTCGCTCGGACCCCTCACCCAGGCGCCACACGGGAAAGGTAAAACACTCTTATCTCCTGCCTCTTTTGACGACATTACACATTAAAATTAATACATTTTATAAGACCCTTAAAACGTGTTTTGCAGCCAGAATGGTGAATCCGAGCAGCGCCTGAGGCCAGTTGGCCCCCTGGTGACGCTGCTCGTCGTTTTGCTGGCAGCCAAATCTCTGGTGAAATATGATCCATAGACTAAAACCAATCAACATAGATTTTCTTTTGCATCGTATTTTATTTTCCTGGTCTCGTATGCTGTCTTTGTGGTCAGGTGATTGAGGTAATTTTGCTTTGTAACGCTAGAGGACGCCGACGTGCAACATTCTGAAGCTCAAGTCACCTTCCATATAAGATGTTGATGGGGTGTATCCTTAGTGTCTTTAACGATGTTCTTATCATAGATTTCTATCATATAAAAAGTAACAAAGCATGTATAATGAAGGTGAAACGTATAAAAGAAGTTTCTCAATGCACAAAGTATGGATCTCATTTGTTACCATGGAACTTTCACACTCACATAGAGGGTTTTGTGGTTGCTGTAAGCTGTTATTTAATACTGGGTCATGGCTTAATACCTGCGTACCACTAATGCATTTTACTATTACAAAGGACTAACGTTTAATGAAATTCAAGATGTTTTTAAATCTGAACATGAGGTTTTAAATTTCCCTTATTGACTAAATACAATTGGACTAGCCGCCACACACAGTTGAAATCTTTTTGTTGAGAAAATCCAACAATAAATTGAGGGTATTGCTATCGTGTAACGCAAAGTGGTGTCACATTGACATGAAGTGAGTGTTGTGTGTTTTCCAGACCATCCACTTAACATAATTTGATACCAATGGATAATTGTCTGACCAGATCCACATTATGCTGCCATTTTCAAAAAACAACAACGTTTTACCGTAAGCTTCTACTGTATTTTCAGAACTGACCACAGTTTGATTTACTGAAACTATTAGTTCACTGATTTACATCCCACTATGTTTACTCTTTGCCTTTACTTTTGGCATTATTAAGGTATAATTGCCAGATTATTTCCCCTTTAAGCTATGCTGCAAATGCAGAAGTGCGATAAATCATTGGACACATCAGTTACTCGACTGTTGAAATGTCAGCTTTTAATCATCTGATTCTTGCATGACCCTTCAGAACCTGATCCAAAAGAACTGCAAAACACTTACTGGGAAGTTAATGCTTTAGCCACCTTAACTTAATATTATCTCATCGCATGCACTCAGTCTAAACAATATAAAGTCAGTCAAAACAAGTGTCTCCATGTCGGGCATCATCATGTCAAGAATAGTGAAACAGCCCCTCCACTATGACTAAAATACAGATGAATCTTAAACAACACTCAGCAGCAGCTTATAGTGTGTACGTGTGTAATAATTAGAGTGGTTTGAATGATCAATAATGAATCTGAGGATGAGATGCATCTTTTTTGGTCAATGTGCTATGAATTGTCCATAAAGTTGTACGAGTTTTTCTTTATAACATTAGAGGGCAGCACAAGATCAAATTCACACTTTTTACATGAAACGTTTTTGTATTTGGTGTAATCTTTATTGCTTTTGTGTTGATTATTATATTGAAACGATATTTTGTTTCTGACTTTCCTTGTTAATCGAATTAAGTTATAATCATGTAATTTATTTGAGAAATATTTATTTTACGAGACACAATACTTTTAAAAGAATTTATCTGAGTCTGAATAAAGTGTCAACTTCCACCGTGAGAAATGATGCTAAGTAAGCAAACTCCTCAATGTTACCACGTGTTCTTTACACGAGACGTAACAATACCCACAATCCAGAGCATCCTCAGTAGTCCTCTGACGCTGCACTACTGGGGAGGTTAATCCTGTGGCTTACGTCGCATTTGCAGGCTTCTCGTAGTCAATGCGCGAACGTGAATGCGAGGGAGTGAAACGGGGAAACAACACGGAGTTCACAATGGAACTGATTCCAGTAATCAATTAGCAGAAATCTTTTGTTGAGAGAACATGTTCGTCTAATGCAAATATGTCAAACTGGCGGCCCGCCGGGCCACATCCGGCCCGCCAGATGACTTTGCTATTGTGAGAATTACATTATAACAACGGGCCTCGCGCATGCCCGGTCGCTTCTGCTTCTTTTATATCGATTCGATTCCCCCCCATCCCGATGATTCCCTTATTATGAAAGGTTTAGGAATCACCTACATTTTTACAGTAGTACTGTTATGTCATTTCTGTCATGGGAATTGCATGTATTATACATTGTTCATTCTGTACACATGGCATCCATTGTAGTCTGTCCATCCCGGGAGTGGGATCCCTCCTCTGACGTTCTCCCTAATGTTTCTTCCCTTTTTTCCCTCTTGGAAGGGTTTTTTCATTATTTGGGGAGTTTTTCCTGTGCCGATGGTGGGTTTCGGGACTGAGGATGTTGTATGTGTACAGACTGTAAAGCCCTCTGAGGCAAATTTGTAATTTGCGATTTTGTGCTATACAAAATAAAATAAAATGAATTGAATTAAATTGAATTATTTCTTCTTTTCAGTCCATTTCATCCACCGTTTTTTTAACACAAATTCACTAAATGGATGCAGTCCCTGAAGCTTCGGTCCCCTTGTGAACCCGCCCACACATGTCACTTAAGTCGTACTTTATCTTTCTCACTTAACTGCTGACATTCAGTCACTTTATTGTGCCCGCCTTAGAGAGAAAAAAGAGCTTCTTGGGGAACTGCGTCGCCATCGGATGGATGGATGATAATTTAACATGCTGGTTTGGCAAAGTCTCAATAAAGAGGAGGATGGTGAGGGAGGAGGTGCTGGATGGGGAAGAGGGGAAAATGACTGATAGCTTGTTGACTTTTAAGAGATGCCGAGGCCCTCGGTGGACTTCATGGAATTAGCTCAGAAACCCCCCTGAGTGGTGTGTTGGGGGGGTCAGGAGCAGTCCCACCTGACGTTTGACCTCTCGTGTCCCCCTCGCGTCTGCACCACTGTCCACCAAGCAGCTCAAAACGTAATTACGTCTCAACTCGAGTCCGTTTATCCCAGATTCCAGCCCCCGGTTATTTTTAAGCAGTAGAATTTGTACTTTCAGAAACTTGCATATTAACCATTGGTGTTTAACTTATTTAAGTTTAAGGAAGTTCATTCATTGTGATTTACAGACAATAAAAACAAAAGCATCACTTCATGGAAGCAACGGGACACTTGAATAAAAGCAAATCTTATTGTTCCTTTTTAGAAAAACAATGTACTAAATTGCTGTGATTAGCAGGTATACTTTGGAACTCACAGGATTCTTCTTTTATATACTTTTCCTGCTCGCGGGGCCTTTTGTTTCGGTCGGACCTCTCTTGATAAAAACACATCCAGCAATCTGCTGTTGCTGTCGGAAGTAATTTGATTTCCCGAGTGAATTCTATCCTCCTGAGAAAGCCGGACAGTCAGAGGACTGAAGCTGCAATCCTAGAAGTGAAAATTGACTTATAAACCACGTGTGAAAAAACTTTCCTCCATGCTGTGTTCTTTGTATGTTTATGTGACATTTCCTGTCCACCAGGGCGGAATGGACACCTATTTCTAAAATATTCCATTAAAAAAAAAAATCAGCCCTTCTGCTGTAAGTATACTAACTATTACGTTGTCTGTGGGCCCATGCATATTTTACTCATTCCATAGAAATCTATTACGATGAAAATGACATAATTATAATTTATGTTGTATGAGACATGCTGTTTCCATCAGCCGTCCATTTGAAATATTAGATCAGAGGTTGACCAGAGGGCTTTCTGCCGCCATCTGGTTCTGCTGTCCACCCATGACCGCTTCCTCTCGTCCTCAGACCTGCAGTCCTGTTTGCATCGACTCGCTTCCTAAATGTCTTACAGGCCGGGCTTTGACGTTAACATTTTTGCTCAATATGTAACTGATTTAGACAAAGACAAAAAGAGTAGCTCATTGCATCTAACTGGTGCAGAGGTACTTTGCTGTCTTTGTCCGTTTCGCCGCAATGCTTTTGGCCGAAGGAAACTTCATGGACCTTTATTGTTTATTATTTATTATTTATTGTCCGCTGTGAAGTTGCGTGTCCCAACTACAAGACTGACTTCTGAACGTCCTACAATCAGTGCAGTACATTATTATCAAACGATGCGCGCACAATACAGCGTCAGCACGACAACGTGTTTTGCGTTTCCTTCTCAGGGTGCGGCGTGTGGGCCGGTACTCCTACATTTTACTCGAAAGCGCACCGGCACGGAATTGTTTGATATTCAATATCTTTGGAGAGTTAAACGATCTTTTCATGACACTTCAATCTCAATGAACTAATTTTTAAAAGTTAGCGTAGCACAGAGTCTGTAAACAGGAGGTAGGCTAACACCAAAAAGGGTAGCAAAATCCAGCAACTAAAGCTCTATTTTCTAATGATATCCATATTAAAACATTTTAATGGTATAGTGCTTTAAAGGTATTTTACTTGATACAGAAACTTTAACACCATCACATCTTATCTGTTCAATTTGTACAAAATGTGATGTAATGACATTTGCCTTGACGCAGCTAACATGCTTCTTAAATCAAATTCATATTTTTGGAAAGAAAGTTTGGTAAATCCAGATTACAGGCATTTTTCTTCTCTCCGATTGACTGAAAATGCTTTCAGCTAATTTGCCTGCATGCTCTAATCAAGTTTGTCACACAAATTAGAAGGCCGCGGGTTGATGAAGTGAGTGATGAACTGTGCAAATGATGCTGACATCCCTCCAGCTTTCCCTTCCCCAACCGTGTCACCACATTCTCTCTCCTCCGGCCCGCCGCCACCCCCACGTCCTCGCTCCCTCCAACAACGACCCACGGGCTGTTTATCGACTGGCTTGTTCTTCCTGTTTGTGGTGGACAGAGACTGAAATAAGATCTGCATTGCCGAGGATTTGAGATAAATTGGGCAGCGGATCGTTGCTAACTCAATTTTCCGTCGGTTTCGGGGGAGGAAGAGGAGGATGGTTCCGTCGCAAAGCAGCAGATGGGATAACAACTGATTAACGTGGAAAAGGACGGGCTGAGCGTTGCTTTGAGCTGATTTGTCTTTTAAAACACTCTTGCGCATATTGCGATTCACCTGCACCGCGGTCGAAAGGACCTGGTGTCATTGGCGGAGCAAAGTGTCACTCGTTAGGAAAAGAAAATTCCCACTACGACCACGATGGGCCCTGGACTCGACGCAGGAGCGAGCCGCCGCTCCAGTTACAACTCCTGGGAGAGGGGGGGTAGGAGTCTGGGTGTTCATCTCACTCTTTTCAATATCCCACTTTGATCCGTCTCCAATCCCTGACAGCTGATACCGCAGCTGAACCTGACACCCGGCGCTGCCTCTGAACACATCGGGAATGGGGAGAAGAGAAAGGGATGAAGAGGGGCAGGGCCGGATGGCTGAGTATGTGTCGTTTTTGTGTGCCAGACAGATGCGATGGCCCTCTTGCTTAAACTGAGCTAAGAGGAGGGAAGGCCGTGGGGGGTTAACAAGTGTCCCTCGGTGCCACTGTCACCTGCAGGACTTCACGTGGATGCATAGTATTAGACATGACAGTTATGTGGGATTGCGATGAGCATTAGGACTTATATGCTTTTTGAGGCGCGTGGATGAAACCACGCCCCCGGAAACCTTTCCTAATCCCACGAAGGAAGAATTGATTAATTAAAAAAAAAAGGATTAAGTTCAAATATTTGCTGCTAAAAAAGAATTCAGAGCATGTCAGCAACCAAGGGAGAGCTTAACGTTCTCATAGCTCTCATTTCTACAGCACACTATACACTTAACCAGGCTAATAAAGCATCACGCAGGTTCTTTTTGTGTTTTCTTGGAAAAAGGGAGGCAATCACTAATGCAGCTTGCAAACATCACAGGCAAGCTGCAGCACATCCTGCCTCAGGTCAGCACAACTGTTGATGTTGACCGATTGGGCCTCTTGTCTGTCAGCACAGACCGTGAACATACCTGAACAATACAGTTTAGGGAAAATTACAAAATGTTCCTTTGTGGGATTCTCCACTGTCATTGATGGAATGAATCATTAGCATATCATCTTTAGACCAGGAGAGTCATTTATAACCATCCATGACAGATTCTGGCGTTTCCAGTACAATGGTTTCTTTATTCACAGGATACTATCCGGGAATAAAACTTATCTTAATAACATAAAAAACACAAGGATGAAGTAGCAAATCCCACAGGCCCGGATGTCGAGATAGATGTAGGAAAGCTCCATGTCGTACTTCTGGAGTACAACAATCTGCCACCGTGTCCTCTTCCACGACCACAGTGCAACATTACATCCCTCCTTTATGTCCACGCCATATCAATGTGACATCATCACATTATACCTGCATTCACCGGAGGGACCGGTGGCTGGGATTGAAACTGAAGCCTGTGTATTGTAGCCTACGAGCAGCAGAACCTCAGCGCTGGTCCCGCAGAATATTCTGATGGATCATCAGATTTCATGAGGCGGAATACAGGGACAGAGTTTCAGTTTTGAGATGTAAACTCTCACAAATAACACGAATAACCAAGATTTAAAAGCGATGCGCGCACAATGCAGCGTTAGCACGACAACGTGCGTTTCCTTCTCCGGGTGCGGCGTGTGAGCTGGTTGAAACTCCTACATTTTACTTGTCAGCGCACCGGCACGGAATTGTTTGATGTTCAATATCTTTGGAGAGTTAGACGATCTTTTCATGACATTTTTAAAAGTTAACTTTGCACAGAGTCTTTAAACAGGAGGTAACACCAAAAAGGGTCGCAAAATCCAGTACAAAATGTGATGTAATGACATTTGCTGGAATGAATCATGAGCATATCATCTTTAGACCAGAAGAGTCATTTATAACCATCCATGACAGATTCTGGCGTTTCCAGTACAATGGTTTCTTTATTTGTGGGATACTATCCGGGAATAAAACATTAAAAATACACAAGGATGAAGTGTCAAATCCCACTAAAGCAATACTTAAACATATGGAGAAATACGTTACCTTTCTGAAACTGTAAAGAAGACTGTAAATATGAAACCAACACCGGCAGCTGATTAGCTTAGCTTAGCTTAGCGCAAAGACTGAAAATAAGGGAAAACATCATAACACAAAATACATCTCCACCAATACCAAACATGTTACATTCTATGCTGTTATGGGTAATAATATTGATACTATAATTCCTATTTTATTGAAACATTGGCTCTTTTTAATTTCAATGTATTTATTGTCAAAGTTATCATTAAAAAGCAGTTCAAAGCAGTCGGTATTGGAAGAGACTTGCTCTCTAGTTGAGACCTCATGGATGTAGTTGCTGATATTCTAAGCATGTGCTAAAAAAACTACCTCTGTAATATAATAGAATATTCTTATGATATTAGAAAATAAACAATGTTCAAATAAATAGCGTGCAATGTACGAGCGCCATCGGAAATGTACAGCTGGTGCCGAAGACTCTTTGGAGGTGTCCCGCTCGCCGAGGTGCAGTTGTTGTCACGCTGTCGACCTTTTTTTTTCTGCTCTGTTGGTTCAGTGACTCAGCTGTCAATACGGCCTAACAAAAGACTCAGAAGTGATTGTGTAATGCTCGCACGGATGTGTGATTGAAGCACGTCAGCATTTTGAACAATGGGTTCTGTCCAAGGTTGACGTCTTGTTGACTTGATAGATGCGTCTTCCTGGGTCACATTCTTATGGTTCGTGTCATGAACACAAGAAGAAACAGTGTGCATGGTGTCAATAGTGTGTGAATATTCTCCATCGGCACATGTTGTGTACACGTCGGGCACCTGGTGAGCAGGCAGAACCCATAAATAGGGACAAGGGACATTTGTGGTTTTACATAAAACACAATTAAACCGGTAATGTTTTGAGGGCATTTCCCCAATGAACCAACCAATGATAAACACATGAATCTGGAAGGCTGAAAGCCGCCGTGTGATTCATGTCAAGTGTTCCTCGTTTTGTCACTTCCTACTGCTGAAAATGAAATAAATATGCACAGTAAAAGGCGTCACTCTTCGAAGCGCACACCCGTCATTAAGCTTCATTAAAGCCACAAACATTTTACGATCTCTCTGTCAACAAATATGTTGTTTCTTAGGAATGCGTTGGCTGTTGCATTGCTGCGATTGACCAAATTGCATCCTGGCTTTGAATGAGGGGAGTCGTTAAAGAGGAGAGAGGAAAGGACACGAGGAGGCATTGGACAACGAGGAGGGAGGGACGTGGAAGGAGGTGAAAACGTCTCTATTATGGGCCTAATAGAATTTCCCCGGAGCCCCACAGGGAAACAGAATGGACTCCCCCCCCTCTCTGTCCCCTCGCCCCTCCGTTTGCGCGGGCCTGAGAGATAATTTCATCGCTCTCCACTTAATTGTGCGCCGCCTCGCTCTCTGTTCCAGCCAACAGAGGCAGGTGGGAGGAGAGGAAGAGGAGCAGAATAATAGAAGAGAGCGGGAAACCACAGCACTTCATTTTTACAGACGGACAGCTTGTAAAAGGCGGAGGGTTGCGTGGTCCCCTCTGAGTGGCCAAGTGTAAACACAGTGTGTCAGAGCGGATACGGTGGATGTACAGTTAACCAATTACAAAACCCATGCGGACGTAACGTAATTATTGCCCTTGCCCTGAGACCAAGTGCCGCTTGTTTTTCTAATCTAGTTTCAAAATCATTATATAAGATTGGGAACGTTCCTAATGTAAGTGGGCAGTTTTTCATTTCACGATGAGGAAGATGTCATTTTAAACCTTCAGAGTTTTATTTGCAAAATTTTAACTGGTCCTCTGAATTCAGAGGAAGAAAAAGAAAGCTGCTCCAGCTCTATTACGCTGTGAGACTCCGACCTTTGACACAAGAGGAGATCAGTCACCTCTTCCCTACTGTCCCGCTCGTAAACACCATTCTGCTACTTTAAGAGGTTGCACCTATTTGATCTCGCGTCCAAAGAGAACATGTGTTCCATCGCCTGGAACGACGTGCAGACCTGCCGAAGACAGGCGGTCGTACATCATCGCGAGCGTCTGCCGAGCTCCTCGGGGAGATGAAGACGAAGACGCCTCTGACCTCTGACCTCTGACCTGATTGCATTTTTAAGAAACGCTGCGCAAACTTGCACAGAATGAGGCTCAAGCGGCATTAGGGTGAGAACGATGGGGTCAACTGTAACTCAACCGTTTATGAAAACAGCCAAACTATGTCTTTAAGGCGGGATCAGTTATCACTTTGTTTCTTCTCATTCTGCAGCCTGACAGAACAAAAAATCTTGATTTACTTCGATTTTGTGTGGAGAAGGTCTTTGTGTGGCAACGGTGTCACGACCCAACATTTCTGTCCCGAGGGAGTCCAGTTTCCTCGTTCTCCCGTCACCCCAGAGGTGATTTGTGGAGTAAATAACGTTGTTATGAGACCATAAAACTGACAAAAAAATATTCTACATCAGCCGTGTGAATTGTGCAGCATGAAAATCACCACTCTGTGTGTATTTTTTCACTTTGTTTTCTTTCATATATTGCATGTTTTTTTCATGTATTTTGCAATTACTCTAACTCTGCTCCACTGCACAGCAGCATCATTAACATGTGTTTCTCCAAAACAAAGTTACCCCGAGACGTTGGGGCTCTGCAGACTGAGTGAGGGCAACTCACCCGGTCTGTCAAACTCAGGCCGATCCTCTTTCAGCACCACACGTCCGTGCACACATGGTTCCCTTCACGCATCAAACATTCCCCCGCTAACGACTCGCTGGAGGTTAGCAGCATTTATCTGGGGAATGTGTCTTCCGTTTGACCCGCGGTTTCGCTCAGAATGGGACCCGGGGTTACGGGGAAACCTGTCGATGCCGTTTCCTATCCGAATAAGCAGAAACAGGTTGGAAGGTGTGTTGGAGGGGGGGGGGGCCACCCATTGGAAAACATTACCCTAACATTTCCTTTCAGTTTTGCGATTGAATAGTTTGTGATGTACATATACATGTATAAAGATATATGTACACTAAAATGTGTTTTTAACATCTTATGAACATCCAGTGGCAAACACAGAGCAAATACACACAACACTTACATTTGTCTAACTGTTTAAAACACTGTTTCCTTCCTCTTTAGACTGTTGACTCGCCCCAATTCCCCTCTGGTGGCCAATAAAGTATTAAACCAAAGTCTCACATCAATGAATTCCTGAGACTTACTATTTGACGATAAAATATGCCACTTTGCTGCAACATTTCCTCAACCGTAACTCTAGCGTTGCCTTGAGCCCACAGCGGCATAAACACGCTGTGCCAGCATGTGTCATTTCATGCACCATTACTTTGGCGTATCACTCACCACAGGAAGTCTAACAGCTTCGACGGGCTGTTGGTCGTTCTTATTACATTATCGCGTTGCCGTTGACATATTAACCACACGACGCCGTAACTCATGCAGTCAGCCTAGTGGAGCAAAGAGGGGACTTCTCCATTCTGCTTTGTGCCCTTTTCAGAACCCACTTCTCCTCTGCGGCCCCCATTTGGGCCGCGCGAGTGTTGTGGCTTCCAGCGATCAGCCCGTCTCGTTTGGCTTTGATTTCACTGTCAGAAGGACTTTAGCGGCTCTTGAGGAAAATGCACAGACGCTCGCAATCCTGAGGGCCAAATACACGAGAATCCAGGGCACGTCTTTGTGGCCCCGAAATGTACTTCTCCAGCATACAAATACATTAATAAGTTATAGTTGAATCAATAATCAACACATTTTGAATAAATTATTGTTTTATATTGGCTCATAGTGATGTATGCCATATTTTATATAACAACAACTCTCACATTTCATGATTTCTCCTCATTTTATTTGTCTTAACAGCTACACATGAACACGGTACCTGGCCGGACAGCTAACTAGTGTTGTGTGTCTGTTGTTGATTCACATGAAGTACAGCACAGTATTAGTATACAAGGAACATTCCGTATTTCTCACATCTGTACAGTTTGGTTACCATGAGCTACATTACCAGGGCTTTTTTTAAACTCCACCCTGAAACCTTAATGCCCGGGACCACTTTGTTACTCTCAAGTGCAATATCTTGACAATATTCACCTCCACCTCCACTCAAACTAAACAAATACTGTCCAAGGAACACACCCCGCCTTGAGTCACAATTCACAACTATGAGTGTTGACTAAGTTCTAGTACAATGAACAAAATATAGTATTAGTGAAGGTAATATTGGGTGTAGGCTAATGTTGAAAACATCTGCAAAGATTCCCGTAACCCGGATAACCAGAAACACGTTTAGTGTTTGCTGGGTGGAGGATTATAGCTTTGCGGTTCTGATTACTATGAAAGGTATTTTATTTTTGACTTCAATATTCATGTTGAGTCTTTATTATAAAAACCTTAATAGGCTACAGCAGGGGGGGGGGGGGGGGGGGTAATCATCTCTTAAAAGCATCCTCACAAAGGCACTTTCCCTCCCTTTGCCCTTTTGTACCACTTTAAACTCGGACGGCATTAATATTGTAACAATGTCCCACTCACACAGAAATTGTTCAGGAGAGCCTTCTAGGGCTTTTACTAAAATAAAAACCAGAACAAGTATTTACAAGTTGAAAAATGACAACCAAAGAAAGTATAAAATAACAGCTAAAAACACCAAATAGTTCCCAGGCACTTGGGATGCAAAACAGAGACGTTTCTAGAATCTATACGACAATAAGTGAAACATAATATTATTTACGGTTGTTTTTGAGGAATTAAAATACAACAATCCTTAGAGAGTAGAGTGAAAATACCTTCATTTAAAGTAACACTACAGCACGAGGCTTCATATGCTAGTGGTTAGTAACAATGTACAATCTGCACCTCAAAGTCAGGAAAGAGTATCAAAGTGAACTATTTGCTCCTTCAAACATCTTTCCCCGAAAAAGAAAGAAAACAAAATACGGCTACTGGTTGCAATTTGGCAGCATATAATATAATCAATGACATTTTGACAAATTCCAAGCAAATGGGTGCAAACACAACACGATGCATGCTTGAACAAGCAGAATAACGCTCATTTTTCAAAGCCTTTTCCTCTTTCCCTCGGTCTGATCATCCCGGATCCTTTGACTAATGTGCCTCCACTGACTTGCCTTTTATCCAGAGCTTATTGTTGCAAACAATGAGGAAACAAGACACCCCTTTTCTCTATTATCCTGCCCGTTTCCCCTCTCTCATTCGCTTTTAAGTTTGCAGGATTGTCAGTTGCAGGAGCCCATGCTTTGGATGAACACACTGTGTCTGGAGGGTGCAATAATAAGTGTCATGTTAATGCAGTAACACAATCATTCCACCCGTCATACCCTGAGAGAATAAGCTAAACTTGAAAACCCTGGATTTGTGTGTGTTTCATGTATTTCTTCTTGGTATCTGTGCACTGGCTGACAATGAGCTGCTTGTCTGCGCGTGCTCGCACACATGGCAAATCATATGGATTTTAAAGACACACACAGGCTGCTAATAATGACATTAAACTATAAATGGTCCCCTCATGAGATCTTTCCGATTAGATGACGGCGGGAATGAATAAGTATGTAAACGTACACATTGTTTGAATAGTACATGCATTGGTAAATACTGTAGGTGTGTATGTGTGTGTGTATATACGTATCGTATACTGTATACATAGTTGAACTGCAGAGCACATCTGCCCGTGTCCTCCCCTGCAGAAACACCTCGTTGGCAAAATCCACTTCTTGTAGAAGTGACGAGCCGCTCCGCGGTAAGAAGCGTTAGTGACAACTTACACTCAAATAGTGCAACATGGAATGTAAATAACGTGGCTTTTCAGGTTGCTCTGTAGGCGTTTACTCCCGTTTGGTAGCATAGATTTGTAAAAAAAACAACAGATACAACGATCACAGATACAATAGTGGCTTATTAATGCTGTAAATATTGGACAAACTGACTATGAATGTTTGGAAATAAAGATGCAAGGGATCAAGTTGCGGGAATCGAAGAGCAAGTTATTCACTATTAATTCAGTCTAAGGCCCACTGCTCTTCTACGATGAACTGGTCGAGTAGTGTGGGAGGGGAGGAGGAAGTAGAAGAACGCTCGGGGGGGACGGGGGGGGGTGGAGTGCTCTCGGTTGAGCCCGAATCACACCACGGAGGTGGCGTTGGGCTTCGGGGCGCTCGGGCTCAGCGTCAGACTTTGGGCGACGTCTTCGCGGTTGATCTTGCGCAGCGCCGCGCACAGGGCGTCGATGCTGGCGCAGTCCTTACTCGCCCAGTCGGACAGCAGCGCCCGGACGGGATGCTCCTCCTGCTGGAAGGTGGCGATCCGCTCGTCCTTGTAGCCTAGGAGGCCCGCCAGGTTGCACCAGTCGCTGTCCTCCATGTGCGTGCGGTCTCCCTCGCTGCCGCTGAACAGCAGCTTCTCCACTTTCTCTCTGGTCTGGAGAGGGAGGAGCAGGCAGGGCTCTTCATCCATGGTGATAACTGCAGGAAAAAGCTCCATGTCATTTTATTATTTCATTTTGTACTACTCATTTAGCTTGATTTGATTATGCACAGTGGAAAAAAAGTGCCCCCCCCCCCCCTCACACTTTGCAAACCCAGGTGACTTCTGGAAGCCATTTCCAACCTGCTTGCGCCACTTTGTTTTTCTTCCTTTACCATAATCTGTTCAAGCATGTGGTTGTGAAAGTCCTTAATATTCAAATTGTTGTTCTCAAACTGGTTTGTCAGAGCAGAGCTGCAAACTGCCAGGAGTTACAGCCGAAATAACACACACTGTTGCTCTGTCAGTGGCGTAATCCGACTTGACGCTGATTTTCTACAGTACGTTTTTTTAAAAGTCGCGTTGTCGGTGGATGAAAGCTTGAAATTCTTTACTTTCAACCGGTGCAGATGGACATTTCAGGGTGCAGCCCGTGTGCACGTTCACAGTGACGCACAACGCACGATTGTGGATTAGAGGGAACTCATTACCAGGGGGATTCAGCGGCAAAACAAACAGGCTTGCACCCAATATAAGTGCGATAGCTTAATGATTAAAGGAATTAGTTAAGGGAGGGGCTCCTGTCAGGTTGTACCTGTCTGGGCCTGAGTCTGGCCCTGCTGCTCCTGCAGACTTTGGCTGTCCACAGAAATGCCGCTGTCGCTGTGCAGCTTCTCTCCTTCGGGGGACGGCGTCTGGTTCTGGTTGGCCGCGCAGTTGTTGGCTGCTTGCTTGTTCTGCTTACAGCTGTTCCATCTGTATGAAGATGAATCGGCATTTGCACGTCCGTTATTTATCCTGAGGGGGATATCCGGCTCTTTAGCCAATGAGTGATCCGTGATGTTCAACGGGGAGTTGCTAGCTTTGTCTCTGTGCTGTTTGGTGCTGCTGAGATTGTTTAGCATGTTTTTTTGTTGTTGCTGAAAACCGCTCCAGACAAAAACAACTCTAATTAGAGTGTCGAGAGTGAATCAAAAGAGGCAAGTTGCCCTCGTAAAAGCCAGAAACGAGCTGAAGGAGCGGAATGGGAGCCGAGGGGAAGGTAATAATGCTTTATCACTATGCGTGTCCTTTTAAACATACTAGTAATCATGTTATCTAGTGTGATTATAGCCATTATAACTAAAGCGTGAAGGAAGTCAGCCTTAGTGCCTTGAAGCAGAAGGTAAGCACAACTCCCTTTCCATAGCTGGGTGAACATACAGGTGACGCTGGGCTGCCGAGGCGTTAAGAGGGGAAGCAAGCAGGGGATTGCAAGATTATTGTGAAAATAATTAATTTAAGTTTTTACTTCTAAGAATCCATTAAATGCACTCACCTCTTGAAGATGACGAAGGCCACGATGCCGACTACAACGGCTGCCAGGATGGAGCAGTAGATGGGGATGAGTTTGTTGTTTAGATGGTAGATCGGTTCCTTAGAATCGCCATTAGTGGTGGTGGTTGTGGTGGTGGTGGTGGTGGTGGTGTCTCTCGGCCCCTCTGATGGGGGGTTGTCTGGTAGGAAGACCTCATTGGTGTCCGTGAAGTTACCCAAAAAGGCCGTGGGAGACACATCATCGTAAAGCAGAGTAACTGTGAGAGTAAATCAAAATCGTTCAATTAAGGCGTGCAAGGAAAAAAAAATCAATAAGCCGGAAGGGAGTTCGTTTCTAAATGGCAACTTCAGGCCAGAGGTCGCTCCACCATTATCAGCCACCGACGGAGAAGCAAACTGTGGACCCTGTAGCACATTGCATCCTACATCCCGGCCTCCCCGGGGGGCCATTAACGTTGCTATTAGCCAGTATCTCCATCCAGTCCTTCCCACTCTCGTGCCGGACCACTAACGCTAAGCAGACGCGTTCGCTCCTCGCCGCGGATGTGGAAACCCATCCTCGCCTCCCACTTACTTACAGCTGCGTCCGCAGCGGTGAATCCTCACGTCGGCTTTAATGGGCTCGACAAACCTCAAAAAAAACTCCTTCAGTGTGCCAAGTTTGAAAGTTATTTTTGTCGGCTGCATTCACAGGTTTGAAGCGTCGACAGCGATGTCGTCGCCGTAGAGCGCTCAGCCGGCGTCAATGAGCCGTGACCTCCAGGAGCTCCGCGCTCAGCCGAGGCCAGCGATGGGTAGAGGTCCACTTTGACAGGCAAGTCATGAAGACCATTGAGTTGCATTGTGGGTAATGTGCGCCCGGGGAAAACATCAATTGTTATATGTTATCCTTAAACTCCCATTCATGACTCTGACATGTTGTAAGGCTGCAACACTTGGTAACAAATGACAGGAGGACTTTTAGTTAAAATCCAAATGTACTGCAATAGAAACACCGGATACATGCAGACAGGATTGCGACCGTGGACTGCGGCATATCAAATGTCTTTCCATCCTCTTTTATATCCCCCCGTAGACACGGATAAACACACACCCACTCGAAACCAGACACCATTCGCCGAGAGAAAACGTCTTTGTCCAGCACAATGCCCCCTCCCCGTCTTTTTATCCTTCAATCATCTCTCTGTCCGTTTTGCCGCCGGCTAGACTCCTGCTTGGTGCTATCAGGCGTTTCCCTCTCTGTCAGTCTTATGGTCACTTGGATGTTTCCATTTCCTCTCATTGCATCTTGATGATGAACACGACATCCTCGCCGTCTAACCTGGCTGGTTACCATTTATCTCACCCATGCATCCTTTCTTTTATGTATCTTCTATACATCACTTTGCCCCCCGCCCCCTCTATGATTGACAGTTAACACTGAGTGCATTTACTGAACCCCTCGCTCGACCTTTTAACCTTTCACATCGAATGGTGCTTCCACAGAGGGGGCCGTTACCCGCTGAGCTCAGCGTGTTTCCACAGTGGTCGCAATCATTATTTAAAATCAAAATAAATGTATCTATGTAATAAAACGTGTAGAATAAGGATGCAGAGATCGTACTGTTTAAAAAGAAATCAAAGCTGGAAGAAGAATTCAAAATTTGGGGACTTTTGGTGGCTAAATCCATGACAAACATGCCTCATTTATCAAGACGACATAAGATGTTGTATAATAATAAGCCCTGAAACGCTCAATGATCCAATATCCACAACATCCAATTAGGACCCACGCTTAAGCCTCACAGTGCTTTAAATCAAATTATAAGAGTGCACACGATCTGTGTAACCGGCAGCAGCTTGTCATTAAGATTATAAAAACTGGAAGAAATGATATGTTCAGCCCGCTGTAACTCCTGTTGTAATTATCCGTGAAATAAGTGGAATATCTGTCCAGGCTTTATTTGTTGATGATTAAAATAAGAGAGTAGAAGTCCGGGCACGTGTACCTGCCAGAGTTACATAAGTAATTATATAGAAACAGCTCGTTTCTCTCACATGTGCCTGCAATGGGCGTGTATGTGTGTGTGTGTTCTGTGAATATTTGTGCGTATGTGCGGGGTGTTCTGTAACAGACACGCCTGAGTTTAACTCCTCATTCCAACCTCTCTCAAACAGGTGTTGCTGCTTTTCACCACTTCAATAGCTGACTTTGGAGTGAAACAGAAGGGAGTGGTGGGGGGGGGGGGGCTTCCCGCACAAGCAAGTCATTTCATGATATGTCATTATCACCCATTATCTCATTTTTATCCCCACAAGTTCCAGAACGTGAGCGTTTGTGTGAGTTCGTACGGTTTGCATATGTGTGCGCGCCCGTGCCTTTGTGTGTCTGTGCGTGTGTGTTTGTTCTGCGGCAGAACGTGATCAGCACTCGTAGAGGTCAACTAGAGAAACCGGAGAGCGCAGAGGAGTGACTGCATCGCATTTATCGATCGGGCCTCATCCTCAGCATCTGCTCCGTCTCTTTCTGCGTCTTTCTGTTCTGCAGCTCTCTATTCGGCTTCCTGTCAATCGGTGGTCTAGAAGTCACCTACGGATTTGCTCCACATGACTTATCTGTTTGTTTAAAGACTCTTTATTAATGATTAATAAGTTCTAAGTCTCTCTCTCTTTGGCTGCTCTTTTTTCCCCCTTTACAGTTGACTGCACAATTTACGAAGATGATATATTCAGTTGCATTCGTTAATGATTGTTTTTTATTAGTGATATTTAATAATAAGGCATTTAATTTTGGTCCAGGCCAACCAGTCAATTACATTTTTTACAATCTGGCAAGATAACTTATAAATCTATGATGCGTTACTTACTTACTTATTTATCAAACAATAAATAAAGCCACCAGCTACAACTTTTTATAAAAACGTTATAATATGGTAGAAAACAACTTGAATACCACGGCGATAAAGCAGATGCCTGATACAGTAAATCCTCATGAGGACAAAGGCTCGACTGCCCGAAACAGAACCTTTGACCGAGAATAAACGGCACGAGCGAGAGCGCGAGTGTTGTCGTCCCCCTTGGACCAGAAGGACCCGATCATGTCGAATCACCTCGTATTTACCCCTGGAATGCCGAGGGGGAAATTCCTGGGATGACAGGCATCTTCAGCAGACTTCGTCATCGTCCACAAGGGGTCGATTCTTGTTCGGCAGCGGAGAGAGAGAGACGCGGCCCGCTTTAAACCTTCATTCATCGTTACAATGCTGCCATTGTGTCTGGCGGGCAACCGAAGGGTTACAGCGAGAAGGTCAGGCGTGGCCATAGAGCTGAAGTCCGTGGAGATACAAGTCAGTGGATGTGTGGAGACCAAGCTGCAGATACACAATGGAGGACTGTGCAACACAAAGAACGGCAGTTGTTTAGTCAGTCCGGTCGACACTTACTGATGTGTTAATGCTTTTGACGTAGGGAATCAGAAATGTCCATAGCATTTTTCCCTTTAGCATTTTCCCCATTTGTCTCCCTTAAAACGTCTGTCAGATGCTCGCAGAAATATGACCATTGACTAAGCCCCTCCCAAATGCAGCAATTGTCCAATCATAGCTAGGATTTGGAAGAGTAACACATGTGTTCAATAAAGTTCAGAAGGTGATGTCTTTTGTCTTAGTCTTTGCAGAGCTAAGGTTTGCCAAAAAATGTTTCAAAGCTGTTCAGCTTTAGTCTAAGTTCAGCCGAGGAAACTGTGCTGCTTTTGCATGCAGAGGCTTGCAGTTTATTTGTCATCTGCCTTCCCTCCATCGAGCACGCTCCCTCACCACGTCCCTGCCGTCGTAGTTCAACGCTGTCGATCGTGAGATCAGCTGATCTCTTCTAAAGCAGAACAACGCTGCTGGTACGCGGCCCTCCACCTCCCCACCTCCAACCGCTCTCTGCAGATTCATCTGCTTCTTGTTTGCCGAAAGACTCAAAAGCCTGCTTCTTTTTGTTCTGTGGCAAACCGAGGACCCATTATTTCAGAAATCACAATGAATTTGGATCAGAAGATATCCCACACTTATCCTTTCAAACTGCATATTTGCAGCAAGAAAACAGACGGTGCAACGTTGGCTCATTTTATTTCACCAGTCTGTTGAAATAAAGAAAGAAAGAAAGCCCCTGCACCTCATTCCTCTCTTTCTGTCTTGGTTCAGCTGAAGTGACCCTGACCCTGAGTGCTGTGCATGAGGCCAGTTCCCAGATCACACTTTCTTATTTCTGAAGGGCAGCCGGTCGATCGTCGGGGTCAAAACGAGCTCGGGAAGGAAACGGCTCCCTCCTACTCCCCCTATCAATTCAATAACCCAATGCACTTGGGCCAATAAACCGCCCACTCCCCCCTTGCTTCCTCTTCAACGCAGCCTTTCCCCCTTCAATATGTCGTCTCAGATCTGCAACAATCAATAAATAGCTGTATTGATAGCATAGGAGCGGTGGTATCAGTGCCCATTTGCATCCGCGCGGCCGCGTTCCTGCGTGCTTTGTGACTCACTTTTAAGTGATCCGTTAAACTTCCTTTCAGTGCGTGTATGTGCATGAAGGATAATTGCACGCGTGCTGCAAACCACAACCTGTTGCCCTTCTGCCACTAGAAGCCCCGGCTTTGGGTGATAGGTCAACCCACATATGCGCAGTCATCCTGGGACCAATCAGTAAAACAGTGAAAACCTCTTGTTTCCCACAAACCTTTGGCCAATAAGAGCAGCCGGTGACTCCTCAGGCAAACTCACGCAGGCATTGCTGATTGAGCTCTCTCAAATGGAACAACCTTGTCACAGTGTGTTGGCATTGTCTTTTTTATTGAATCTCTCTTCGGGATTGAGGGTCATTGCCGGGCAGGCATCCTGTTATTAGTTATACTACACAGAGGTTTCATATACAGACGCGTCCTCTGCAAAGCAAACCCCTCCATCTCTTCACACCAGCCTCCTTGATGTTGATATTTGTGACGTATGAGTGACTTAAGTGTTTCAGTACGTTCATGAACCGCCAGAGGTATAAAGTTCATGAATGTGACGCAAGAAACTGGGGTTCTGGTCCAGAGTCCTGGACGTGGTTTATCAATTCTATGCTTGAGCTTGGTGAAAGATGAAACAGATGTTTTCTGTTAAATGTAATAAACACGTTGTACCTCGTAAACTACCAACTATTTTCTGCGTTAAAGAGCTACTAGTGCCTAAACATAACTTTTATAAGGGTTATTTATAATAACTCTATTACTATATGTAATATATTGCTGCAAATTCCTTTTATACAGGGGACATTTTGCTAATGCATTACACAATGTTAATTAACAGGATTACAGTGTTTATGTTAGAAGACAAGGTTATCTGGACTGCGTTTTCTTAATTTGCAGCTGCAGATTAGCGGCATATCGATACTTCATACGATAGTCTATTGGTTTGTCCACGCTGATCTACGTTAACGCGGTAGAAGTCGCTTTGAGGGCCGGATAACGAGTGAGCTAATCAGCCCCGCTTGTGTTCACTTGTTGTGTTGACCCTTGAAGGGATTGTCGGCATGACGCTGTTCATTGCGCATACCAGGGGGTAACTCATATTTCCTCATCTTCCCACAAACTCGCCTTTCCACATTCAAGCCTCACATGACCTTCAACCTCTGACCTCCCGAAAGCAATAGAAGGCATATCACGCTTCCCCGGATAAGCATCTCGCCTTGACCCTCGACTCTGTGGGTCTAGTTTAACAAAGTGTTGTCGGTTCGAAGCATGTTTCACCACCGAAGAGATGAAGACTGAACCATGTGGAAGTGGGGGGAGGAAATTGGATTGCAGGGCACTAAAACATTTACATGGAGGGTTCAAATTCGCTCCGAACGATGGACGCGGTAAATCCACGCTTTCCCTCTCAATCTGACCTGCAGTTTAGTCACGGTGACGTTCTGGTGCCTCCACCTTCAGTTAGACTACGTCTCCGTTGTTTCAAGTTACAAGGTGTCTTTTAACAGCCAGTGGCCTTGTCCTCCGTCTCCCTGCTGCATCCCGACCGCGTTGAGCCTTTCGGGCCTGTCGGGCCGCCTAATGGACACGGACGTCTGGCAGCCCTGCCGGTCTGTGAGTGCTGATAACGCTTGTGCTCCGGTGAAAAAGATTACATTAGAAATAAAGAGCACATGATTGGGTTAGAGTGAAGAGTACAATATGACGGAGGCAATACACAATGAGCCGAGATCACGGCGCCTGGAATAACGGTTAATTCGCATCCATGATGAACTGAACTGGGTTGGTTCACTAGAAGATGTTCTGGTGTTGGAGCTCTGGTTCCTTTTATCTTGATCTACGTACGACGCGGTTCTCTTTCAAACCGCAAACTGAATCAAACTACATTAAAGAGGCATCCTCAAGGGAAGATGTCTTTTACAGCAGCGGAGCACAGAAACATTTATTTTGTTTCTTTGTTTTTCCCTAGTTCTTAAAAATCTGGGCAGACGCTATACGATTTATTAACGGTGTATGTGTTAATGTGCAAAGGCAAAATGTTTAGTAAAAACTACAACATTCTACTCCAATAGTAATTTAGTTCACTACAGTTTATACATTTCTTTAGACACATTTTCAGGAACAGCTGTATTGTTGATCATTAAAGCAATATATTGTCATGGTCCTACTGAAAATCAAGCTTTAATCACGTTTAATCTGTAAAGCGCCTGCCGAAGCCAAGCAGCCGGCTTTCATTAATATTCTCAAGATCATGACCGCGGAGCCTTAAAATAACACAAATCCTCCCATGTGACTTGAGTTTCTAAAGCAAAGCGGAGCATTGGAATACCCCAAAAAAGGAAGAAAAAGCCCCAAAATGATACGTGTCTCTGTTTTACTCATCAGTAGCTCCTTCAATCAGCCTCATGGGCCAAACCGTTAAGGCCTTACAGGCCAAACGGGACCATGGGAGAGGCACAAAGGACTCCCTTTAGCCTGCCACTCACGCCGCTGTGATAATAACATCCTTCAAACCGCTGCCCCAGCAGACTGCATGAGCGGTCAACACGCTCCTCTCTGTGTCATTTCACACAAGCGTTGATTTGAACTGTGAGGCGTCAGGTCATTCGAATGAGCAGTGACTGCGGGAATTTGGTGTGATACCCGCAGGGCGCGACGGTATAAAAGAAATCCAGTGCTCTGCTCGGAGATGTGAGTGCGGCCTTTGTACGAGTGGACGGGACGAGTCCTCAGAGACAATGGGACGAGCTGTCGCCTGGCATTTGGGTCGATGGGCCAACAAGGTCTATGATGTCGCACTGTGACCATCGGATTGTGTGGCTTTGGTCCAGTAAATAAAAGTGTCTTGTAAAAAGAATAAATGGATTTTTGAGGAATTTTACTTTTCTTCCTAAATCATGTAACGTCTGCATTGCAAAGGTTAAGTGTCGCCAAAATTGAACATGTTGAACTTTTAAAAGGACCCATAGAGTAAAGGTGATGAGGATGTCTGAGGGCCCGGCTAGCTGTTCACTGCAGTATTTGTGCTAAAATTCAGCTAAGCTAAGCCATTGGCTGTCCAATCACATCTACACGTTTAAGATCTTCTCTTCTGAGCTGAATGTCTTACCTTGACAAACCGTATCGGTTACGGAGGTGCAGTACTCTAACACTTCCTGATCGTCACAGGTGGTGCAGGGGAGGCAGGGCTCCCGAGAGCTCTCCTGGTCCGAGTAGGTGTCCCCGGTGCACTCCTCGCACGTCGTGTCATGGTTAGACTCGCACGGGAGCAGCATGCCCTTGCCTTCGGGACACGTGGTGCAGTGATCGCACTGCTGAGAGAGCTCATTCATGTAGTAGTCATTCTTGCAAGCGCAGGTGGCGTCGTTGGAATCTGTGCAGGGCACCTTCATGCGTAACAGGCCTGTGCACACCGTGCAGGGCTGACACGTGTCTGTGGCACTGGGGTTTTCTGAGAAGGTTTCACCTGAAATGAGAGGAAGAGAATGTAGAGAATTAACTTTTCATCCGCCAAAAACCCTGACGTCCGACACACTATATTCTAAATTCTAAATGAAAGAATATAATGTGTAACATATCCCAACATTACATCAAATATATACTTCTCTTTAAATACCGCAATATCATAATATATCATTTATTTTACTTCAATTGACACTTATGTGTGTTCTAAAATGCAAATTGCTGCGCATGACAAAAAAAAAACGCTTGCGAAATGTGTCGAGAGGGAGAAGCGCATGTAACTGGGGGAGAATCCGCTCATTTTTCAAAATAAAATATTTTCAGAAAGAAAAAAAAAGCGTAAAATTAAGTTATTTTTCTATCTCTAAGTCCCAGAACCAAGTGGACTGTTTTAGTTACATACATCACATATGTTTTATAAGTGCTTTGTATACCTGACAGTTATATCTGCAGGGAATGCAATCGATATTGAATGTTTTATGGAATTGTATTTCGGCTGGATAGAGAACTGGGAAACACACTAAATTATGCAACAGGCCTATTTGTAAGAGCAGCTTGTGTGTGTGTGTGTGTGTGTGTGTGTGTGTGTGTGTGTGTGTGTGTGTGTGTGTGTGTGTGTGTGCGCGAGAGAGACAGAAAGAGACACATAGAGACAGAGAGAGAGAGAGAGAGAGAGAGAGTAATTATCTGCCTGTCTTTTTTTTAACATTTTATTCACATTTTTGAAACTGGTACCAGACAATTTCAAGCACATATTAAGATTTACCTCAACTCAGATAAAAAAACAAAAACTAACTGTGTGTGTTAGGAGACGGGGGGGTTGGCGTATCAAGTTTGGCTCTGCGTCACCACGGCCAACGCTCTGATGATGCAGAGATTAAACCCGAGACGAGAACAGACTCACAGACAAAGAAAGCAGATCGTCATTTGAGACGGATGCGTCCAAAGTTGGGGGCCCAATGGGGGTACAATTTTGTTTAATTATGTTCTCATTGAGGTGGACAAACCGTCCTCCAGCCCAGTCACCAATCCAGTCGTGCCCTGTTACCCCCCCCCCCCCATCCCACCCTTCACCCCATTATCCTCTGCATCCACCCCCTCCATTCAAACAAACATACTCAGACTACCCCAGCCCCCCTCCCTCCCCATGAGTACTCTCAGAGCCATTATCATAATGCCATGCATCAATAATGCAAGTCAATACATTAATAACGTTAGCCTGCAGCGTGGAGGGGCAGTAGGGGGTTGTTACAGGAGGGGGAGGGCAGATGCTCTTTTCCTGGCTCAGCATATCATGTCACAGCAGTGCTTTCGTCCTCTATTTAATTTAATCCTTTGTTATAAAAAAACCAAAACATAAAAGGAGTCCTAACATTTTTTTGCGGGAGGTGTGTGTCGGTCGGACGGGCGCGTGGGAGGTGTGTGTGCGTTCTTCAGGACATGTTTGAGCGTGCGTGAGTGTGTGTGCATGGACCATTAGCTGCTGGCTGAGATCTTGTCTCCATTCCGTCCGTACAGCTGTACTTGCTCTATTTCATCTCCACCCATCTGTTCATTCATCCAAACTCCTCCGTGTGGTTTGGTTGTTTTTAGCACATCAGCCCGGCCGCCGCATACTACTAAATGGAGCCTGAGCTTCGTCTGTAAACCGCCTTCTTTCTCTTATAAATGGTTGTTTGTGCACATCAGACTCTGAAGTAACAGAGTGTATGTTTTTAAAATGACGAGGAAGAATTATCTGAAAGTACATTTCCATACGTAGCCTACACTCATATAAGTATTTGTTGAAGGCAAAATTTACATTTAAAAAAAGCACAGTTATCATGTTTATAGTATCTTCTAAATTTTTAACCAGTGTTTTCACTTTTTGAATGAAGACTAACCAATTTGTTAAGTAAACACAAGCATGAACTTCCGCAAATCCAGCTTGACGTTAGCCTAGCTTCAGAAATACTACGAAATAGTAGCACGACCGTCTCCCACACAGTGAATAAACACCCAACACTGGATGTAAGAAGCTAATTAAACATAAACAGTAACTCTACAAATATTATAAAACAATTATAAAATATCCTTGGCAGTAATACTGGAATGATTTATAGGCTGTAAGTACCGACCTAGTTAGCCACTAATGCTAATGTAATCATAATGCAAGAACAAAAAGACCTTGAGCTTGACAGACCTGCCATGAGAAGCTACTGTTGCTAGGCTATGATTAGAGAAACACTGTTTTAAGGCCGGGTTTTTAGTGAATGGAAGATTGACAGGTAGAAGACTAAATAACCCACTGACGGCCGAGGCTTCAAAACAAGTTAATGCTAAAAGGCTTCTGCGCACGCACACTTTAGCCCTTTCAGCCTGCATCACTGATCTAATCAATGTGTTTGATGTGTTCTTAAAAAAATCATTGCGGTGTTATCTGATGGAGAATTATCTGCTTTGCGTAAGTCAGTCCAGAGCCTGTCTGACCTCATGAGGGTTTTGAGGGAAATGTCACCGTGTCTCTGGTAACGTCTGAGCAGAAAAAGCGCCGCGAGAGTGAAAGTTAGCGCCTGAAAGCAGGAGCCAGATGAGCCGTACGCATTTCTGTGCAACTACAACAAGATGATAAGCAGTCCAACAATATATTACAAATGTTTAACTGAGAGACACTTAAAAAGGCCTAAATCGTTTCAAAGAAGCCCATTAAAAGAGAATAAATCCTCCTCCCCGTGTCCACTTTCTCTGTGACTTCTCTCATGACCTTGAGTCGGGGTTATTTTCTGGCTGAGGGGCTCCTTGGCTCAGGGTTTGTCTTCCTTCACTGACCCGGGGAAGTTCACGTCCACTTCCTAACTGACTACTTTTTTTTTCGCATTGTGGATTTTTTCCCCGCTACAGTTCAGCAGAAATGTACCGAACTGCCTTAAACACCGTTTGGAGCTCCTCAAATCACCAATGTCTTTTTCACATTTGAGAAATCTAAATCCACCCAAACACACTTAAACATAACTCGTCTGCTGCTTTAAATATCTTCCACTGAAACAACATTTGGAGCTGGTCCCGCTCTCGTATCCTCTTAACATCATTGTCCTCATAAAGTCTTACGGTCCGGCACAGCTTCCCTCCCTACATGGTAAGGGCCATGAAGAGGGCAGTTATGCTGGAACACAGTGTGGTCTGGCGTCTAGCTGTTTTGCTCCGAACACGCAACTTGAAAAAGTCCAAGATTCAGTTGTACGATATTGGCTAATTAAAAAAAAAATGTGTTGTGTCTTTCTTTTGTAGTGCCTTGTGAATTTTAGTCCTTTGCAATGCTAACATCCGTTAGTGTCCAACTGGGACGCATTATTTAGACTGGAAGTCGGGAATATTGACTCACAATTACCAACTTCTGAGTAGCAATTGTTTGCAGCATCGTATTTATATTTTCACTACCCTATATATATATATATATACACCTGTGTTTTGTGATACTTACTGTCGAGACAGGGGGCGCACACAGTCTGTGATGCGCCGCATGGTTGGATGACGCCCTCCCCGGGCGGGCACTGTTTGCAGCATTCTCCGCCGTTTGTATAACGACCCGACAAACAATCCTCCTTGTTGGCCACGGCGCTAACCTGAAAATCGGCAAAGACATTGTTCACTGGGGGGAGAAGCAAAGTTACATTCAGCGACAGCTATGAGACGAGTAGGACATTCAAACCAAATATGCATTGTGATGTGTAACGTGAGCAACCAAAGGGTGTCGTTTCCAGAGCCCTGGAGGAGGAAAAAACATCCTCTGTGTTCCACAGGAAAAAGCAATGGAAAGAAAGACTTTGCCTTTAATCATTTGGTATTTCCTTAGATTTATTTTGGAACCATTAAACCGGCAATTCCCAGCATGACTGATTAGTCAAAGGAGGTGTAAGACAACTAACGGGACGGGGGAAACCAAAATGCAGATTTCAGCAACACAAATATGGTCGATTGTTCCTTTATTTTTTTTATATGTTCTTGGGAAATATCAGATTTATTTTTGTTATTGAGGCTATTGGGAGTATAAATGACACAATCTGAAGAGGAAAAAATAACTCATGGTAGATAAATGGGACCTGTGATTTAAGGCCGCAGAGACACATTGCTTAACTTTGGAAACCATGCTGTCACCACATCATTACTACGAAACTACACGTACGTATAACTCACTTCAAGCCCAACTTCTCTTCTGATGCAACATTTAATAGTTGCATTTTAAAAAGTCCCTCCCACACCCAAACGCTTGATTAAAGCAGCGATCGCCCTCTGACACCGAGCCAGAGCAGAGGCTTTGTCTTTCATTCCCTCCAGATGAACGATTTAGGGCTCGGTAAACCTTTCGCTCTTTTTGCTGTTTCTCATGAAAAGCGGTCGACGTGGGATTCCAAGCCATGTTACAGTTGTGTCATCGGAAGTCTGATTTGAACATTGTTCCACGACCCTGTTTGCCTCGTGAACGTTGGTGAGATTAAGCCACGCACTCGTCAAAACAGTTTCAGGGCGTGTTTGTGCGCGTGCGTGTACACTGAGGGGTGCATTTGCATGAAGCAGGTCCATTCGACATCAATCGCCGAGGATCCCCTTTCAGGTATCTGTGGAACGCTGCTGACAAGACTCGAGTCTCTAAAAACCATCGAGTGCCCTCAGGCTACGTCGGCTGTCACATCCACCTGCTGACCGTGATGATGTCACAGCCCGCTCACCTGCAGGTCTGTGGTAATCAGTTAACCACACTGTAACGTTGTATTTGTCCGTCTTCAGAACTTCTCTTCTGTCTTCATTTCACCCGAGCAGACTTCCCTCCCTCACACAAAGTAACAAGCGTTCGTGAATGAATCAAAACTGTCATCCTACACGCTTCTCACGCACAGCTTTTTTTTGACTGGCCCTTTTCCAAAGTCCTCAAGTTCCAGTGTTTGGCTCCTACTCAGTGTTTCTGTGGCCCTGTTCTAGCTCACATTAAAGTGCATCACTAACGACTGCTAAATGACAATACGGGTGAATTAGAGGGCAATGTGATTTGAGCAAATAGCTCTTGGAAGGAAAGAGAATTTGCAAGTTGCAGCTTGACTTCTTCGCGTTTTCTGAAGAAGCTTTTTAAATGTGAGCCAGAACTTCTGTCAGCTGATCGCCCGGAGGCCAAAGCAACAAGCGGGTTGATCGCACATCGCCAATCACACCCAAACGCACACGCAGAAGTACCTGGGCACAGGGCAACCAATCTTACTAATGCTGCTGTCAATTTGCAGGGGGAGGCACTTAACCTCCGGACTTCCGCTGTCAGCGCTGGTTAAGCCATTAGAGCTCCGCTGTGCCGGCCTTGTAATACGCGTAGCCTCGTTTAAACCGTTGGCGACAACATTACCGATTTAATGTTAGGGGGGGTGGGGGGTGGGTGGTGGTTCGGGTCATATCAATATTGCATGCACGGGGCCAGCAGGGGATGCATACCCATCAGTGAGAGCAGCTGTCATGTGTCAGTGGTGCAGGCTGTTCCTGAACTAGGACCTTAACAAGCTGTGAAGCCCCGACTGACCCGGTCCTGTCCTGTCGAGATTTAGAAAACACTCGTATGGTTCCCTCCTGCTTCTGCCTCGAGGGAAGTGGGGGTAAATTGGGAATATCATAAGACGGGGCTTTCCACAGCTGGAATCGAGATTTCTCTTGTTGATTTCTGCTGATGGGGGGGGGGGGATTGGTGAGCTCCTTCACAGAGGCCACGGGGACACCGTCCTTGTCCCCCCCCTCACCCGTCTGCAGGGCCATATGTAACTGAGACGGGTGGAACTACACATCTACAACTGGAGCTGCAGAGTATCAACCTGAAAGGGTGCTGCAGACAGGAGACCCGAAGACAGGACAGGTGAGACGACCTCAGAGACATTTATTCAAAGAGAAACCACAGGGGGGGGGTGTGGGGGGGGGGGTTATTAAGTCAGTGGAATATAATTTTGAGCAGGGAAGTCTGAACGAGGGCAGTAACGTTTATGCCGCACATTTTACAGCGACTTTGTTAGAGGCTACTCCCCCCTCCCAAGAACACCCGTAGGAGAGCGGAAATTATGGTGTGCATCATCCTCACCGGGGGGGGCAATCGGATTTGAATCCACCCCGCGAGGTTTGGGGCTCAGTCGCTTTCAAGGGAAAAAAACTTGGCTTCCATCGCTGCGCCTCCTTTTCCAGGTCACTCCCCGGGTCCAAGGAAAATCCTCCCGCGCGTGAGTCTCAAATCACTCGGTCCAGATGCTGAGGCTGCACGCGGGGTCCAGTCGGTGTAAAAAAAAAAAAAAGCAGAAGAAGTGGCTGAGATTCACCCATCGGATGTTGGGCCGCGGTGGGCTTTTCACCGACTGGATTCGTGTGACGGACGCGTCTCAGCTCCACAGCTAAAGGGGAGGAGCCATCTCGCTCTCCACGCCCACACACACACACACACGCAACCTGCTCTCCATTTAATAACTTTAATTAATCATGCACTGACATGGTCTTGGTGAGTGGGACAAATCATCCACCAATAACGCTGATCACCTGACAGATAAAGTGTTGTGTAAATGGTCCATTCAGCAGGTGATACACAGAAGGTGTCAAGCCCTTGAATTACTTCACTCCCTACAACCACGCATCCCGAGTGAAGAGGATCTGGTAGATTCTTGTCGTCCCGGGACTTCTTGAACTATACCCCTTGTATCAGTGAGACACCCCGGATGCACACAGGTTTGCATGCACTGATTTGTGACGCAGCAATCCTGCAACAGATACGAGACTAACTTTATTAACATGCCGTGTTTTGGAATGTTACACTCAGTGGAGTCACAGGATGGCACACAAACACTGCTGCCTTTATGTATAAAAAGAGGCAAGTTCCTGTTGGATTCTGACACCTGAGGCCAAATGTCAGCCCGATAGAAACCAGGGAACAAGCCGCATACTGCAGTGCGGATCATGACTATACACGCCGCCCGGCTGAACGTGTTAACCCTAAAGATTGACAATGATGTTGTACAGTTAATTGTGTCTTGGGTGTCATGCCTCACAAAATGAATTTCCCTGCAGGAAAGTGAATGAGTGATCGATCAAACTGATTTGAGCTGTTATTGTTTTGGTCCAGCCCCGGCACAATAAGCTTTAGTGCAAAGTAGATACAAAGACCTACATGTGTAGTGAGTCACACCTCGGCTCAGAAAATCTGCTTATCCCAAAGTGCAATAATGTGCATGTTACAAACAGGTTTGACATTTAAGTTGATGCCCCATGCAGAAAATGACTTTTTGCCTTGTATGAGGTTTATACAAAGCATGCAGGGACTGAGGGCGGTGAAGACAACGGGTGAGGAAAGAGAGGCAACTGGGCTGGTATGAGATAGATCATTCATGAGAGAGGGAAACGGGGACAAATATCAATAGATCAATCCCATTTTCAGTGTTCCCCCCCGTCATTTATAATTTGTAATATGATTTCACTGCACAATCCATTGGAAATCACTCTGAAAATAGTTGCTGCTGAGATGACACGAAGACCACGAACAATAACGGTACTCTGAAAAAGAAAACTCAAAAACAAGCATTACAACACATATACACATGCGTCAACTTTTAATTGAATTTGTTTTGTGCATTCGCCCGTTTGTTGGAGGAATAAAAAGGAGAGAAGAGCCACTCGTCTTTTTGTAAATCCGCAAGTGAAACAAAACTGCATCCATTTTTTCCAATAGCCACATAAACATTTGTCCGGACACACACACTGACCATCTGTCTCCAGGGAGACGGCAGAGGATGGGTGGTCCGGGGGACATTGAATGTCCCATCTCATGTTCCGAGAAAAGAATTCTGTTCCAGGTGAAAAAAGTGTGCGCGTCTGTCTGCTAGTTAGCGTATGTCTACATCCATCCCAGTCATGGAAAGCTTTCCATACTTGTTTATTATTTAGATCTTAGGAGTGTATCTGTCATGCACACACATAAGTATCCATCTTCAACATGGGAAAATAGTTTTTCTTTATCACCGACCATGACCACCTGTCAATCTTGCACCAGCAGCAACAAGAAAGCAGCACAAACAGCAATGTGATCCACAGCCTCAGCGCTGGCTTTTCTTCTAATGCACCGTGTTAGAAGCAGAGGCATCATGTGACCAGCCAAGGAAGCCCTGGAATCACTCTGAGAGCACTCACACCAATAACTGGCACGGGAGTGATATCATGTTTTGTTCAGAAAGTACTGCTTTCCTGTTGTTTCGGGCATTTACAGGGGAAATTTTTCTTCCAGGGGGGGGGGGGGGGGGGGGGGGCGCTTGGTAATGGCAGGGTAACCACAGAAGCTAACTACCCTCTCTCCTTTCTGTCACTCCTTGTTGTCTCATCTTTGTACGTTTCTGATCCGCTGATAAGCCGTGAGCCTTTACAAACCCTCGGGTCGTCTGGCACCGGTCTACTTGCTGCAAACCTAAACGTGGGGAAGCAGGGTTCAGTTCTTCTGCTCCACATATCTGGAACATAATCTCAGAAAGCTGCAGGTCTGCTGAGTCCCTCAGCTCCTTTGAATCCAGATTAAAAACCTCTGTTTGCTGCTGGCCTTAAAGGACCATTTCGGAAATTTTGCTTCTATTAAACTTCTCTACAATAACAGAAACAAATAGGCGTTTGTACTACGGATGGAGAGCCTCTGATGCCTCTTCTCTGAACAGTTATTTCTATATTTTACAACCATGAGCCATTGCCACTTGTAAACCCTGAATGAATGAACTAGTCTCCTCCGTTGAAGAGAGCGTGACCTTCTAACTGAGCTGACCTGAACCCAGAGGCACTGTGTCAGTGTCGTGTTTGAGGCGTGCGTGCCTACATTGATGTTCTGAACTGCCGTCCTGCATGATATCCGTGCATCTATTCAAAACATGTTGACTTGCCCTCACAGGATCAATGGAAACAAATACTGATTTCAAAGTTTTTATTAATCCTCTGCTGCTGAAGTGACCCAACAAGGGTGTTTTTCCTGGGGGCCAAACACGCTTTTGCATTGATCAGATTTTAGCAGAAGCAGGTTGGTTTTAACGCACGCCAGATTCAAAATGAGTCGCAGGCTGTTGGCGATCAATGCAGTCCATTATTTATTCAGAGGAACGCAAATTTGGCAGATACGAAGCAAGCACATGTCCCCACAAACACAATAGTAACCCACAGGAATCACAGAGACGCAGGAAGGTTCATGTGGTACTGTATCACTGGGAAAGCTCACCCAATGGATCTGATAAGCATGAGAAAAGTGATATACGTTTACATATCCAAAGTACATGGCGCACTATGGGGAACTCTGACTAAAAATATCAAACTTAAAAATCCACGCCTAACTTTTTCAGCATGCCGCTGCTGCTGAGGAGGACGATGCTGATGCTGAAGATGATGCCACGACCAAAGCAATGCTGCCACCTGCTGAGCAGAAGACGCTCATCCTGTCAGAGATAACGTGAAAGGACGACACATTGGATTATTACTAATAATCATATTCTGGTGTTTATATATATATATCGATGATCAAAATACAATTTACTTTGTAGATTACACCATTGTGAGGTGTCTCTATCAGGGATAGATTAGTTTTTTAAAATTGACATGTAATGGGGTATAATCAAGAAAATAAAGACAGTCGAGATGGTTGTGGATTTCCAGAGGAACAGGCTCAGCAGAGGTTGTTCTTCCTGAGGCAGCTGAAGAAATTCAACCTGCCAAAGACGATGATGGTCCACTTCTACACGGCCATCATGGAGTCCATCCTCTGCTCCTCCATCACCGTCTGGTACGCTGCAGCCACAGCCAAGGACAAGGGCAGGCTGCAGCGTGTCATCCGCTCTGCAGAGAGGGTGATCGGCTGCAACCTGCCGTCCCTGCAGGACTTGTTCACTTCCAGGTCTCTGAAGCGAGCTAAAAAGATCGTGGCCGACCCCTCTCACCCCGGACAAAACCTGTTTGTGCCCCTTTCATTCCACCTCCCGCCACACCAACAGTTTCTTCCCGTCGGCAGTCGGGCCTGCCCGGGTCTTGTTGTCTATTGTTACACTGTCTACTGTCACGCACCAACCGCCAAGACAAATTCCTTGTATGTTTGACATATTTTGGCAATAAATGTTTCCTGATTCGTGATTCGTGATCCTGAAAATCAAAGCTTATCAAAGCAACTATTATGTATTATTAAAAGGATACCTGTGAGTCGTATACTATCTAACTTACTTACATACTTCGTGTTTGTAAAATGGTAAACTATTTTTACCTCATTTCCAAATAAAGTACCATAAAATGGAAATACATCAAGTAGAACTTTAGGACTGGCTTTAAGCTTAAACTTAAAAAGCCAGGCGGCACCTTTTCTTTTGTCCTGCTTGTTTGAGTTGACTTGCTGCCATGAATTCAGTAGGTTTAGACTTCCCACTGTGGTGTTGTCAGTTTATCTCCAAAATAATCATGTGTGTCGTCAAATCAGCACCATGTACACACACATTACCTTGGTCATAGGGCCTCTGGCGCAAACCTCAGGATCAAATCTCTTACACTGGACTTTTATTGTTGAACCATTTTATATTTGATTGTATTACCAGCATCATTGCCATTTGCCTTTATTCTATTTTGCAGTCACTTGCCATTTAAACTGAAAGTAGCTTCCAAATTGTATCAGCCACATGGACTTTTTTATACATAATAATCTAGTTTTACTGCACTTTTATCACCTTTAGTCGTTTTGAAAATTACAGTTTTGTCACTTTGGTAAAATGCTTGAATTTGAAATATCTGGGCACAGATCCTTCTCATTCTTTCAAGTAAATCACAAATTAATTTTCTATAATTTGCACAAAAACCAGCGTATTGATTGGTGCTCGGCATTGATGAGTTGATCACTTCTGAAGCTTCGTTTATAGTTCAAGCCGTTGAATGCAAAATGTTCATTCAAACCTCTAAATGTAAAAAATATTCATTAGATAAGCTGAAAATTACAATTGTTTTACTAAACCAGCTCAGGTTTTCCGTTGTCGAAGGCTTAAGTCAGTCTGTTCGTTTTGTGGCAAATTGTCAATTAACTTGAAATTTAAAAATGAAAGAAACATTTTAGGATGTTATCTGGCTCCATGTGTACTTCTCATATTTTCACCTGTTTGACCTCTATCACATACATCATATCGTCACGTTCATTGATGATCGGACTGATCACTGGTGGGGCGGAGGCAGCGTACAGAAGAGAGGTGGAGGAACTGGTGGCCTGGTGTCAAAATAATCTCTCCCTGAACACGAGGAAGACCAAGGAGATGATCCTCGACCCAAAGAGGAAGAAGGTGCAGCGCACACCTCTTTACATTGGTGAGACTGAGGTGAAAGGCGGAAGGCAGAGGACAGGAAGGCAGAGGACAGGAAGGCAGAGGACAGGAAGGCACTCCAGCGTGTGATTAAAAACAGCACAGTCCATTGCAGCAGCAGCCTTCCGCTCACTACAGAACATTTACTCCACCAGGGTCACCAGGAGAGCCCGAAATATCATCAAGGTCAGAACACTCCCCCCCCTCCCCAGCACCAACTCTTCTCGCCCATCAGGCAGACGCTGCAGGGGTCTGATATCCAGAACCAAGAGACCATCGAGCCGTTTCAAAGACATAGACAGACATACACATACGTGTGAGTGACCGATGCTGTGACTTCATGTTCAAATTCTTGTGCAATATTGGCAACAAACGCACGGGTCACTTTATCGTTTATGCCTAACGCATGCACATATTCATACATTGTGCTATATTCTATATATATATATATTTTAAGTTGAGTAATCTGTTGAACTGTACACATGACGATAAATATCTTAAATATTTTTCACTTCATATGTGCACGTGATTAACAGTTTCATTCGACAGATGAACAGACATCAGAGGTTATCCGTCGTGAAGGGAGAGGAAGAGGAGAAGATAAAAAGGCGTCTTCATTCCAAGCTTTTGCCTTCTTACCCGGGGGCGCTGAAGGTGAGTGTGCATGCCCGGCACTGTAATCCAAATCTTTGTTGTCCTCACAAATAAGATAAGATGCTGGTTGGATAATGACACAGTGCGACTGGTTTGCTGCACACACCAAGTTGCTGTGTTTACCATCAATATTACCCCCCTCCGCCCCCCCGCACACACACACACGCTCACAACAGCAGCAGCAGCTACAAAGGAGGAGGTGTTTATAAAGTCTTGCTTTTTGCCATTCTGGGGTCAGTCTCTTGTCACTGCTGAGGGCCTGCAGGAGGTAAGTATCACCTTTTTTTTTGCTACAGTTGTGCATTGTCAGTCTGTAATAAAGCAAGCAAAGACTTTTAACTTTTAAGCAGAATACACATGGAAACTTCGTATCAATGGGGTCCGTTTCTAAAAATGAGTGAAAGATTTGCAGGCATTTTTCAAGTTAGTAAGACGCGCGTATCATGGAATCTTTCTCATTTTGGAAATGAACATTAGTGGATTTTTGAGCGGTGAACATTATTTCAAACATTTCAGACATTAAACCTGAGAGGATTTTTGCATGTGCAGGTATATTTTCTTGAGGACGGACAATGAAGGATTATGTATGCAATGAACAATGCAAATGGAAACACATTGTTTATTGAAACATCTATACATGTGTATTTTTCTGTATATATATATATATATATATATATATATATATACCTGCAAATCGGAACCAGCAATGTTACCAACGTCCCCCCTTCTCGACTCACACAGATGAACATTTTCAGATTCATCTGCACGTAGACACGTATTCCTCATGTGACTTACAGTATATTCATTAACTGTACACGCATGAATGTGCCAATTTGTATCACTTGGATTTGAATCATAAGTCACAGACACTTAAGTCACAGGCCGAGTCCTCCGCCCCTTTGCTCAGCTGTGTTTTGGAAATAAATAATTTTGTTGTCTTAGACAACTTCAGCTATCCGTTCCAATATGAGAGACAGAGGCATGAGTTATTTTACGTTATATTACCGTGAAGTCACACGCCAACTGCAGCATCAATCTGTATTTCTTTGTGTTTTTACTGCAAATACAAAAACTTTTTTTTTTACAATTTCATGCAAAACCTTGACCGAGCAAATATAAGATGAACTACATTACTTTTACTTACTAATTTCCAGAATCCATCCAAATAAACTTTGAAACATGCGTCAATGTGAATTCAAAAAGGATACGGAAAACGCATTGTCCGTTAATATTATTCATTACTAATGGACCAAAAAATGTACTCTACTTAACTGGGTCTATTGTGTCTCTTACAGCTTTGTGGAGTACCGAAGCCAACACCTGTGCAGAGTGTCATGTAAAGGACAAACACACACACACACACACACTCCAGGTACACGGCGTGTATTGACATTCCAAACATGTCCGAGCCGAGCCGTCACTTATATCAGCACCGGAAGCAGAGAGTGGAGTCACTGGTTGTCGAGGACGAACGGTGTTTACCCTGTAGACACACGCAGGTCTCACCAACTTTCCACATTAGCCAGATCTGTATCCACGGCGGCGGTGCCAAAAAGTCTGTAGAAATAACAATATTTCTTGTGTCACCCAAAACATCATCGGTGCGTCTGTAATGTAGTGAGGCATAAATTTATCTGATGCCTCGGTGTAATAAATGATATCCCAGTTGCTCATTGCAAAAACAAGTATAAACTTTGGCTGAAGGCAAAAACCTTTTTCAGTAAGGTTTGTTTAAAGTTATTATTGGAAATGTAGTGAATCATAAAGTAATGTGGAAATAGAAAGGGGAATTTTAATTATTGTGCTGTCGTGCTAATTATTCTTCACAGAAGATCCATCTAAATACCTGAAATGAAAGTGCAAAAAGAGAAGAATGAAATCATTTAGTGTTGGGGGGGGAATGTCTCGGGCAACCTAAACATTTTCAATGGAGAAATAACCCCAAAATATCTTTACTTGATATGAAAGCGATCTCCCACTTTCAGTAGAGACAGAATGTTCACTCACAGTGAAACGCTCCGACAGGTAGGACGTGGTCACTGTTGGCCGCCACATGCTCAGACTGTAATTACGGAGGTTTCTCGTTTATTTCGGCCCCGTTCCCGTATTCACTCGCTGTCTCGCAGACACGGGGATGTTTTGTGCTTGTGTCCGATGTTCATGTTCTGTCAGCCGGTGTTTACTTCTATCTATCTCTGGGCCTTCAGAGGTACGTGGAGCTGAAGGGGCTAATGAAGGACCCGAAGCAGCAGAGCTACTGGCAGGAGACGGGCCGATGGGCGGGCTACGAGGAGAGCTACGACCCCCAGGCCGGGGTGTGGTCGTCCTTGAGCATTTCCTACCTCACCTTCAAGAGCCTTATCCACCTCCGACGCACCATGAACACAGGTCAGAGGAAAGCCAATGGAACATGTGGGATTCAAACTAAAGCGATCTGTTTACTGAACAATAAGGTTATTGTCATGTGGTAGTAACAATGATGCAGATTTTAGGCACTTTACTTCCACTACTTGAAATGTTGCAGCCGGTAAAGGGGTGGCTAGGTTTGACAATGCTTTGTTGATTATATTCCGTAATTAGAATTAGAATCGGCAAAGTGTCCTTGATATCTTTCTAACCATAAGACAGCAGGCTTACTAACCTGTATTTACTCTAAAGACTCATAAATGGACCTTTAAAAATGGATCCGGCCATCCAAGCGCTTCTTCTCACTTCATCTGAGCCTCAACTACAACTACACAGCCCCCTGTGTGTGTTCAAATCTGCTCATTTTCCAATACGTTTCAAATCGGCCAGGTGTGACGATATTCGACAGCGAAAAGCGGACGCTGTCCGACATCGCAGAGGAGATGGTCACCAAGATGGTTAACAAGAAGGAGATCAGGCCTGGGGACCGGGAGGGAGTGCTACAATCTCTTCTTCAAAACCACAGGTATCCTCCCAAGGCATCGCACCAACAATGACTCAAACCTAAATGACCTGCAGTTATGTCGCTGTTTGGAGAAAGTGGAACCAAACACGTAACTGCTGGGGGGGATCAAACGTGTAATTATGACACATTTGCACTGACCACCGACCCACTGCTTCAGCCTTTATTGAAGGTGACCGATGTGTACTGTAATGACACCGTACAAAAGTGTCTACACTCCCACTGTCAAGCAAATGAATAGAAATGAAAACGCCTGTGTACTTTACACCAAAGATCACGCAGCTCGTTCAAAATGCCTAATCCCCTATTTTGTTGAATGATTGCTTTGTAAAACATATGCTCCCTGCTTACTCCTCTACTTGGGATTATCAGATAATAACTTAATTCTATTCAGCCTGACACAAATTCTGTTAATAACACACGCCATTTTTTTCCTGCAGCCAATCAGACGACCCCGAGAGACAAGCCCTGACTGATGGGGTGGACCTGCAGAAGTTTTCAGTCAAAGACAGAGTAAGTTCTTGTACTGATAATCCATGTGATGGGGATAACATGATTTGATATGATAACAACTTAAAGGTGAAGGTAATTTCTGGCGTCAGACCGCTTTGTAAGTCAGCTTGGGAGTAAAGCTCTTAGTGATTTCGTTTTTTTTAAATAAACATATTCAGATTTTTAAAAAAAATGTTGGATTCAATTTGTGACATATAGCTGTTTTAGATGCATTACAGGCATGATTCTGTGAAAAAGATGAGGATTGGAAAGCAAACATGAAGCCAATAGATCTGCTCACTCTGTGTTCGTTTAGAGGGATGAATCCGACCAGGTCGAGGCCTCCATGGTGCTCGTAGGTAGGTCAGTGCTTCTGTGGTTCTCATTTCCGACCTGCAGTGTGTGTTTCTTGCTGCAGTAAGATTTCTATTTGTTTGATCCAGGCTCCTTGGACTTTCTAGAAAGGCCTACCGTCGTGTTTGTGCGTTTGAAGGAAGCTGTGGCGCTCGACTCGACCTTGGAGGCCCCGGTGCCTGTGCGCTTCGTCTTTGCTCTGGTTGGCCCCAGCCAGACTGACATGGACTACCGCGAGACGGGCCGCGCCATGGCGTCACTGATGGCCGACAAAGTGAGTGAGCTGACCCGTTTTTTTTATTGCGGATCTAAAAGGTCTGAGCGGTGATGCAATAACAGAGAACATGATGACTCCGGGCACGAATTCAGGGCAGTCAACCCTGATTTTAGTAAGATAATCCAAGTTCAGGATTCAAGTGTCACAACATTATAGATTGTTCAGAGGCCTCCTGAAGAACGTCTCTCAAAACAATGAAAACTGTGCAGACAAAATTAATGTTTAGAATGAAGAAAAGAGTATGTGGAAACCTCTTCCAATGCTCCCTGCAATGGGGAGTCCTTTATACCCCCTTTGCTGTCTCCATCCCAGGTTTTCAATCAGACAGCATTTCGGGCAAAGAGCGACCGTGAACTGACGGACGGCGTGGCCAGCTTCCTGGACTGCAGCATCGTCATCCCGCCCACCGAGATCCAGGACGAAGCGATGCTCAGCTCCATTATCGGCTTTCAGAAGAAACTACTCCAGGACAGGTTCCAGTCCTCTGATCGCGCCGTCCGCCTGGACGCCAAACCTCGCAGGGGTGAGCGCTGTCGACACACGCACACCGAAAATTGCAGTGCACAGTGACAGTAGTACGAAAGATTGATGTGTCATACAACACATAAACAAAAAGGAAATTGTCCCCCCCTGTCCTCCTCCTTAGTTTCCATCGCTACTGGTCCCAAACCCGAAGACCCCCTGTCCCGTACCGGTCGCCCATTTGGTGGGATGATGCGAGACATAAAAAGGCGTTACCAGTACTACAAGAGTGACATCACAGATGCTTTTAACGCCCAAGTCCTGGCCGCCGTCATCTTCATCTACTTTGCCGCCCTGTCTCCCGCCATCACCTTCGGAGGACTGCTGGGTGCGTGGGCACACTGGTCAAGACGTGGTGTTGTTTTTTTGCATGCTATAACAATACTTGGCCCTCATCTTTGCTGCTACAGCTGATAAGGTGGAAAACATGATGGGCGTTTCAGAGCTCCTCATCTCCACCAGCATTCAGGGGATCATCTTCTGCTTTGTTGCCGCTCAGCCCGTCCTGGTCATCGGTTTCTCAGGTCCTCTGTTAGTGTTTGAGGAGGCTTTCTATGCTGTAAGTTACTTATCTATTCAGGTGACATTGTTTTTATGCATTTTATATTTTGGAATCTCACGGGACATTCCTTCTTCAATGTATTTGCTTGGCTTCCTTCACTCAGTTCTGCAAGTCCCAGGGCATTGAGTATATTGTGGGCAGAGTGTGGGTCGGATTGTGGCTGGTCATCATTGTGGTCATCATCGTGGCCTTTGAGGGCAGCTTCCTGGTGCGTTTCATCTCCCGCTTCACCCAGGAAATCTTCTCCATCCTAATTTCGCTCATCTTCATCTATGAGACCTTTGCCAAGCTAGGCAGGGTAAGCCCTCTTCATCTTTTCCACACATTTCATCTCTCCAAACAACATATGAGATGTTTTTTTGTGTGAAGAAAGGCCTGATTACAATCCTTCTGCATCTACTCTTTGACCTCTCTTCAGACCTTTAAGGATCATCCGCTGGTTCTGAATTACGATCACCTCAATGCCTCGCTAGACAACCCCTGGCAACCGAAGGTGGAAGAGGTCGTCGGGAACAACAACTTGACCGGCAACACGACTGTGATCGTCAAAACCGTTACGCCACATTACCCCAACACAGCCCTGCTCTCCATGTGCCTCATGTTGGGCTGCTTCTTCATCGCTTTCTTTCTGCGCCAGTTCAAGAACGGCACTTTTCTCCCTGGAAAGGTGAGTTGGGTCCTGAGGGCATCGGCAGTTTGTTTCAGTAAGGTCAGCAAGGAGTTATTCATGTCATCTGCTGTCTTTGTCTCATAGTTGATCTGATCTGTGTTTACCAGGTCAGGCGTTTGCTGGGTGACTTTGGTGTGCCTATTGCCATTTTCCTCATGATCGTCCTGGATTACAACATAAATGACACATACACTCAGGTTGGCTCATCTAAACAGGTTTTGTTGCTGTAACAGTTCCTCCTGTTTATGCTGGCCAGTTAAACATGCCTTCCAGTGTAACTCATGAGGGCAAATTTCTGTGTCCTCTTTCTGAGCAAAACCAATTCCAAAACTGATCCGAAGCTAATATGTATGACCGAATTTACCAAATCTTTATCATATAAAGTTAGTATTTTTATTAATTGTTACTTTATCAACATTGTAACGAATTGTGCAATGTTTTGAAACAAAAGGCAAAAGTTGTTAGGTTGAAAAACGTCATGCAAAAAAGTCACAAAATATCGTGTTAAAAAAAGTTTGTTCTTTTAAGTCTAAATAAGTTAGGTCGACAAATGTCATGAAAAATACTTACATTTTTTGTTTGTCTGTGCAAGACAATCCCATGACTGCTAATGCCTCATATTGTCTCCAGTCACGTCCTTTGACATTGCGTAAGGAAGGGATCTTTTAATGGCCAATGTGCACATAAGCACCGTGTTGTTTTAACACAGAACAAAACAGTGTATCTATCCTTTAACATGTGTTAGATTTATACATCCAATGAAAAAACAGATGGCTTTCTTTACAGAAACTAGTGGTTCCCAAAGGTCTGACGGTGTCCAATCCGTCCAAAAGAGGCTGGCTCATCAACCCCTTCGGAGAGCACAAGACTTTCCCCGTGTGGCTGATGTTCGCATGCTGCGTCCCGGCCATGCTCGTCTTTATTCTGATCTTCCTGGAGTCTCAGATCACAACGTGAGTCATTACATCTCAGCAACGTGTCGCTCACCGAAGCATCAACCTCGGAAAGTCTTTAACCAATATTCATTCTTACCGTCACGTCTGTTGACAGTCTGATTGTGAGTAAGCCTGAGAGGAAGATGGTCAAAGGCTCTGGCTTCCACTTTGACCTGCTGCTTTTAGTCGGCATGGGAGGGCTCAGTGCAATATTCGGCGTGCCGTGGCTCAGTGCCGCCACAGTGCGAACTGTTACCCACGCCAACGCTCTCACCGTCATGAGCAAAGGGCCCAAACATGTGATTGAGAAGGTGATGGAGCAGAGGGTCAGTGGCATTCTGGTGGCGTTGCTAGTTGGTAGGTGCTGTCTTATCATCCATTTTATTTTGTTTGTTTCACTTCTGTCATTAAAAACACTGTAATTTTCTGTCAAGGTCTGTCGATTCTGATGGAGCCGATCCTAAAGCTGATTCCCATATCGGCCTTGTTTGGGATCTTTCTCTACATGGGAGTCACGTCACTCAATGGCATCCAGCTGTGGGATCGTATGCTGCTTCTGATAGTGCCTAAAAAATACCACCCGGATAAACCCTACGCCACCAAAGTAAGAGCCCCGGGCTGCATGATGGTTAAAGTAGATGGGCTGTTGCACATCAGTTGGAATCCACTATACACGCCTGCATGTGCATGAGAATAACAGCATTCATATGAGCTCATGTCATATGATGCATCATGTGTTGACCACCATAAAAGTCTCTGAATCTCATCATGAGGCAGAAAGCATCTGCATGTAAAGTCATGTCCATCTGATGAATATTTTTGACATATTGGCTACAGGTGAGCACAGGACGGATGCACTTGTACACGGCCATCCAGATAGTGTGCCTCATCATGTTGTGGATTGTTAAATCCAGTCCAGTATCCCTTGCACTTCCCTTCATACTCATCCTCACCATTCCTCTACGCATGTTTATGACTGGCCGTTTCTTCAGTGAACTGGAAATGAAATGTGTAAGTGGATACCTCCTGTCATTTGAATCAATCAATGCGTATTTAAGCAGCAGTAAGTATTAATTTGTCCGTGGCGTTTGTGTTTTAGTTGGATTCCGATGACGGCGAAGTGAAATTCGAGGAGGAACCGGGGCAGGATGTATACTGTGAATCTCAGATGCCACTGTAGAGGTTTTCCATGGCAGCTGTCATACCTGAACTCCTTTTATTTGAACAAATAGATATTTATTTTATATATGGCTCAAATGAATGTTTCATCCACCTATAAACACTAAACAGCTTGTATTTGTCTTAATTCAAAATAACTTTATGGTGTCAATATGGTTGAACATTATTATCTTTATATTGGTCTTGGTCAAACATTGCTGAAGAGTTTTCAACAAGCACTCAGTTAAAAAAGCTGGAAATATTGGGATTTTTGAAAAACATTTACAGGTGCACTACACCATATTTAAAATGAATCATGTTTGCACTCAATAAATGGACGGATTGAATGCTCAATGGAAAATATTGTAGGGTTATTGCAATTGCACATTGAATGAATGTTGTTAAACGTGCCAAGTTATTGTTGTCCCTGATGCGAGTAAACTCTGAATTAGGTAATTCATAATTTATCCGGCAACATGCGAGCAAAGTGTAGATATTTTAGCAAGAATTTTAAATTTTTTAACCCTGAAGAGAATGAAGCCTTTACTCATTTAATGGAAAATGGGAAATCGTGTGTGTTGTTTATGTGTGTATTATGTTGCTGTCTTCTTGTCATCTCCCTAATTAAAAAAATGACCTCCCAACAGAGCCATCAACCGAGTTTCATACAATGCTCCGTGTTTTTTGATTGAATGATCTGCCAGTCAATGCAAGAATAAAGGTTAAAAAGTCAGGTGAAAAACACAATTGTATACAGTATGTATATAATATATATATATTTTTTAAATGTCTGGTGTATTGCCATGATTCAACGCCCTCCGCCTCAATAGGGGGCGCTGTGCTCGAAATCCGCCGATAAAACCACACAAACGTTCCTTCGCGGACGTTTTAGTGACACTTGTTTCTGATTGGTTGCTCTCCAAGAAGGACCCGCCTACCGGAAATAGAGGCTCTCACATGAGGAAGATAAGCGTTTAGCGTGGTTTTAGCCCACCGCTGGAAACCGGTTGTAAAGGACAAAATGGATGAAAGTGGGAGCGAAGGCGCTGGTGTGTACACCTCATATTTCTTTCATAATGTTATTATATATATATACAGAAACAAAAAAAATAATGTATATATATATTTTTATTTTTTGTTTTTTTTCTGTTCCTTGTTGTGTACTTACAGAGTGGACTCAGGAACACTTCCTCCTGCTTTTCGCCAGGATTAAATCCAGCATCCAGGACCCTGACAGAACGCTGGCATACAGCCAGTCGCTGAAGAATATGGACTGGAAAGAGGTGGCGTTCTCTCCGTTCTCTGCCGAAGCGTGCCAACAGAAGTGGACCGACGTTATGCACAAGGTGCGTCGCGTTTCAACTCGTTTCGACGCATCTCACTCTCAGTTGACAAAAAAACATGTTCACTCATAATCGAAAAACATGAGCAGGTGTCGAAGAAATGTGTTTCGCTCTCGTAGTATCCAATGTTGTTATCATTTAGCTTAAATTAAACATTTTGGATTAATGTATTGTCACCATGGTGTTCACTATTCTACCTCCTGTTGTGCTATGAACCAAACTTTTATAGTTACAGAGAAGCAGCAGGTTTTTCAAATGAATACAACACACACTAATACTCCCTTGAAGTCGGTCTCCTCAGTGTTGGTTTGGTGTGACTCTTTTGTTGTTGTTGTTGTTGTTGTTCCGGCTCAGCTGTCTAAGACTCGGACCCTCACAGAGCTCGTCAATGTCGCTGAAGACATCGTTTCCAATCCGGCCAAGAACTATAAGGTATAAAGCGCAGACGGGCTTTGGAAACCTTTCTGAGTGTATAATCTTAACACTGTTGGGGTAATTGTTTCTATACGCCAGAGTCCCTGTAAAACTGTGAGGATTCTTCAGTATTTAAGCATCCTCTCCGGATAACGTGCACGTGGTTGTATCACTGAAAGGTTGCTGACGTGAGCGGTGCAGTGATGCCACGTGCTTCATTCCTTGATTAATCCTACTTCAGGCGCATCCAGAGCACCCGAAGAGACCGCCCCCTCCAAACGCCTTCTTCATCAAGGAACACAGTACAGCGTATCAGATGAAGCACCCAAACCTGAGCAGGCAAATGGTGTTGAAGAAGCTAGTCAGGAAGTACAATAAGCTCCCCGCGGAAGAAAAGGTAGTCTGTGAAAGTCTTGTCACATGCTGTTTGCTTTTAGGATTCTGCTTTTTAATGATCAGGAATATAACATGTTCTCATTTTCCAGAATAAATATCTGGATAAACATAAACAGGCATCCATGGAATACAAAGAAGCGATGCAGATGTTCAGGTAGTAGATTAACACACATTCCGCCTGGGGTTTGGCCCAGAATGCTAAGTTTTAAAATTCAGTGTCAAACTAATTATCATTATTATTATGTTTTTAGTAAACGCTATAAACCAAGCCAGAAGACCACCGTAAGTGATGGTTCCATCTTTCAGACTTCAGTGTACTGTTTGCATGATTAGCTGGGTTTATCCTCACACGTTATTTAATGCAGTTTATATGGCAGTGCTTATTTAGAAGGACAACCATTTGACTACAATTATGTAACACTCCTGTCAGTCTTACGTTAAGTATCTTCTCAATGTGATCTTTCTTCTTGTAGGAGACTCCGGAAGGAGTTTCTCCCAAGCCGGTTTTGTAAGCCACACACTCTCCACACAGACACTTGTTAAAGTCCATTTTTTTTGGCTTTGTAATATCTTTTAAAAAATCAGCAACTGAACTGTTTTTCACAATATTAGCAATATTATATGCTAACAAGCGGTTAATTCATTAGCGGCTCATCACGCTCTCTCTGTCTGTCTATGTGTGTTTTCATTTTTAGAAGTGGATACCATCTATTCTGCCAAGAGCAGTGTTCTTCCACGAGCACTGTTAGAGGTGATTCTTTTGCTCAGTCTGCCAAAAGATGGCAAACTATGTCTGACAAACAGAAGGAAGTGTACAACCAACGGCATGAAGAGGTAGGAACACATACTTTAGAGAGCGCTACAACAGATCAGGAGGTTTAGTCAAGAGTTCCATTTTAAACACTTTATCTCTTTTAGCTGCTGTCACAGTATTTGGACGAGATGAATCAATACTCACAGGTGAGTACTTTAGAAGAAAAAAATCAGCATTGAGCTAATTCTGATAAACAATGTGTAACAATAGTGTTTATGTTTCCAAGAAATTTAGTAAGGTGAAGCAGCGGGAGTTCCTTAAAGAATATCGCATCGCAAAAACTATGGTGAGAAGACTTCATGCTTTCTGCACAAATCTTGTAGTTAGTGTTAGAATAGAATAGAAGCTGTTCAACCCTTTGTCAACAGATTTAGGTGACTTTGACAAAGCTAGTTTGCGTTGCCATTTGTCTGTTGTTGTTTCTCTTTCATTCTGACTCGTATAGAGAACCGCTTATACCAGGAGATAGCTAGTTGTGTTTTCTTCACTTTAATAAAATACTACATCTGGATTGATCTAGTCTTTTTAAAATGTAGTATTTTCATTTAAACGCAGACCGATCAAAAACGTAAAAACAAATTCCCTGGGGAGCCCGAGATGCCAAATAGGTGAGCATAATCGTCCTACATTTGTTTCCTTAAGAATTAACTCCGATGTGCATCAAATCAAACGTGGGACTGAATACGTCTTCACTTACAGATTTGGAAGAACAATTTTCTACAAACAACAGATGTTACTTCTCTGTAAAAAAGTCCCAAACTCGAGGGAACGCTTATCCACGGTCAACAAACTGTGGAAGAGCCTCCAGCCGGAGGAGAAGCAACGCTACAAAATGCAAGCATCTGAAGAAGTTGTGAGATACTCCATGGAGCTTCAGAATTGGTTTGAGGTATAAAGAACCATCCTTGAAATATATATATCTATATCTCATTTTTAATTATTTTCAGTTTTTTTTTTTTACGCTAGACAGAGATGTCCCATTTTAAATATGCCTTGTACATCCTTCAGACTTTGCCAGAAGAACAGCAGGTCATTTTTTGGACAAAGAACCCCATGGTGAGCACATACACAAATGAAAGTACCTCTTTTTAGTTTTAGTTTATTTTTTTATAAGCCTTTATTTTATTTATAATATGTTGATCTTCGCAGAAAGTCAAATACCTCAAGTGTGAAGAACAACTAACCTACAGACCATCAGTAAGTTGAATGTTGATGCAACACAACGTAACGTATTCTTCTCGACCACCCAGGTTTCTGCACCGTCGCGTGGAGAACATTGGAGTAAATATTCTATATCTGAAATATTCACGGGGTTCGCTTGTGACTCTTAAATTTGTTGAATATATAAATGTTGACTAGTTGTGCAACTTTTATCCGGTTTAAGTTCAAAAGGAATAATAATTGGGAAGATAACATCCCTACAATTACATAGTTTTTTTTCTTTAAAAAGATTTAATTACAGGATTCAGAGGATGAACTCACTCAGGACAGCACTGATGGGGAGCTTGAGGAGGTTAGAACCCTACAACACGTGTGTTTTGTGATGTTCATCTCCAGATGTTGTAAATATCTCCATTGATCTACAGGTGGAGGAAGAAGACAACAAAGATTTCATCAGTTTTGAGGCGTTTTAACGGGATAGATGTCCGATCATCACGCACCTCCCCGTTCAGAGCAGAAATCTTCTCGTATCTAACTTTAATGCCACATTTATCATGTGGTTGCCATGTTGGCTGGAAAGTAGCCACAAGTACTCCGATGTGTTGGCTGGATTACAGGAGGCCACACAATAGTTTGTTGTGATACTGTGTTTTAAAATTCTGAAATTATTTTGCAAATCAGCTTCAAATATCTACATCTCGGCTGTTTAGCAGAAAAAAAGCTATTTGTGTCTTGGTTCTTAAAGGTGTATCCTGCTTTATAGACTATTTTTGGATGGGATATAGTAAAAATAGCATTGCATGGCAAATGTGTTTTAAGCCATGTATATTTTGCCCACCTTTACTTAAATGTTATTTATAGTTTGTTATTCTGCCTTTTGGAATTTAAACTTAAATTACTGTGGAGCACAATTTTTACAGGTTTTGTTACAGGTTGTAATTGTGGATAAACAAGAATATAGCTTGTCATACTCTTCTTTTTTTGTGTGTATAAAAATCAAACATGTTGAATAAATTTATATGCACAAACTACTCCGGTTTAAAAACAAACATTTGTATGACTTCTAAGAAAGACAAATGAACTGAGTGTCATGCTTCTTTACTTTTTTTTTTTTTTTCTATTTTTATTTTCATTGTGTGTACAAATAGTAACATTTTTTTTTCTTCCTTTTATGCATGTTCGAAAAAATAAAAAATAAATTCGAAATTCAAATTCAACTGCTGGATTTCACGGGGTGACTACCGGTCTGATAAATAAAACCCATTCACACCGGCAGTTCTGCAAAGGAAACGCTCGGTGGCACCTGGAAACCCGAGTGGCGATCGATTGCTACTGTCTGAACTCTGCTGCAAAGATGGACGCCTACCGAAATGGGTAAATAAACACAATTAGCGACATTGCGTGGCCGTGATTGCGTTAACCCTCGTGGGGCCGATTTAAACACGCTTCTCGCGCGCGTCCTCTCGTGAATCCCTCGCGGTTCGTCCGGGGAGTCGAGCGGCGAACAGCCGCAGTGCAGCAGCGGCAGCGAGCCTCGCTGCGGTCGAACGCAAATTCTTCACCCGCAAAAACCCAGCGCGCTACATTGTTTCTCTTTTCTTAACCCCGCCCTGGTTTGACACGCTTTTTTTTTTAGCCGCTGTTGACCCGGCCGGTGCCGCCTCTCGTGGCGTCAAAAAAAAACAACCTCCCTGCCTGGCACGTTCAATTCCTCCTCCATTCTCCTCGTCGCCGCGCTCTTTGTTTTCCTCCGCCGGGTTCGGGCTAAGCTATGCCCCCCTCCGACCTCCACGCTCGGACAACTGCGCGACCGTCCCGTCGTCCGTGCTCATTGTGATTTGTTCTGTCTCTGTCTGTATTTCGCAGGCTATAAAGGTCGGCGGGTAACCGTGAGTCTCTGGCGGTGTTCGGCGTGCACGTTGTGAGTACCCGCAGCATCGTCTAGTGCGTGACCGCGCACGGATCCAAAGGATTCGGTGCTGATAGAACTGATAAAACGTGTGTTTTGTTCCACCCCCCCTCCTCCTCCCTGCTGCTGCTGCAGCCCTGTTCTGGCCTGTGCTCGATGCGCTACAGCATGACCACAGCAGCGACGGCTCATCTGGTAGTTCTGGCAAATGAAAATGGAGGAGGTTTCAATGTCCAGCCTGGACAACAGCAAGCTGGAGGTACAGTAGACGTTGGAGTCCAAGCATCCCTTGGAAATGCACGATGCGTCTGCGGGCACAGCGCAGGAATCCCGGCATGACTCGTGTCTCCGTTTCCTCGCCAGGGCCTAGCTCAGGACATCCTGTCTGACCTGATGGAAGACGCGTGCCTGGGTCTTTGCTTCGAGGTCCACCGGGCCGTCAAGCAGGGCTATTTCTTCCTGGATGACACGGACCAAGAAAGCATGAGGGACTTTGGTGAGCTCCAAGTTCTGGTTCCTTCCTTGTTCAGTCGCCAACGGTTACCTCGGGGTAGAAAAAAAACCCATATTTAGCCACTAGATGTCATAAAGACATCTTTACACAAAAGAACAATACACCGACACGGAAGATTTGTCTATTGTCTAGTATATTGCTCCTTTTTTATTTTTTTTTATTTCCCAGAAATCGTGGACCAGCCGGGATTGGATGTGTTCGGCCAGGTGTACAACCAGTGGAAGAACAAAGAGTGCGTGTGTCCCAACTGCAACCGAAGCATCGCTGCCTCCCGCTTCGCGCCGCATCTGGAGAAATGTCTGGGGATGGGACGCAACAGCAGCCGCATAGCCAACCGCAGGTATGCGAGTGAGACGGCAAAAAAAACCAACAACAAGTCGTACACCGTACTGATGTTCGCCTCTTTGCTTCCGACTGTGAGCACAAAAACTTGTAGGGAGTAATGCCGACGTGTGTGTGTGTGTGTGTGTGTGTGTCATGTCGCCATCTTCTACAGAATAGTCACCGGTAACAACACCAACAACAAGTCAGAGAGCGACCAAGAAGATAACGACGACGTCAATGATAACGACTGGTCGTACGGGGCAGAGAAGAAAGGTGAAGTACTGCTGCTACGTCGGACAATAATTTCTAATAAAATTACTGAGATTTTTCTTTTAATCTAAAATGCATCCCTTTCTTTTACAGCCAAGAAAAGGAAATCTGAGAAGGTAATCTTATTGGCTAGTTTAATATTACCGTAACGTTACAGAATCTGGATTAGATTTTCATCGTTCTGATATGTCAACTCAAACTTGACGTTTTTCTTCTCTGTACCTCAGAATCCAAACTCACCCAGAAGATCTAAATCATTCAAACATAAGAGCAGTAAGTGGACATGAATCCCCAAATACTCATCTCGGTTTAGTTTGAACAAAATAAATGGCTTAATACATTTAACATGTAGGAGTGAACTAACTTGCTGTTGAATACGTTGACTCCTAAATGGTCCGTTCCTGTTTGTTTTGAGTCCCTGTCTTTTGGGCTCATCTGAAGTCATGGGTAAGTATGTGGTGCCAATGACGTCCAGTCTGCGGTTTCACCCCACAGGCATGATGGGTCCCAGACGTCGCATGGACAACCAGGAGAGCCCGCGCATGCTGCTGAAAGATGAGGCATTCCCTCAATAACGCACTCTGCTGCAAGCACACGTACGCACGGGAAGGCCAGGAACACTCGACGGACGTCCATGTCGTAGGGGACGTTCATGACGTTGGCTGCTCCGCAGAAGCAGTCCAGACCTCCTACTGTATACTTGACTTTTTTTTTTTTCTTTTTTCCTCTGCACAAAATCATTGCACCAACACTCATTGTCTCGTTTTTTTTAATTTTGTTTTTTTTCGCTGGATTCCAAATTAACGATGTCACCGCACGGAAGTGGCTTCTGATGTCGCTCGCGCAGCGCCAAGCAAGGGCAGCTGTGTGCACATACACTATGTTGTAGTTAGATTAGGATTTAGGCGTACTTCAACAGCCTCACCGCTTTTAAAATCGCATCCTTTGAAAAATAATGTCAAAGACAATCATTTTGAATGGTTTGTCTTTTATTTTAACATCCACTGCAGGCTCATATTTCTCCAGTTGAAGCACGATGGCGTTTGAGAGGAAGAACCCTCAGTTTGTCATTCACCCGGGAAACCTTTTCTTTTTCTTCTAAGTTCGGTAAATGAATCCTGAATTGTACAAACAGGCGTTTTCTGCAGACCGCAGGTTTGTTTTGTCATTACATTTGTGGTGGATTTGTTTTCTAGAATTAAACAAATGTCTTTGTATCATGTGTTTACATTGTAAAGGATTACGATATATCTTTGGTGTGATAGTGTAAATATTCAGTTGAATTGCTGCTATCATTGCTCACTTTGTTTCTTCTGTCTAGCATAATAAATGAATTGTTCCCTGTCGTTATGTCTGGTGGTCCCTGGGTGAGGGGGGGGGGGGGGGGTTGTTATCGTTAAAGAGCAAATGGCTAAACGGGCGTGCTGTTTTTCAAAATAAGAGGTTTAAAGATGCTCCAGTTTTTATTCTCAATACACTGCTCTCGTGTAGTGAGTGATGAGCTTTAGTAGATTTTAGGTAAACCTAGTAAACATCCAATTTACCATCAGGAGATTTCAATCAAAGTGCTTAAAGTTCCCGGCTCGAGCAGTCAGTTATGCTGCCTTTAAATGCGCCTCCTAAATTCTAAGCTCTTATTCGTTTGTTAACGCTTCAGCTTTGTCAACAGCCTGCATGAAGAGCTTAGAATCATTAGAAATATGATATACATCTTGAAATTGGTCATTGACTGCAATGAGCGCCTTTCATTTTAGTACTTTAAATACAAACATCACAAAAAAAGCATAAATGTTCGAGTAGTCAAAGGTAACTATACGAACATGTCCGATACCCCCGAAGGCGGCATTCGGTATAACGTATCTGTGTGAAGATACCCAGTTACAAGAAACACTTCCCGGTATTGCTAAAGAGCCGCTCAGTTGGGCCCCGCCTCGCGGTGAGGTACCTGCGCGTCGGGGATGCGGTGAGAACCCGGTGAGGCGGGACGCACGCGGGACAACAGCGTGGAGAAAACGAGCGTCATTCTGCAGAAGCGAATCCCGGAACTCGGAGACGGCGGAGGACGAGCTAACGTGAGCTAGCTTTTTGTTGACTGCGCTCGCTGTCAAACCGCCACTTCACTTTTTAAACAACCGCACTCGGACGACTCGTCACTTTTCTATTCTTTTCCTCGGTTGAGTTTTTTTTTTTTTTTCAAATTTAACGACATTTTTTGTTGTTGTTGAAGTTTTCGTCTCTTTTTCAAACCACTTGTGGATCCCGGAAGATGGCATCGAGGGGAGGATTCACTCCGATGAATCTGAACGCGAGCCCCATGAACGTCGCGCACGGCGCGGGCATGAGGATGCCAAGTGTGCCCCAACATCCGGCGGGATACCCCCGCAGCATGAACACCGCTCCCCAGTACCCACAGGTGAGGGCTCGTTCTGCCCCCACAACTCACCCCGAATGAAGGGGGGGGGGGCGACGTGGTCACTTGAGACCTCGTTCTGAGATAAAGGAGAGCGCGTGCCTTTTGAATTACCTTTACTGAGGCTTTTAGGAGCAAACGCAGTCGTGAATTTGGACGAAAACGTGCAAAAATATGCAGTTGATCATGCAATATGCAAGTCACGTGATACCAAAATAAAAATAAAAAAAGGTCATAGCTTCTTCTCTAAATAAATGGACTACGTTATACTTCCGCATTTGAAAATGGGAACGGTATGTACTTACTTTCTGCCAAATTCCTTTTATATGGTGTTTTTTAGTGATTTGTTTATTGTGTACCGTAAGTATTTGGATGTTTAATTTACACCGCGGATGAATGTTGTGTGCGCGTGTGAAAGAGATTCACGTGGTCGCCCTCAGCCTCCTGTCAGTCGTGCCACCTCCGTTTCTGGTCTTTGGCGAACATGCAACAGAACATTTGTCTCATGTTGGTGCAGCTTTGTTCTTTTATTTTATTGAAGAAAGGACTGATGAATGAGAACAGGACCGACCATTCACATACATATGTAGATAAATCCATTAAATGTGGCTGACGGCTTATTACTGAATTATAAAACTGCTGTTCTCCATGTGATTTAATCTGTACATTTATACTAAATATTCCTTTTCACTGATTGATTTTTATACTATTACTAGCACTAAAAATAATACACCACATATAGACTATAAGGAATCCTGATTGCTCTCCTTCCCCCAATGATCCCTTCATCTTCTTTTTGGCTTTAAATCTGATATCAGAATCATCACATTCGGAAAATAAACCCATCTTTTGAAATCTTTTTCTTTCCCCCTCTAGCGCCCAGGGATGCCGTCCAACAGAGTGGGGGGCCCCATGGGGTCAATGGGGGGTCAGCTTCCTGGCCCCTCTTATGGCGGCGGGAACATGCCTATGCGGCAAGGCATGGGGCCCCCGAACATGGACGCCTCGAGGAAACGGTTCCTTCATATGCATCAGCAGCAGCAGCAGCTGCAGCAGCAGCAAGAGGCTCTGGGAGGCCTCAGACGAGGGTAAACTGTGAAGAAACGAGTGTGTGTCTGTGAGCACAAATGGAATAATGTCCACAACACATCAAATGTTACCACTGTCGACAGTAACTGTGAATAAACAACAATTTAGGTATTCCCCTGCAATTAACTTGAAACACCACAGACTCTCATGCACATCATATTTGCTGCAGTTAGATTTCTTTATAGTTGGAACGTCCCAAAGATTCAGTGACTAATTTTCTCTTATGTGGCTGATTAACCAAAAAAACCCCCACTATTCATTCAGAATTTGTTTTTCTCTCAGCAGTCGGCTTTTTCAAGTCACTGTGCTGTTGAAAGCCAAGCTCAGATCACACAGACACGAGGAGCGGAGCGTCTCATGACTGGTCTGCTTTCAAAGCAGCAAACGCCAGTGGCTATTTTTGACTTCAAACTGCTCAGATATATCACGCTCTGTGATGTGAGGCCGCATTTACAGTTCATTCACAATGAACCGCTTGTCTTTTTAATGCTTTACATCGGGACAAAATCCTCAGTGCAGAAGGATCGGTGTGGCGCAGTGACACAATCCAAATCCTTAATGAGCTTGGGAATTAAGTCGCAATTAGGGGGGGAATTATGCAATTTAGTTAAATAAAGAAAACCGCTTTTGTGAAATCAATAGCGCTGATTGTGCTTCAGCGCCCACAGGGATCATTTGGGGGAAGTTAATGTACGGCCAAGATTTTGCAACTGCACGATGAAGTCAGAAATAATTTATATTATTATACTTATCAAATTAAGTAAATTGGGTCACTCTGTGGATCTTTGGTGTATTGGTAAATTAATGTTGTTCTTTAGAGAAAAGATTCATCCTTACTGACACGTTGTCAACATAGTACAGCATGTCCCGCTTTAACTGCAGTTATTTTAAGCTTATAATGAATGTGGTCAATTTGTGTTCTTTTAGTAACATTAGCATGTTGTTCTTTAGAAATATAATATTGTTTATTATATTTCCAATTGGATTTATAGAGCAAAAAGGCGCAGAATGGCTGACAAGGTTCTCCCACAGAGGGTAAGAGAGCCCTCATTCCTACTTTAGACGGATTCAGTCGCTTCACACTTTACATTTATGCATCGCTGTTGGCTGTTTAGATCCGAGACCTGGTCCCAGAGTCACAGGCCTACATGGATCTCCTGGCGTTTGAGAGGAAACTGGACCAGACCATCGCCCGAAAGCGAATGGAGATCCAGGAAGCCATCAAGAAGCCCATCATGGTACGTCGTCACCAGAGTTCTGTTCTGTTTTCCAATTCTTAAAGGGTTCCCTTTCGTTGGTGATGTATGTTCTTGTTCGTCTCCTGTGACGCAGCAAAAACGAAAGCTCAGGATCTACATCTCTAACACGTACACGCCCAGCAAACCCGAGGGCGAGGAGGCGGAGAAGGTGTCCTCCTGGGAACTGAGAGTGGAGGGAAAGCTTCTGGAGGAAGTACGTGCGCGGCTTTCTTCGTTCGGGTCGTCTTGCTCCGTTGTCCCGGCGCGGCCCGACTCGCAAGTATTTCAGTCTGTTGTTTAGTTTCTGAAAACTTCAGCTCTGCTTGGCCTGTGTCCTTGGCTCAGACCACGCAACCAGATGTGTGTTTACAGCTCCCCCTCACACACACACAGACACACACACTAGCTCATGTTCTCTTTTTGAAACAAGGAATTGAAACCACCGGTTGTTACATACCGTGATCTGACAAGCCCCCCCCCTCCCTCCATCGATTCCAGCTCGACTCATTGTGTCATCTGGGGCCACATGAAGGAGGGTTTTCTTTTTCATTAGACTTTTCTGCTCTGGTTCATTCGGTTTAGGCATGCGTGGGCGTTTTGCATGGAGTAGAAACAGAAAAGGAACAGTGATGGATTGAGTGACGGGGGTCACGTTGTGCTAGCAGACTAGGGCGGGGGGAGCGGAAGCCTTTTCCAGTTGTCTACAGTTCTGTGCTCTACCAGGCCCTGTGGGGCCTGAGCCGAACAATGCAGCACGACTGAGCGCAATAAGAAGACACACATGGATGACAATCTCTCTCTCTCTCTCTCTCTCTCTCTCTTTTGCACGTTTTGTTCTTAGTCTGGCAAGCAGAAGAGGAAGTTCTCGTCTTTCTTCAAGAGCCTGGTGATCGAGCTCGATAAGGAGCTCTATGGACCCGACAACCACTTGGTAGAGGTATGACATCATTCTAAAGGCACGGGATGCATCGGGACACCAAACTGCTAGAATCATTCAAACCTTTGCAAACTTTTGTCTTTCAGTGGCACAGAATGCCCACTACTCAGGAGACGGATGGTTTCCAAGTGAAAAGGCCCGGCGACGTGAATGTTAAGTGCACCCTCCTGCTCATGATCGACCACCAGGTGCATTTGCTCAGTTACCTTCTCGCATGTACCGGTCGTGCGCCTCGACGGGGTGACTTGCTTCACCTTTTTCCACAACCGCTGTCTTTGTTCCAATTCTTTTTTTTTTTTCCCCTTCTCCCCAGCCCCCTCAGTACAAACTGGATCCGCGGTTGGCTCGTCTGCTGGGCGTGCACACTCAGACGCGAGCCAACATCATGCAAGCCCTTTGGCTCTACATCAAGAACAACAAGCTGCAGGATTGTCACGAGAAGGAGTACATCAACTGCAACCGCTATTTCAGACAGGTAATGGGGCGGTTTTAAGGCTGCACAGAGAAGGATGCAAGCTCACCGCTTAGGCGTTTCTCGCTGTAGCTTTGACTTTTTGGAAATACTCTAGAATTTGTTGATCTATTAAATCGAATGTGCAAATGTTTCATGCACCTGATAATTTGTACGTGTAATCTGTGGGATTTGTACCATGAAAAATACATGATTTAAAATTCTCCTAAATACATGGGGAATTCTGTGAATGCGTTGGACGTCAAAGGTGCAGCATGTATTATATAGTTTTGGGGGTTTTGATGCTGTTGGAGAGACGAGATAAAAACAAAACCTCCATCATGTCCAAACTCGTCCGTTTCATAACCAAATCTGTTCAGGTCTTCAGCTGTCCTCGCATGAGGTTCTCTGAGATTCCCATGAAGCTGGCCAGCCTCCTGCAGCACCCTGACCCCATCATTATCAACCACATGATCAGGTAGAGCAAATATCAACCACTATCCCTCCTTCTTTGTTTGAGCATGTCTAATGTGTTGCCATCAATAAGAGTTCCTCGTCTGCTCTTAAAAGTTTGCATCCAGAGCATTCTTCATTACAATTTGGTTTTGTGGTGTCTGCCTCTCTGAGCAGTGTGGACCCCACGGACCAGAAGAAGACGGCGTGCTACGACATTGATGTGGAGGTGGACGACCCGCTGAAGGGCCAGATGAACAGCTTCCTGTCCTCTACAACCAACCAGCAGGAGATCGCTGCGCTGGAGATGAAGGTAACGCCTGCCAATCGGTTCGCAAAGCAAAACGATGGGTCCATATTTAATTAATCTTTGAACTCAAACGATGACTTTGCACTGGTGGTTTTCGCTGCAGATTCACGAGACAATCGAGTACATCAACCAGCTGAAGACCGAGAGAGACTTTATGCTGAGCTTCAGCAATAAACCTCAGGACTTCATCCAGGACTGGCTCAAGTCTCAGTGCAGAGATCTGAAGGTGAACACTGGGAGTCTATACACGATCTCTTACATATTGCATTGCTCAATTGCATGTTTTTACCTACAACATCTGTGGCTGTTTTAGTTTTATTAGAACATATCTGTTGAGGTGGTTGTTCTGTAGATATCTCGATGTGTTAAGACTATTGTTAAGCTTACATGACTGTTGTATCTTCATAACAACCCCAACAATGGGTCGGGTGTTTTTTATTTCAGAATTTAGACATTTGTTTTCAAAGTATTTTGGTAACTTTTTTTTTTTTTTGCCGTCAGTTGATGACGGATGTGAAAGGAAACCCGGAGGAGGAGAGGAGGACCGAGTTCTACGAGGCTCCCTGGGTACCAGAGGCTGTGGGCAGATACGTTTACTCCAGAGTAAGGAATCACTCACCTCTTAATGATGTGCATGCGTAATAGCGGTTTCACTGTGAGGTGTAGATTGCTATTGGCTCCGATATGCACTAACGCTATAACGTCTCCTTTACAGTTGCAGCAGAGAAGACAAGAGTTGGAGCAGGTTTTGGGTATCCGACTCACCTGAAGAAGCATTCTGCTGCCATCTTAATTTGATTAGTCAAATGCTAATGTCAATCGGAATTGTAATTTGCTCGGTAGCTGTGAAAGCAATGATAATATAATAGACCAGCATTTAAGTGGGATACATAGAAGACAACAATTCAAAAACGTACAGTAAATGGGACTAAAGTGATTAATATATCCCTAATGTTTGCATTGCATTGTCCATCACTTGTAGCCTGTGTGGAAAATGGTTGCCTGGTTTTGCAATACGTGTTGTTTATGGTACAATGTGCTTGTATGTTTGTAAGCATCGGTGCTGTGTAGGTTGTTTTCACCATCACATTGTGTGCTCTTTTGAAAAGGATCTCTGTTTACCTTCACATTTGAAAGCCATAACCTTTAGAAAGAAGCAACTGCAACATGTATCCTTACTGAAAACATTGTACACGAGAAAAATATACATTTGATTTTTAAAGATCTATGTAGAAAATATGCATTTATATTCTTTGAAAACAAGACGTAGGAAGCATTACGTCGTCTCACGAATTATAGGAATTAATGATAAGCTTTTTATGCCAAACATAATTTTAGGTGCTATATTTTTTATTTTGGTGATTATACAAATTGAACTGCAACATTTCTTTACTGAAAGCTCGATCAAGCTCTTTATTTGAGTTTGCGCTCTTGTTGTAATTCAGCAGCTTTTTTCCCCTTCTTTTTGGACGTTTACGTGCTCTTTCCATTTGTTATTGGGTTGAGAGGGTTATTATAATATCAATAATATGAAATGTGTCAGGCTGTTCCTGCAAGATCAATACTTCCCTGGAAGCTGAAGAGATTTGAACTCGACAGGATTGCAGTTTTATTGTGTCAACTAAACAATGCACCAAATTGTTGTGAACAGTTTATATTTTTTTGGGTTGACTTAATGTAAAGGCTATTTTGTTATGATTTTGTATGAGAGGGCTTCCTAAATCTCTTTAAACATTCCGTTTTAAAATGTATTGCTGTGCCAACATTTATTTTGTGAAGAGGGCACTTAGAATTGGAGTGTACAAAATGTTTTTGTACAGCCTCTGTAAAATGTTTGCATGATTTTTTTAAAGGTATTTTCTACAATAAATATACTGGCAAATATTTGTTATTTGATGATGTAGAACACGTTGCAAAGTCGACAAGTAGCCATGAGTGTGCATGTAAGAACGGGTCTAAGGGCTCCGGTTGGTCTGAGTGCAGTATTTTCATATTTTCAGTTAGGACTTGCCCTACCTGTTTAAAACTGCTCCAAAATACACCCACAACACAGACCCTTCGCTTCTACTTCTAAAGTGAAACTGGTTCCAAGCAAAGATGAGAACTGAGGTTTACTCAGTTATGAAACAGGTAAAACGGGTTTGTAAAAGGAAATTAAGCTTTGAAACGTAATTATACAGCGCCAAGTTAGTTGGAAAACGGTAACCTAGAAACAAAGCCAATTGTGGCTGCAAAATAATCTGTACTTATAGAAATAAACAACAGGGGGCGATGTGCGCAACTAAAAGAAAAGAAAAACCCGAGGAAGAAGTTTACCGGAAATTCGTCTCAAATCAAGCGGAAGTGGAAAAATCCAAGATGGAGGTGGACGGAGCTGGTCATGTAGGTGTATTTTTTTCTGTCGTTTTGTTGGTTTTATTGTTCATATACTACCAAAGAGACGTTGATGATTCGATGAATATCCATCTTAAAGTGGTTATGATGAGGAGTGGATGGACAAATCGGCTGTAAATAATAAAATGTTATTTCTACCAAAACTAAATGTCTGTTAGAATGCTGCCGGTTTGCTGTCTCATTGTAGCTAACCTAGCTAGCTACCATTAAGTGGCTAGCCGAGGCTCACTGTCAATTCAACGAACCGCTATCTTGAGCTAGCTACTCTGAATGATTGTCAGCGTCTGTGGTCTATAAATAGGGTTAGAATACGACTGTAATACGAATTAACCAATGTTAAAATATTAGTTTGAGCACCAAGCGTTCGGTAAGCTACCGCTTCTCATTTGACATCTCGCTAGTGAGAGCTAACAGTTCGCTAACTAACGCTAACTAGCCTAATGTTAGTCAGCAAGACTAACTTAACTGAATGAAGATTTGGCACCAACGTTACGAACCCCGAGTATTGCTTTTCACAGATTTTCTCAACAGTGTGTGGACATTGTAACTTTTATATGGCATTCTTTTGTTTCACTTGTCTTTAATCCATCAAAAACGCTATCGTTAGCTTCTCGAATGTGATCACTTTCATCCTGCTTTTTTGGGATATATTTAGATTTCACCATTTTCACTTTTTAGAGTTAAATAAAGTACATTATTTTCATTAACAGATGGAGATGGGGGATAGTAAAGGTGGCTCGGGTCTCCGGCAGTACTACTTGTCTAAGATAGAAGAGTTACAGGTAAGAAAACAACGTACCTGCATTAATTTGACTGTATTGTGCAATTTCCGCTAGCCTGTCAATGCTGACCCAATGGTTTTTCTAACAGTTGACAGTAAATGACAAGAGCCAGAATCTCCGGCGTCTGCAGGCACAGAGAAATGAGCTCAATGCCAAAGGTACACGGTTTGTCATCGCTCCAGTGGCCGAATATTTTATAATTCTATCGCACAAAATTGTTGAAAATAACAGTTTTTTTTTTGTCTTTCAGTGCGTCTCCTTCGTGAGGAGCTGCAGTTACTGCAGGAGCAGGGGTCCTACGTAGGGGAAGTGGTTAGGGTCATGGACAAGAAGAAAGTGCTGGTGAAGGTATGCTCTGGACTTGTGCTTTGTACCGCGCTGTATGTTGAGCACTACCTGACAGTTTAAATGTCACGTCTTCTCATCATTTCTTAGGTTCATCCAGAAGGAAAATTTGTCGTGGATGTGGACAAGAACATTGACATCAATGATGTTAGTATTATATTTGTTGTTAAACTAATCATGGTTAATAGGCTGGCAGCGGGTAAACTATCACGATTAACAACAACAACAACAACAGACCTGTTGTAAAACGCATTCGCATTTCATTTTTAACTAAAGGATTTAAAGGATTCCTTAATAAAGGATTTAATGTCAGGCGTATTCCTCCCTATTATCTCATCCCATTTGTAATTTGTGCGTCAGGTAACTGCAAATTGCCGCGTAGCTCTGCGTAACGACAGTTACACCCTGCACAAGATCCTGCCCAACAAAGTGGACCCTCTGGTATCCCTTATGATGGTGGAGAAGGTGCCAGACTCTACCTATGAAATGATTGGTGGCCTGGATAAACAGATCAAGGAGATCAAAGAAGTGATTGAGTTGCCTGTCAAGCACCCAGAGCTCTTTGAGGCTTTAGGCATTGCACAACCTAAGGTGAGTGATTGAGGAGAGCTCATAGTGTACAAGAGCTGTACAACAGTTTTGTGGTGTTATACCCCTTCCCAAATGGGACATTTTTTTAATTTCAAACACATAAACCTTGCAGAATGGCTATCACATGCCTAAATCGTTTTTTTTACCCCAAATACATTATTTACAATGCTACAGCGCAGATGAAAAGCAACAAATACCACACTTTGTGATTTTCAATAGTGTATCAGTCAGTTTGTGTGCTGTTTGTTCTGATTTCTGTTTTGTCCATATGTGTGCAGGGCGTGCTACTGTACGGTCCCCCGGGTACAGGGAAGACCCTGCTGGCCAGAGCTGTAGCCCACCACACTGACTGTACATTCATCCGGGTGTCTGGCTCTGAGCTGGTCCAGAAGTTCATTGGAGAGGGTGACTGACACTCCATGGAATTCTTTTCCATTCTTGGTTCATCTTTCAATATGATCAGAATTCATAACCCTGGTTCCTTCGTTATCTGGCAGGCGCTCGTATGGTACGTGAGCTGTTCGTCATGGCCAGAGAACACGCTCCCTCCATCATCTTCATGGATGAGATCGACTCCATCGGGTCGTCTCGTCTGGAGGGAGGCTCAGGTGGTGACAGTGAGGTGCAGAGGACGATGCTGGAGCTCCTCAATCAGCTGGATGGTTTCGAGGCCACAAAGAACATCAAGGTAGTAGCTCACCCACACAAACCTTTCAGAATATGGTTGGTTTTATATTGTGAACAGGGCAGCCCCTTCCTCACATCTACAATTAGCATTAAAATATCTTTGTTGCACAAAGCCTGGAAGAGAATCTGTAGATATTAGTTTGGAGCAGCCCACGTGAGATTCTTACATGTTGATGTTGTATAATCCAATGATTGAGGGGCCGAGTGCCTGATGTGATAAAGAAAGATATGCATATTTGTTTTTAAAATTTTATTCCACTTTCTCTCAGGTCATTATGGCCACCAACCGTATCGACATCCTGGATTCAGCTCTGCTCAGGCCAGGCAGGATCGATAGAAAGATTGAGTTCCCTCCTCCAAATGAAGAGGTGAGTCACTTGCACAGAATACAAACTCATACACACTGTCATTCTCGTATTGATGATCTTAATTCTGCGTGATTAGGCCCGTCTGGACATCTTGAAGATCCATTCCAGGAAGATGAACCTGACACGTGGCATTAATCTGAGGAAGATTGCAGAGCTGATGCCCGGAGCCTCTGGTGCTGAGGTTAAGGTGAGAATCGGCTCACTAAGTGGCTGCTGTTGGCTCTTAAAAGGCCATTTATTTAATATCCTCTTCTTTTGTCAGGGTGTTTGCACAGAGGCAGGGATGTATGCTCTGAGGGAAAGGAGAGTTCACGTCACCCAGGAGGACTTTGAGATGGCTGTGGCAAAGGTTTGTGTAACTAGGGTCCACCTTCTGATGTCTCTCGCCACACTGTCTTGGTTTAGAATGAAGCTAATTACCAATTTCCACGTTCTCCTCACCAGGTGATGCAGAAAGACAGCGAGAAGAACATGTCGATCAAGAAGCTGTGGAAGTGAAAGGCCTTGTGTGTTCTTGCACACAATGCAAACATGTATATTTTCCTTTTTTGTTTGGTTTATAATTGTCATTCTAGAGTAAATGGTTTCTCCAAATGGATGGCACATGGGGTTTTATTTCTTAATTCACCATCGTGTCAAAGCAAAGTTGGTCTGCAGACCTACTCTTCCATTAGAACTATAATATGGCTGGTCTTACAGATCAAAGCGACCCAGCATGTGTGGAATGGTGACAGTATGGAAGTTAGCTCCTGACCCAGGACACAGGCACCCACTGCCGCTCCGTCTGCACCCGCTCCAGTACCACCTGCAGCTCAGCTAAGGCACTGACCGGGTCCTCCTTCATCAACACATAGTCCACCCAGGAGCTGTAGCACGCGTCGATCTGCTCCGCCGACTGTTTCATTTCGTGCAGATCATCCTCCTGGTCAGTTAGAAACGTCAAATTCTGCCATGTGTCAATCGCATCAACAGAAGAGGCTGCGTTTAGAGTTTAATGTGACTCACCGTGATAACGGAGCTGAGCGAGGAAGAGGAGCCAAGTGATTTACTTTGAACGTCGTCGATGCGAGGTCTCACAAAGATCACATACGGTTTGAAATCAGCCGTACGGAGAGTCACCACTGCCTGAATGTGGGGGTAAAAAAACAAAGAATGACAACACTGCCGTAGGTGTAAAATATTACTCATGGAGTCTAATGCAAAAGTGCAATTTACAACATGTGGAATGAAATCCCCTGCATTGTTTTAAATGGAGACCTTTTCATTCAGATACTCACCTCTGGCTGCACGTCCACGAGACAGACCTTGTTCTGATCCAACGTCCTGTGGATGGATTCCAAGCTGGTGCCATACAGATTATCTTTATACTCACCGAATTCAATAAATCTGCAGAGGTACAAAACCAGCCGTGATTCTCCTACAAACCACTCGCTGTAATCAGTTTTCACGGGCGAATAGACGGCGTCCAACACTCACTTGCCCCCTTGTATGCCGGCGTCGAAAGCTGCTTTGTTGATGAAGTGGTATTCTACGCCTTCCCTCTCGTAGCACCTCCTGGCTCGGGTAGTATCTTCAGGTCACATGTTTAAAACACAGCCAGCAGGAAGGAGAGATAACGACTGTGTGTGCTTAGGAGGTACACTTCATTATAAGGCATGATGTTACACTCCAAAAAATAACATTTACATGTTTACTCTTAGCATCAAATTAATTTAGTTTTTGCATTTGGTGTTTATTCAACTTTTATGACAGGAAAAAAGGGCGTTGCACACTTTGTGCGAGTGAAAGACGAGACTTACGAGGCACAGCCAAACCATAAAGTTGAGGGTTTTGAGCGATCACCTTCTGTTTGAGCTCAGTGATCCGAGCTCCCAGAGAACCTGAGATCCAGAACGGCAGCATAAAAAGCAGAAAGGACAAGAACACAATCACCTACTGAGGGACAGTATGCAAGCCAATGGGTTTCCCCACACGTAGCAGAACCCACCTATCAGTACTATGAGCCGAGGCCTTTCACCGGGTCGGGGCATATATTGAGTCACTTCCTCATAAATCTGGAACTCTGCTCGAGTGGCCTCTGGAGCTCGAGGTTCTCCCGGGGAACTGAGGCGATCTTTCCTGAGGCGGGAACCAGCTGTGGTCAAAGAAATGAAAACACAGACGTGGCGTTTGAAAGGGATCCATCTAAGAGTAATACCAGTTTCCCAATATCACATTTAATGTGGAGATTTCTAACTGAAAAGGCAATTTGTCGACCTCGTCACCAAACAGCTTCAGCGTGCTGCGCGAGGAGACGCTGTGAGGCACAAACTGATATATTGAACCATATTTTATGTGCAATTTTTAATCAGAAAAATGAGATAATTTTCTAAATACTATACTCACCATTTATGTATTTTTTTAACACTATATTTAGTTTATCAATTTTAAATGTACCTTACAATACGGTTTGAGAGTTTGCTCGACTAATGATTATTTTTTTCAAAATATTATAAGCAGGACCCTTTTTACACACACACACACACACACACACACACACACACACACACACAAATAGTAAACTAGAAGAACCACATTGTTGTTAGAGTGGAATACTATTGTGTGTCATAAAAGAATGTTATGCCAATGTCCCTAAAATATTCCACAGGCCCTCAGAGGCATTTTGTGCGCACAGCAGCGACACACGCTTTATATTTGACTCGAGTGTTTCTGGAATCATATTCCGTTGCTGTTCCCACTACAGAGATTCACTGTATACGTTTATATGTTCACTTGTCCCGTGCAGCGCTCAGCCACACAGTGAGCACAAATGTCACAGGGATGAACATAAACTCAATACTTGCGCCTCCTCACCCATGTCCTTTCCATTCAGAGCTCCCTCGCGGTCGCAGTCTTCTGCAGGACGCCATGCGGGACGAGAGGGAGGACAGGTTGATGTGGGTGGTGCTTTAATATCAGAACAGGCTTCAGTTCAGTAGCAAAAAGGTAGGAAGGAGGGAAACGTGCAGGGTGGCCTTTTTTCCCCCACTTACCTCTTTCCCCCCGATCGCCTTACGTGAGCAAAGCAAGAAATAACAAAAAGCATCACTATTCAGAGACAATATTAGAACTACTACACCGCGATAATATACACTGGGACCTTTACGTACTTTCTCTTTGGTCTTGTGAATGTCAGTTCTAAACAGCATCGATGCATAAAAGTCTCACACCAACTAATTTCGTTTTTCTTTATGTTCTTCTTCACGTCAGCGGAAGGTTTAACTCTTAAGCACATAGACTACACACACGACAACAAGTGTCTGGCAAATATACTATTTACTACTAATATACTACGTTTTAAAAACCAAGCCGTGTCCTTTTACTTTTAAAATTGGATTGGGAAATAAAACAAGAGATTACATTGCATTTTTTTGTAAAGGTTAATCCCCTGTTCCATCATCATCCCTATTTCGAGGTCTCCGGGGCCAAATCAGTCCTGCACAACAAGCGTTGTCCAAGCGATCTGAGCTTTGTGTACATTTATATTAACGCTGTAGGTCAAAGGGGTGAATCGGGCTTACATGTAGAAGCTTTGGAGCCAAAGGGGGAAGAACCCATTTTCATCCTGTACCGCAGACGCCTGGAAAGGTCAAATTAAAAAAAAAAAAAAAAATGTTTAAACGATAGAAAGGGAATCGTGTTCTTGGATCCAAGTCACATCGGCTCCACGCGGCATCTCCTAGTCATCACAGTCGACGCTCACTACCTCTCCTGGAACTGCGTGGAGGGGATGAGGGCGGCCCGCAGGTTACAGTCACCAATTCTCTTGGCCTGCCACCAGGTGGCGTCCTCCTGGCTGACGACCTGAAGGATGTCCCCGCGGTGGAAAGGCAGTCCCGCCTCTTGGCACGGCGTGGCCTTGTCCTCGTACGGCGTGTAGTCGAACAAAGCCCGGAGGTAGACCTTTAGGAGGAATGATCCATCAGCACATATAGTTGGATCGGTCATATCCGTGCGTTAAATGAACAGCCGGTTCCCAAAGTTAAATTCTTACCCTGCTTTCCTTCAGCTGGTCTTCTTCTACCACAGCTGGAATGATTTTCAGTGTGATGGAGCCTTGGGACTGGCACTGATCAAACACATCATCAGTGAGCGATCATACAGTATCTCAACTGGTAAGGCGCAATATGGCGAAAAGCCCCCCCCACCCCCACCCACACTCCCCCGTTTACCAGAATCTGACTAATTTCATCGGGCCTTCTGTGGGCGATCCGATTTCCATTGACCTCTCGAAGCTCATCACCAACGTGCACCAGGCCTGGAAACCCCGAGCACAAGAAAAGAAAAGCCCCAGAATGTGAAGCTCTTCAGACTCCGACATGAAGAAGAAACAAACGTTTTTTCATTATGCTTGAGTTTAAAACACTTCCATGACAACAGCCAGGAGCGACCCTCGTTTGTAATCTCAAAATACGCAATCTTGCTGTACTAATCTCAAGGATTTGATCTGGTGATCATGGGGTTACGCAACATAATCTCACTTCTCTTAGCATTTCATTTCATTAGAGAAATGGAAGTCTTGCCGGACGCAAAGTTTTGTTTGTTGGTAAAAATGAGCACAACTGAATCCTGCGTCGCAGCGCATGCCGTGCGAACACCGCCGTCTCTCACCACTGCGGTGGGCCGCCCCTCCCCTCATGATTCTGGCCACGATGACGGCTCCCGTCACCTCGTCTCTCCGGATGGTCGCTCCCTGGTTGAAAAGACACAAGGAAATCTGACATCCAGTATACACCTTGCATCTCATGTTCATTCTCACCACAAGATGTTACGACCCCCACTTCACACCTTTGGTCCCTTCAACGCCTCAATGCAGCTCCATTAAGATGTAATTAAGGCCCCTTTGAGGGCAGAAGAAGCATAGCTGCTGGGGAAGGAAGAGCTCTCACCAGCGGCTCTTTGTTCTTCACCAGGCGGACGATCTTCACCGACTCTTCCTCCAGGTCGTCGTCCACGTCCTCCGGCAGCGGCGGCAGCACCGGGTCAAATTTCTTCTGGGCCACCGTGTCGTGCGCTGACAGCACCGCCTGTTTCGAGAGGATTTAAGGGCCTCGATAATATAACGTGTATAACGTTCCATGGCCTGAATAACAACGAATCAAGTCAAACGTCTCCTCCAGTAGCACCTTGCGATGCATTGAAATGTGTGAGTGTGTACCTTGAGGTGGGGGGTGCTCAGGAGGAGAAGCAGTTCCCGCTCATCGTCCTCCAGGGGCCCGTTCTGAAGTTCCTCTGCCAGCTGGTGAATCAGCAAATCACAACTTGAAATAGTGAAACATCAAATTAAATACGCTTACTTAAGAAAGTCAAATGAAGGTTTACTTGTTCTTTGTATTTAACTACAATATTCAGGTTTAGTTCTGCTTAGAAACACTGAGGAGAGACGGCACCTACATCCTCTGCCAGGCAGGTGGCGCTGTGTAGAACTGGAGAGGGGCTGTGTTTCTCATATTGCTTCAGTTTCTCATGAATCTGGCATGTGAGACACATGAATACAAACAAACAAACGATGAGAATTCCTTCTGCGTGACATTTGAAGGTCCGTTTCTAAGAATCTAAATCTGCAGTTTCTACCATCGCATATCGACCCGTAAAATATTGGTAAGAATTGTTTTTGATATAAAGATAAATCCCTTCGTCCGATGCGGTTTCACACATATGGAGAAGTCACTTCCTGAATCGTATCTGCGGTACCTTCATGAGGTAACCGAGGCTCTTCTCACTGAAGACATCCGTGAGGAAGCCCAGCTCCTCCTTGTGTTTGGCCCCGGAGTGCAGCCGAGAGGTGAGATGGGCCAGAGTCTCATGCAGCCCTGTAGGTCATAGCAAACAGGACAGTTTCTCAACAATCGCTCTGACCCCCCCCCCCCCAACCCCCCTCCCCCGGCATAGAACGGACAGGAAGCTTCAGCGTATGCACGGACATACCTGTGCTTGTAGACACGATGGGCATGGCTCCAATCATCCACGGAGGCCGGAGGGGGAGAACAGGAAGAGGGAACACGAGGAAGAGCGACTCTCCCCGCCGGCTCCTTTGGTTCCTCGTGTAGGACCGAGGAGAAGAATCGCAGACAGCTGGGTCCAATGCAACACATTTGAGCAAAAGAGTTATCCAACAATAATTGTGTGGAGGATTGATTTTCCTCACACATAGTTTAGATTTTTGGACATATTAAAAAGGTTAGTCGTTATATTTGTGTTGTGGAGTCTCATAATTACACGTTCCATGCAGCTCAAAGCTTCTGGTTAACATATTAACAGAAGGAAATGCTACTTATGTGTACAACGCCACTCCATTGAGAGGACGTCCCTCCCGACGCACTCGGACTCCGTCCCTGACCTTCTTTCACTGCGTCCCTCCATCCCGCCCTCTAATTACGAGAGGCTGAGAGGAGCTTTAAAGCTCTCATCTTTCTGGGCTTTTTTCCCCTCTCTCACACACGGAGTCAATCGCGCTAAATACTTGCTGGGTTACCACGGCGCATATGGTGGTTTTATCCAGTCTCCTTAATTTAAGACAGCCGTGCTCTGAATGCATCAGAGGATTTCAATGAATACAATGAAGAAGATTAGAAAACGGCCAGAGACTGGAATAGAAACTGAAAAGCCGCGTGGAGCAGAAGTCACACTGGAAAGCATTCATTATTTCAAATATCAAACGATGGGAAATGGAAAACTCAAGCACGGAGAACAATACAGCGATCAAAGGACACGAGCTACCCACGTTTTTGTACACATTAGAATTCGTTGTTGGACTGAAACCGCTGAAGCTGATAAAATAAAAAGAAAGAACGTTGATGTACCAATTCAGTGACGCTCAATTCGGTTTTCTGCAGTTATAGAAAAGCAAAAAAAAAAACACAGAGACAAACGTCCTCGGAGCCGTCACGTCCTTGCTGTCATCTTCACTTTAACAAAACAATATCGACTTTGTGTTAACGTTGACGTCTTCTCGCGTTCCAAAAAGGCTTCCATGCAGAAGTTGTCTGCTGGAGGCTCGCTGGTGCCGAGAGACGGCACGATGACAAGTTCTGTACTCGCGCGGCTCTCTTCTCGCGGCCCCTACGCTCACCTCAGCCTCGTTGTCTTTTATCCTCACAAAGACTTGACGGTTGTGACAACATCATCCGTCCCATCACGAAGTCTGCGTAGCATTAAACTGACATCATGTTTCGAAGAGCGTTGCGTTACTGTGCTTTCTACTCTCACGCAAGCACAAAATCCATAAAACCAAAGCCAACACGCCCACCACCTGTTCCCGACCCGAAAGGGGGACAAAGAGACAGTGCTGATGCCATCTGCCCCCCGCTCTGTGTGTGTGTGTCTATAATGCCACCCACATGGCCAATCGGACATATCTGGATATGACAGATTTTATTCCACTTTCCATCTGGAAAAAGCAGTTGCCCTCTGTGCATTTTGCTGGGGCATTACGATAATCCACAGCAGCTAAAGATTATGCTCAATATTGAGGGGCAAAATGTTGACGTCAACGTGACATCTTCAAGTGTCTCGTTTCTGTTTAACCCAAAGCCGAAGTTCAAATGTTTGGAGTTTAAACTCAAATCCGGCAGTGAAAAGCAGACAATCCTCTCATTTGCCTGGAAAACAACGCAGAGGGGGATAAAGTAGCGGCCTGGCGATCAACAAATGGTTCTGGGCTCTGATCCTGCGCTGGGTCAACGGCAGAAACCGTGAGCTAAATTTGAAAAAAAATTAAAAAGACTTTCAGTAAATATATTTACTCTGCTAGCTCAATCGAATGTGTATGCATCGTCGCTTTTAAGAAGAACACCACTCCGACGCCAACGGATGAAGAGTGACTTCATGTCTGAGGGACAGAAACACAGACTCATTACAGGATTTCAACAGCCAAGTAGGTTGTTACGGACCGGGGGGGTGATGGCTGACAAAGTGCCAATCTGTCTGGAGGCGAGCCAAACTGTCCAGGCTTTCTGACGGCTGGCTGATGTTAAACTCCCACTGAGCTTGTTATGTGTAAACGTGGGGATAAACAGCGCGGCAGGGGGCCTGTGGACAAAGACCGCTTTGCACTTGTTAATGAAGGACATTTATTTGCATTGAAAAACATCATATTTTCATTCATAAGTAAAGCTAAAATATGTCTGTAGACGTCCTCTTGACCTCTGAATGGTGCAGTTTTCCTTGATTGAACTGTGCAGAACCCGGACCGTCACTGAATGGGCCGTCCTGCTCACAAAAGAAGCCGGAAAACGTGAAGAAAAGTCTTTCCTGCAGCAAAGAGGGAAGGAGTCACAGACCTCAGCACTCATCCACCAAGGTCTCATTCACCGAGGACTCATTCACCAAGGTCTCATCCACCAAGGACTCATCCACAAAGGTCTCATCCATCAAGGACTCATCCACAAAGGTCTCATCCACCAAGGTCTCATTCACCAAGACTCATCCATCAAGGACTCATTCACCATTTAAATTCAGCACCAGGAGATTCACGTAATGAGCTTAGAGTCTCATGGCGGCTTAGTTTAATTAATCACAGGTGATGCACACGCCTCATTATCACGCAGCACGGGCTTTAATCACTTGTGTTGGGAAACCTCAATTTATTAAAACAATACTAAATAAAAACAAGAAAAAAACGCAATGCGCTTTTGCGTCTTTTGAAGTACATTAGTGCAAAGTGAGGCCACCTGACAGCTTCCCCGCAGCAGCATCTTTCTCTTTGTCGGACACGTGGACAGCGAGGAGCCGTGCGGAGGTTCCGTGCACGTCAGGAAGCGTCCTTACCTCGTCGCGGCTCTTCTCGGCGTGCGCGTTTTCAACCCGAAAATTCAACGTCCCGCGTTCATAAAGACGCAATTCTTTTATTCCTTCTTATTTCCCTCTGTCTGTTCAATCCGTCTTCAGCTGACTGCTTGTATTATTTAGCCGCTCAACGAGCCGCCTCCATCAGTCAGATTGCTCTCTGCCGGTCTGTCTGTGGTGCCTTCAGGGGACCCTCGTAATCGACAAAGACACCAAAGATTCGCACATGAAAATAGAGGGATGCTGATTTTTTTTTTTTTTAATTGGATGAAAATAAGGAAGGGTAAATGAACATTAGGAGAAAAAGAGACACCACTATAGTAGAGTAAAAAAGGCGTTTTCTGCCTTTTTATCGTTATTGTGTGTCAAGTACAAAAAATGCAAAACCTATATGAATTGAAGTGACAAATATATCCATAATTTAGTTTTTTTTAAATATAAAACAGAATCCCGATTTATGTCATAATATCCCTTAGCGTCTCATCATTGTTTTGAGTATGTTTGCTGTAAAGTTTCATTTGATTTTTTTGGTTCCTGACACAACGAGGCTTCCAAAAATATATATAATGTGATGTACACTTACTCTTTTTGGGCCGTTGAGATGGCTTAACATGTACATATTTATTTATAGTTGATAAACGTGGACTATGAGTAATCATGCACCACAACACGGTGGTCTATATTCCTCCTTATCGTGCACTGATCCCTCCCCACACTCCTTTGTCCCTTTGCAGAGCCTGATGCGTCGGGACGTTTGTGTCGTCAGAGAGGAGCAGAGTCTCCGACGCTGCCCTGAGAGTGAGGTCTCCGATCGTGGCTCTCTGTGTTATTAAATGGATGATGGGAAAGCATTTCATCTCAGCTCAGTGGGTCGGATAGCTGGGGGATCAGAGTCCTATCTGTGGATGACATCAGCCCCGTCCTCCCGTGTCGCATGGAACGATGGGGCGATACAAAAATAAACGCTCGGCAGCTCCGTCTTAGTGCTCAGAAACCACACACAGATAGAAAGTTATGATAACGGGCGCTTTAATATTCCAGTTCCTCAAAATCACCATGAAAATAAAGATATAAAACAAATCAATCATAAACAGTCATTCACAAGTTTCTGTTAATTTTTTGTTTTTTGTGTTATTATTAATTGCAGTAAACCATGTCTGATTTTTGTTTTGCACAAATAACATGGAAATCTATGCAGATTTATATTGACTCATTGGTTTGGATCTGTCAGTGTTAGAAAATGCTCGGCTGGTTGCTCGCTACATACACCAACGAGAATGAATGAAAGTTTCAGATCTGAAGCACGGACACGGTCTAATCTCTGGATCAAATTTCAGAATCCGGTGCGTCCTCCTGTAGAAAGATCACAATTACCAAAAATGACATTCGTGATATTGTGTTTCCTAAAAAGACACGTTGTATTTATCTTGCTTGTTCAACATTTACATGAAGAGGGAGGATCAATAAAATCATTTTTCATGATTTACAGCAAAGTCGTCAAATTAAAGTACAAACATAGAACATTTTGAGATTTGATGCCCATGACGTTCAAACGCTTCGCAGCATTTCAAAATAAAAGCCATCCAGAAATCCTGAGTGATGGATATTGTGCTGAGACACCTGACCGCTGCCTGTCAACGTTTAATTGAGTTTACCGTCATCGTGAACTCACCATGTATGTGGGGTTCTGGAAAGACGCAAAAGTGTCGCCCCGAATGGGTTCAGACACCTTGAAAAGAGGAGAAACGAAATGCTGCAATTACTGAGAATAAGAACAGGGAACACTGTGTAACGTTTTGTCACGCGTCTCCATGGCTACCCGTGTGCCGGAAGCAGCCGCTTGTGTAGAAGTGATGACGACGTCTTCCAGGTCCGAGCCGTATGCCGGGTTCTGGAAAGACTCCTGAAACAGCCACAAGGTTCGACACACCCACACGCAACAACGGGAATGTGTTTTGAGATCAATGCAACTGTTGATTCAACGATGATAGACAATAAATATTTCCCTGCCTGCATTCTCCAGAGTGTGCTGTGATATTTAAGAACATGTTCTGAAATGGACGAATTCATTTGTGAGCCATTAAATGGGTGATGAATGTGAAACTGACCTCGTTGACAGTGACGGGTTTGTTAGCACTTCTTGTGGGCTCGTCCTCCGTGTACAAAGGATTACTTATGTTCACCTGACCGAGGAAACATCACAAGAACAGAAAATCAAACAATGGCCAGATCTAAAACCTAAAATGCACAATGCGATTTGACTTTTCTCTGTACAAAAATCTCTGTTTGCAGACCTTGTTTGGTTCATCGGGAGCGAAGTGGGTTGCTACGGTCTCCATGGCAACAGGTTGTGCATATCCTGGGTTCTCAAAACTCCTCCCATCTGTTTCCGCCATGGACACGGACATAGAGGGAACCTGGAAGCAGGGTAAACGCGACAAGTTGATGACCGTCATTGCTCTTTGTTTAGCCGATTGGCAGCCGTTAGCCATGTTGGGAGAGGATCAATACAACCAATTGGAGTATCAATGAAGAAGCAGGGAAATAATAGTAGTTTCAATGAAACGGCTCTTTTTCTTTGCTCCTTACCGCTTCACCATTCAGCCTCGTCTCACGTCCCTCTGATGACGCATTTGGAGATGAGCGGTTTCTAAAAAGTGACACAGAAATAACCCACATGTAACGTGATGTGCACACATACTCATACACCCTCTCAGTAGAACGAAAAAAGCTCTGCATCGAGTCTAATACTACACTATATTCTAACTACACAATCTCACCTGAAGCTTGGGAGGTTGGGCATAGATGGCATACTGGGCATACTGGGCATACTGGGCATACTGGGCAAGCTGCTCCATACTCTCTCCATCAGGTTGGACTTCTTTCTGGCAGCGTAGACCAGAGCGACCAGCAGAACCACAATCAACACCGTCACCCCGATCGCTATGCCAACTGAGACAGAAGGCCAAAAGGAAGCTCGTTGGGTGAGGAGATAAAGCTCAAAGCGTGAATGCTTCAATGTTATTACGCTTTAAAATACAACATACTTGAGGATGCAACCACGTTGTGCACGTTTATCTGGCAGTACTCTCCGGTCCAGTCTGCAGAGCATCTGCCAAACGAAGTACAACCAGAGTTGAGGGTGGTTGACTGATTTATTTTAGTTTGTGCATCAATCAACACATTGTTTTGTTTTATTCGTGTTATCTTGTGTAAGAATATATCTTTGCATGCATATTTTCATGCAAATACTTACATGCAAAGAGCCTCGTTGTCGTCAAAGTAGCAGGTGCCTCCGTTTTGACACTGACACGGTGGGGGCATGGTGGGGGGAGGATCGAACCCTGAGCGAATGTATTGAAAGGACCAGACATGACACCTTCACGTCAGCGGTACGCAATACACTACTACACACAGGTACGTGACTGAGGATCACGTGTAGCACAGATCCACGACTACTATAGTTCCTCTTTGAATAAGAGACTACCTACTATCACTACTCCTACTTTCACTCCTTGTCTCTGCCCTCAGGCGTTTAACCAACTTTAACGTGACTATAGTTCATTCATTTAATATCACGTAAAGAGAAAGCAGAAATCCCTGCAAGTTGCATTAACGTTGCTGCAATTTGAGATCAACTGCTGCAACCTAAATGCATGACGTCACATGGTGTGGAAAAACAAATAGCTTGTTCTCACCAGCATCACACTCCGTGTTGCTGCCGGGTGTGAAGTCGGTGCCCTGGGGGCAGGCGCAGGTGTACCCCCCAGGCCGGAGCAGACACAGGTGGCTGCAGGTTCCCTTACACGGATTCTTCACTGCGGAGACATTGATTACTTCCTTTCAAACAAGTACTGATCTACTTTCTTAAATGATGACCTTGAGGACCTTGAGCAGGAAGTTTTCGGGGCGTTAGAACATGAGAGGAAGGCGCGCGGCTTACTGGCTATGGAGTTGTATCTCTGCTGCTGGTACACCGACACCTGCGTGAGCCACGGCCCGCCCGTCAACAGCTTGGCCTTTGCCCCGCGGCCAAACTTGTCCTGCCGGAACACCTCGCCCTTCTCCTGGGTGCTCCAGTAGACGTGGTCCTCGAACACACTCACGCTGAAGGGGTTTCTCACATCTACGAGACGAAAGGTAAAGAATTGAACGGAGCCCCGTTGCTGGAGATCCCTCCAATACCGAGTGGAATGAGCCTTTCCCTTCTCTTCGCCCAACCCTCACCTATGTACACGGCCGTTCTGCGGTCGCCTCCTGACGGCAGCACCGACTCGATGCGGCTCTCCTTGGAGTCGGACCAGTAGATCCTGTCGCCGTTGGTGAAGTCGATCGACAGGCCAGTGGGCCAACCCAGGCCGTCGGCCACCAACACCGTCCGCTCCTGACCGTCCAGCCAAGAACGCTCGATCTTGGCCGCGTCCCCCCGGTCCGCCCAGTACAACATCCTGTAGAAAGGCAACAGACTGTGGTTCTGGGCTCCGAAGGTCGATTTAACTTTCCACAAACGTTTCAGGTAAACTTCTACTAGCCAATAGCGTCCAACAAAAGAAACCAGGTGTGAAATGAATGAATTTGTACACGCTTATCTTCCAATTTGCTGCGACCTGTGCAAAGGTTCTTAAAGCCCGGCGGTCGTACCCCAGTCGCGGGTTGACGGCCACGGCAGACGGCTGGCCCAGCTCAGTCTTAACCAGCTGCTTCCTGTAGCGTCCGTCCAGCATGGCCACCTCCAGCCGCTTCAATCCGGAATCTGCCCAGTAAAGGTTCCTGCGGTTGCAAAACGAATCACATAATGTTGAAACACGTTTACAGGCAGAGGCTTGTTTTCTAGTGTGCTCAAACATCCATAGAAATGAAAAATCAGGAGTTTGAAGGGATTCAGAGTTCAAGTTGGCACACACCTGCCCACCCAGTCCACAGCGACGCCGCCTGGTCTGGTGATGTATTTGATGCCGAGGTCGACAGCAGCACCGATGTTGTTACTGCCGTCATCCGCTGAAGGGATGTACGCTCTCTTAATGGCGCCCGCTTCGGAGTCCTTACCGGCCACGGTGAAATACACCATACCTGACAGAGCACGACCACGTCACCCAATACGTCCGTTTCCATTTAAGCGAGCGTCTTTAACGTGTTTAGCGTCGGCCCGCGTGCGACCTACTGAACCCGGTGTGGTTGTGGTCCCAGTCGTAGTCCAGAGCCACGATGCGCTCCTCCTCGAGTAGGAAGTCGTGGTAGGTCTCCGTCTGCAGGTTGAACCTCCGGATGCGAATGTTCTCTGGTAGAAGCATCAAGGGCGTCGCTCCTGAGGGACACGCAGGCGTTTATACCATTTAAAAGAGAGGGAGGGGGGGGGGAGGACGTCGCTCTGGTTTTGAATTAAGGTCCCTAAGTGTCGTGTCTCACCCTCGGCCTCGCACTTGTTGCCGTCGCCCACTTTTCGGTAACCGGGGGCACACTCGCAGTCGTAGCCGCCCTTTGTGTTCTTGCAGACCTGAGGGCAGGTGCCCCACGCCGCACACTCATCGATGTCTGTGGAAGGAAGACGAGACTGTGAGAAACAGTTTGGGTTTTCGGCAGATCTTTAACCTGTGCGATGTCGCTTCATCATGCTGTTATTGTGCGCTTTCAGTAGAATTTTAAAAACGTGCTCATGTGCGGTGGGGAGTTATAGAAACTATTCAGTGTGTGTGTGTGTGTGTGTGTACCCAGGCAGGTGTAGGTGCTGTCTGGGTTCACTCTGTATCCCGGCCTGCAGGAGCAGATGAAGCCGGTGCCGTTCAGGTTGGTGCACTCGTGCTGGCACAGCTTCTCTTCACAGTTGCGTTCGTTGCCAAAATCTTGAGCCAGACGACACAGAGCACATTTTACCACACGTCTAATGAATTATTCAAGAGCTGCCTGATCAGGTGCAACGGTGGTTGTGTTTACAAGACACAATAACCTCCATGCATCTTTACGATCCAACCTTCTTGTACCCATAAATATCTCAGCCAACGGGATAGTAGTTGTAGCAGAAAAGTCGTTGTCAGAGTTTGAATGCTAAAAAGGTGCTGGATCTCCCAGAGGAGAGAAGATGATGACATTCATATCCATCCATTGTCATTATGAAAAGATCTTTCACCTCATAATTACGAGACGTCTTAATAATTGGGTCGTGAGTACAAAATTAATGCATGGATGGATAAATCAGAACTACACAGTGCTGTTAACATCTCTATTTTCTTTTTTAATTTGAGAACGGAGCGGGCGTTCTTAGAAGACCACATCTCCATCATCATAATTATGCTAAATGTACGTCATGATTATGAGCTCTTTTTCTTCACTTCTTCGCCGTGGTCTTTTTGTAGACATTTAATCCGCAATCATCCGTGCACACATCATCATCATCATCGTCGTCGTCGTCGCGTTGTCTTTTTCGTCTCCACTAAGCGGTCGCTTTGTCGCGATACTCACTGCAGCCCAATTCGTCCGTGCGATCCCCACAGTTGTCGTTGTGGTCACACACGTACGGCAGGGCGACGCATTGTCCGTTGGTGCATTTAAACTGTTCCAGCGTGCAGGGCGGCAGCGTGGGCTCGTGGCCTGAGAGGGACACAGTTAGAGTGAGTCGTCTGCACACGTGCACAGTCCAACGTTGCATTCAGAGCTTTCTCCACAAGGTCAAGCGGTCTATAAATACCGCTGACAACGAAAAAAAAAAAGACAAAGCACGGACAAGATACTGTGATGTAGGCATGTACCATAACATCATGCACGATATTCACTCCAGCGCTTATCCAATTCAAATGTCATTAGATGAGCTACAAGTAAATCCACCTCCTGACTAAACCATACTATTTAATCTCCTCTTAAAAATAATTTGCTATGATTGATGCTTAAGCTCATTGTGTAACATTCCATAAAACAGACCATTTCCTCATCCCGCGTACATTACGGGCTTTCTGTGCTTTGCAGACACCCTGATGTCATTTGGGGATTTCCTATTTCAGTTGCCTTAAAGAGGAAATTTCCGGAAGCGCCTGTAATGTTCCAACTAATCCTGGGGGATGCCAGGAAGTGATCAGTGGCGCATTTGCTCATTACAAATCTGGTCATAGCAACGCCACGTGCGCGCAAAATACCTACATTTACAATTGTGATTATTGCAGCTTTGCTTGTTGCTGTTATTAACATGGTTATTCCTCTATTTATTACTATATTGTGACAATGTCGTAGCAATAATCCAACGTCTGAGTAGCTCGTGCAGCCAGCAGCTGTGCCTCAGCATCTGCAGTCCTTGTTCATTCAGAGATAATTGGTCACAAATGATCCTCAACAGCGGCAGTAACCATTTAGAAGCCTCAGTTGACACAGTCTTTGGAACAGTTCTTCAAAAATGCTTTCATTCTGCCAAATAGCACTGGCACGGATATTTGCTTCCACCACACAGTATAACCTGCGTTGAGCAGGCAGATTGTGGCGTACGTGTGTGAGATCTTACAGAGTTCTTCCTTCTCGTCGCTGCCGTCGCCGCACTCGTCCTTCTGGTTGCACAGCAGGCCGGAGTAGATGCAGTAACCGTTTGCACAGCGGAACCTGGACGGCATCTCGCAGGTCACATTCACTGTTAAAACACACACACAAGTTCAGAAAAAACCTCAACAAGAAAAGATTAATGAAAAATTGCTGCTTTAACGCGTTCAGTTTTTTCTTATTTGTCATAATTATGAGTTTACGGTTGCAGAGCTCCAAATCCTTTCACTTTATAGCTTTTAATGAAGAGGGGAAACAATAAAGGGAATAATATGTCCATGCTGGCTCAAGCTAGATCAAGTTCAACTTGGGAAAGAATTGTGATGTGTTTTAAGGAATGAATAAATCTGTTAATTCACACCCACACCGGCACGAGTACAGATAAAATACTTATTCCTTACAGCATAAAGTGAGCTGCTCATCAGAGCGATCCCCACAGTCATCGACTCCGTCACACACCCAGCCCTGGCTCACACACAGATGGTTCGCACACTGGAACTGGCTTTGAGGGCACCAACGGCCTCCTGGGTAACGGGTGGCTGTTGGGAGTATTAAGTTAATATGCTGATTGAACAATAAGTCCACATTATGACATAATTATTAAACGTTTTGATGTCATTTAACTTGTCATACTATAATGTCATTTGGACATTTACATACTTTACATGCAGACACCTCCTAACAAGCGGCCACTAACAAAAAACAGATACGGCTCCATTAAAACCACGTTATCAGCTTTGACGTTGTTTGCTTACGACAGCTGGTCTCGTCCGTCAGGTCCTGACAATCCGGCCGGCCGTCACACTGCAGAGCGGCGGGGATGCAGTGACCCGAGTCGCACTGGAAGCGCCCCGGACGACACGTGTTCAACTCTGGAAGAAAGCCGGGCGGTAAAGAGGGGGGCCCGCTCACGGCGCAGGGTATTTCGGAGGAAACGAGTGGGCGTGTGCGCAGCTCACCGCAGTCGCGTTCGTCGGACTGATCCCCACAGTCGTTGTCGTGGTCACACACCCAGTTGCCAGGGATGCACTGCGCGTTGTCACATCGAAACTCACTCTCGGAGCAGGGCCGCGGCTCTATCGGCAGCAATCGACACACGAAAGGGACGCACAAAAAGCCGAATGAATAAATGTGCATGTATAGTGTGGGATATATTTCAGAAGTTATCCGTAACCCAAATGAAAGACCGAGCGCGAGTAAAAAATACATATTCCTGCTGGTTTTGTCGTGGATCGAGCTGTAAAATATATTGAGTATGACACTGACGGCAGTTTCTTTCATCCGAGCTGTCGCCACAGTCGTCGGTGCCATCACACTGCCATCGGATGGGAACGCAGCGGTGGTTTTCACATCGGAAATCTCCCAGAGGATCGCAGGTCACCTCCTCTGTTGGAGGACAAAGTCAGACATGGACATTCAAAGCTCAACATGTAGTCAATCATAAAATAATTAAAAGACTCCTTTTTCAAAACCCAGATAATCATAAAAAAAAATACACACATACACCTTTCTGTGCATTGTGCAAAGTTGTCTGTTGACGAAAATTGCCTTAATGAAAATTGCCAATCACACGGTTAATGGTATTCAGAAAATCAACATCTGCTTTTACCCTATAGAACCCGAAACCTTTTTAAAACACGGGACACATACAGTGCTACACAGCATTTAATAGTCGTCGCACTGACCGCAGCCTTGCTCGTCGCTGTTGTCGATGCAGTCGTTGGTGCCGTCGCAGCGGGCCCATTGAGGGACGCAGCGGTAGTTCGTCTTGCAGGAAAACTCAGTTTCCTCGTCGCACTTATAGTCTGGACCCACTGCCCGAGACAAAGGAAAGCATTGATTGGCAGCAGAGCGCCGTGTCACTTCACTGCAGTGCGCCACTTACTGCAGGTTTCATACGGCTCGTCGGATCCGTCCCCACAGTCGTCCTGGGCGTCGCACACGTAGCCCGACGGAAGACAGCGCCCGTTGCCGCACCGGAACTCTCCCGGTTTGCATGTCCTCTGGGAGCAAGTCTCTGCGTCCTCGTCGCTTGCGTCCGAACAGTCGCTCACGCCGTCGCAGTGCCAGGACACGGGGAGGCACTTCTTGTTTTTACACTGGAACTGGTTTTCTTGGCATCGGTGGTCGCCTAAGAGGGGGAGGGGGGGTGAGAGAACGCGGCTTGAAACCGAACCGTCAGGCCTGGCGGAGGCCTCTTCTGGCCCGCTACAGTCAATCACAGTTCCTGTTTGTCAGTTGTCCTACTGCAAAGAGCGGCGTCCTCGTCGGTGCTGTCGGGGCAGTCCGGATGGCCGTCGCAGATGAAGCCGGGGTAGGTGCAGTTGCCGTCGCGACACTGGAACTGGCCGACGGGGCAATAGCGGGGCGGGCAGGTCTGAGGCTCGTCCGAGCCATCGCCGCAGTCCGACTGGCCGTCGCACTTCCACCATATGGGGACGCACCTGCGGACGAGACACGGCACGAACAGGTTGGCTCACAGAATATAGATGTTCTCTTTTATTTGAATCTACCTTCTACTTTGTCCTTTCCTAATTTGTTTAGATTCACAGGATCTTTACATTCAACACAACACAAAGTCACAATGGATGCGACGGCTGTGAAACGGGAGCGCGGGTGATTTCACATCCGACTCACTTCTCATTGTCTCCACAGCGGAACTGGGTGCTGGAGCAGTCGGCGACGCACTGGATCTTGAAGCCCACCGAGAGGCCGATGAAGTTATCGGGGCACTGGCAGGTAGCCTGTTCCCCACCGGGGGCAATCAGACACAAGTGACTGCAGGTCAGGTGATGGGAGGAGCAGGGGTTCTCACCTGGGAAGGGAACGCGTTGGTAAATGCTGAGCTTTTCTCAATTGAATACGATGAGAAGACAAGCTGCCACATTTAAATGCACATACTGCGGGGCTGCCTGTAGGGGTGGAACACGCGAATGTCGTATGGCCGATGTGTGTTGTTGCCCATGACTGTGCGCTGCTCGCCAGTGTACTTGTGAGCCTTCTCTACTGTATGTGTGTTCCAGTCCGTCCAGTAGACCCAGTCCTCGAACAGGGAAACGGCAAAGACGTGGGGAAGCGCACCGGCGATGGCTCGGTGTCGGTTCTGGCCGTTCATGTCTGCAAAGCTGAAGGTCGATACATCGGAGGGGGTTAGTACACGTTGGAGGGATTGCACGGTTATTATTATACAGGAAGTCTATGGACGCGTGACTGAATCTCTGAACTCACTCCAGAAAGCTGAGGTGGGAATCAGCAAAGAAGATGTTGTTGGTGGTGTAGTCGATGGTCAGAGCACTGGGCCACTCCAGCTTGCTCGTTATGAGGGCGCTGACATTGTGTCCGTCCATGCCAACTCTGCCGATATATGCTGTGTCACCCCAGTCGGTCCAGTAAAGCCATCTGGAGGGGAGGGAAAAAAAAAGAGTAAAGACAAGATGATAAAAGAGTAAGATGTAGTGGATATTTAGCATTATCAGTAGTAGAAATATTCAATATTGAATTTCCCTTATATTTTCTCTGGAATACGGACAAACAGCTCAAGATTTGCAAGATCAATCAACTGTAAACATTAGGTTTTGGTGTTAAATTGCATCTGTGTGTGTGTGTTTAAGCACCCGTATTTGGGGTTAACGGCCACAGCACGGGGCCGGCTGATAGGGTAAGTGGCGTTTCCATCAGTGAATTCTCCTGACAGCAGTCTCTTCTGGTAGCGTCCATCCAGCTCCATCACGTGGACTGAGCCGTAATAACCGTCCAGCCAGTACAGCTTCCTGCAGGACACACAAAAGCTTTCAATGAGATCCCTGCAGCCATGTTTTGTTCTGTCGGGCTGACGCCATGCTCATAATTACATGAATAAAATAGATTTAAATGGGAGATTTTCAAATCGTCTTTGTTCACAAACGTGTTCATGACTAATTATTAGAATCAGAATCAGCCTTAATAAGATTAAACCACACACCTGCCCACCCAGTCCAGTGCCAGGCCTTCAGCTCCGAATACATCGTCATCCGCCAGAGTCTCCCTGTCGGTGCCATCAAAACGCATCCGCTCGATCCTTCCCGCCCCCGCGTCCAGCCAATAAAGCCTCTTCTCGTAGTCGTCAAAATCTAGCGCCACCACATTGGAAAGCCCCTGCAGGACGATGCTCAGAAGTGACCCGTCGGTGGTCAAATTGCGGATGTAGTAGCGATTGCTGTACAACAGGTACGGGGCGACGCCACTGTTCTGGCGACAGGTGCGTCCGTCCGGCTCGCGGACGTACCCGGGGGCGCATTTGCAGTGGAACGAGCCGACTGTGTTCTCGCAGATCTGGCTGCAGACGGCGGGTGTGCTGGAACACTCGTCGAGGTCCTCGCAGGCTTTGCCGTCCGGCATGAGCCGGTAGCCCGGCTGGCAGGAGCAGTAGTAACCGGTGAGCGTGTCGGTGCACAGCTGGGCGCACTTGTGGACTGATGGGTTGAGGCACTCGTTGACTCCTAATCGGAAAAAGTAGAAAAAAAAGACAGGAAAAGACAACGATCATTCGTTCATTAACAATGAATATCTTTGTGTTTTGGACTCTTGTGAACATAAACATTGGAAGATGTTTGACATCGGAATGTAAGCTCGTTCGTGTGAGGAACACTCCCATCGATTAACACCCGTATTTTCGACCTGACGTCTTATTTCCGATCCTCTCACCGCAGCCTTTCTCGTCGCTGTTGTCCCCGCAGTCTTTTTGTCCGTTGCACACCTTGCCGACGTCGATGCAATCGCCCGACTTGCACATGAACTGCTGCGGAGCGCAGGTGGGCCGGGGCGGGGCGCACAGGCTCTCCGCCTCATCCGAGCCGTCCGTGCAGTCGCTCTGCCCGTCGCAGGTGAAGGAGGCGGGGATGCAGGCTCCGTTGCCGCAGGTGAACTGGTGGCTGCTGCAGGTGTCGTAGGCGCAGTGCAGCTCGTCGCTGCCGTCGCCGCAGTCGTTCACGCGATCGCAGCTGGGGGAGGGAGGACGAATCCGTCAAGACTCTCTCAAGTAACCGGACCTGCAAAGCGACGTCTACTTTTGTCCACGCTTTTCTACTCACTGGTAGGGGAGGAGGATGCAAATCCCGTTGGAACAGGCGAATTCGTTCATGTGGCAGGTGCGGTTGGGGCAGTTATGGAGCTCGTCCGCCGCATTGGCGCAGTTTTTCTCTCCGTCACACACAAAGCTGAGCGGCACACAGCGCGGGTAGCTGGGAAACCATGTGGGGCAGGTGAACTGGTCGGAACTGCAGGTTTGTTGGCCTGAAGGAGACGGAGGAAAGATGAGCAAGCTCGACTATATAATATGATAACAAGTTGGTGGATAATTACATAATTCAGATGAGATGTGGGATGAAGTTAAGAAATCTGCTGAAATATAATGTATGTTTCTATCCCGTCACACATCACTTACCGTAAATAGATCATCAGTAGTCCTGTAATAAATAAATCTCTACTGTCTCACCACATTGTAGTTCAGGAGCCTCGTCACTTGTGTCCCAGCAGTCATTATTCCCATCACAGACCAACGACTGGGGGATGCAGTTTCCATTCGTACAGGTGAACTGGCTGGGACCGCATGTTCTGATTTGATCCTCTGCACAGGAACAAACACACAGACGTCTGACTTCCTGTGTAGAAAACAGCTCCATAGATAACCATCACATAGAAAAATATCCGTTCTGACAAACAAACTAAAATGCAAGAAAAAAAAAAAAACGGGGATTATCTACAAAGTGAAAAGTCACATTGACAAAATCAACTTTGAATCGCGTGTAAATGCAGAGAACTCACTACAGGAAAGAGGTTCGTCTGTCGCATCACTGCAGTCTTGGATGGAGTCACACACCCAGGAGTCGGGGATGCATTTCCCTTCGTCACAGCGGAACTGATCCGTAGAACATGTGCGCCCCGCTGTGAACACAGCAACACAAAGCCTTCCTTACGTCCAGTTTCAGCTGATCTACTCAGCAGGTGAAACGTAAAACTCTGCAAGTAAGTCTCTTTCTTTCTCTCATATGTAGCAGCAGCACCAAGTGCTCAACCTACCGCAGAAGAGAGGATTCTCATCGCTGTTGTCTCCACAGTTGTTGTAGCCATCACACAGGCTTTCAGGGTAGATGCAGATGTTGTTGCGTTCACACTTGACTTGGTCTGCAGGACACGACCTGTCAGCTGGAGAGGATGAGCGGAGGGCGAAACAACAGAACTTCAGCCGGAGAATCAAAAACACATTTCACTTATTCAACAGCAAATAATTACACCTGGAAGGTGGGGTTTATAAAGTTCAGCTGGTTAATACGTTACTAGGAGGTTGCCGTTAATGCTTTCTAGGCTTTCTAGTCACACGCACACGATTCCAGATCAGGCCGCGTGTTCTGATGTGTTCAGACAAGGTTTAAAAAGAAAGCGGTTTCTGCTTCTTGTGATGATCCATGGGAGCTCAACTACTCGCAACACTCACAAGGTTCCAACGGCAATTTCCAAACTGTATTTTCCGGCTCATAAAATGAATCCCCCGATCGGTTCAAGCATCACTCACGGCAGTTGATTTCGTCCGAGGTGGTGTTCTCTCTGCAGTCGTTGTGGCCGTCGCAGACGAGGGCTGCGCTGATGCAGCGTCCGTTGGCGCAGGTGAACTCGGTGGCGGGGTTGCACGTGGGGAAAGGGCAGCCTCGCTCGTCGCTGTTGTCTCCACAGTCGTCGACGTAGTCGCAGACGTAGCTGAGCAGCACGCAGCGGCCGTTGTCGCAGGTGAAGTCCGTGGCTGAGCAGGTGTGGAAGGCTGAGAATGGGAAGGCGGTGGTGTTTCGCGTCTTAAGACTTTCTGTTTACGCTCTCATTGTGATACGCGTTACACTGTCTAAAGTTCTGACGCCGGGTCTCACCGCACACTCTCTGCAGCTCATCCGAGTTGTCCTGGCAGTCGTCGTGGCCGTCACACTTCCAGCGGGCCGAGATGCAGTTCCCGTTGAGACAGCTGAACTGCTCCGGCTGACAGCGTTTCCCTGTGTCTTCAATGCAGTCTTTGCCGTTGTTGGCCAGGTACCACTTCCCCTCATGAGGACACTGGCACTCTGGGCCCAATGGACCTGCGGGAGAGAATTTGGCATGTGAGGGAAATTAAGAATGGAGAAAAAGGACTCACTTCAAATGCAAAACAGTTCTATTGCCCTATATCATGCATAAAGATATTATGGAAGACTTTCTTGCTCAGATTCTTTTCAGCCAACAAAAAAAATTACGAGTCAATTCCTACCGGGGACACAGACATTACTGCAGCCTCCGTTGAACTGCTGACAGGAGCTGGAGCAGCTCTCCTGCTTCGACGCGGCATAAACGTGGATGTCGTTTGGTCGGTACTGCAGGTCCTGGGCCAGCACTGTTACGCCAGACCCATCGACTTTCCCCGCCCTGAAGACGGCTTTCTCCGTCCAGTCAGTCCAGAAGATGTCTTGCTGGAAGACAGTCATAGCGTACGGGTACTGGACCCCCAGCAGGATCACTTGTCGGTTGGCGCCGGTGAGAGTGGCCCTTTCGATCTTATTTCTAAGGGAAGGGGAGAGGAAGAGTCGTTGGGGAACATGTCAGCAGTGTGGGGGGTCTGCTGAAACACAGTTTGCATCAGAAGCTGCACGTACAATGAGGCGTCCGCCCAGTAAAGCATCCTCTCCTCATAATCCAGGGTCAAGCCGTTGGGCGTCGTGAGGCTGCTGTTGATGATCGGAGTCCGGAATTTTCCACCCAGCGTGGCTCTCTCAATTTGAGCCGGAAAGCCCCAGTCAGTCCAGTACAGGTAACTGGAAAAAGAGAGAACGGGATAAGCAGGGAGGAGAGGAGCTGCAGCGCGAGTGCAGGAATCATCCGTCCTCTGTAGTGACTGGTTGGTGAAAATAAAGGGCCGTTGCTTTTACCCGTAGCACGGGTCCACGACGATGCCTCTGGGACGATTTGCGTGGGCAACGATTGAGCGGTTCGCCCCGTCCGCCCCGATGGACTGGACATTGCGGCTGTAGTAGTCGGTGAAGTAGAGACGCTTGTTGACCCAATCATACGCCAATCCCTCTGGGTCATCCAAATCTGAGCAGCGGGACCGAGACAAGAGGGTATTGCATTGTGAGAAAGGAGCAAGGAAACAAACAGGAGGAAAAACATATGGCTAGAGTTCCAACAAAGGCATCAGAGCAGCGATTAACGCTCGACTCACCTGTAGCTAGGAGGACGGGCGCAGTGGTGATGGATGTCGTGGTGACGTAGCCAATTCTGCTCCCTCCAATTCCCAAATACTGGGTGAAGAAGATTCTCTTCTCCTTGAAGTCATAATCCAAAGCCATCAAGTTGTAGCCCAGGTTCACCACCGGATAGGGGGCGCTGTGGTCCAAAGGATCCAACCTCAGGCTGTTCAGCGTGTAATCCGTGGTGAAAACTAAAAACTCCTCTTGTCCGTAACCACACGTCACTCCGTTGCTAAGGAGCGACCCGTGTGCACAGCCGCACTTTGGCTGCTCCTGGCCCGGCATGGCGAAGCAGAGCTGCTGGCAGCGTCCGTTGTCCTCTTGGCACGGGTTAAAGCCCACCTGGTTGGCGGACGTAGGCTGGACATGAGCGTCAAAGACCGAGACATCCATCAGCCCCTCGAGATTGTCTCGAATTACCTGGTAGATTTTGGAAAAAAAGAAGTTCTGGTGTTTGGTGCCATCGACATTCACACTAATTACTCAAATTTACCATGATTACGTTTGATTTTGTATTATCGACCAAATATATTTTTTATTCGATCAACTAATACGTAAATTTGCATTGGTTTAAACTGACAAAATAATGTTTACATGAATAATACTATATTAAATCAAGCGGATTTTGCTCTCACCTCTGGCTGGTCGGCATTAGCTGGGTCCTTACTGGCCTGTAAGAGCTTCCCAAGCTTTGTGTCCACCCACAGCATGTAGTTTCCAAAAATAGCCATCCCCACCGGCGATGGATACCGGCTCCCAAACCGGACAATCTGCCTCTGTGTGCCGTCTGTAGCCATTCTGGAGATCATATCAAGCACGTCATCCGTCCAGTAGAGGAAATCGTTGGTATAATCAATGGTAAGGCCCCGAGGTGACGCTAGGCTTTCTGATGCCAACACAGTGCGGTTGGTGCCATCGAGCAGGGCCCGCTCAATTTTGGGCGTTTGGCCCCCGTCGGTCCAGAAGAGGTAGCGCAGCTTGGGGCTTACGGCCAGGTCCCGGGGCCGGTCTTGGGAAGACTTGAGGAGAATCATTCGGTAGGTGGTGTTGATTGAAAGCACCTCGAGGAAGGTCTCGCTCTCAAAGGCGTTGGTGAAATATACATTTCCTAAGAAAGGTAGATTTAAGGATGAGGATAAGAGACACAAAGCTATAGCTGCAGCTTGACACAGCACCAGAATTTTGCATGAAAATTAATATACTTTAGTAAACTATTATGTATGAATTTCTTGATGCAAGTTCTAGTTAAAATCTTTGCCCTTTGTGCCTGTAAACTGAATGAAGGAAACGTCGGGCGGCTTCATACCCGCAACCCAGTCCACAGCAAGGCCCGGGATGCCTCCCCTTCCAACGCCTGAGTTGAGGACGGTGCTGTAATGACCCCCATCTGTTTTGGCTCTGAAGATGCCCCTGAATGGGGGGGAGGTGCTGTTGTCAGCCCAGTATACAAAGCCAGATTCAACATGGAGATCCAAATTGCCTTTAATGGAGTAGGAAGCTGCGGGGAAAAAAAGAAAAACACCACTTGTATCATCTCATTATTTGGTATTCAGAACGCCATAACGCAGAATAACATGAAGCCGACATACTTCCACCGACAGGCACCATTGCCTCAGAGTGGTCGGAGCTGTTTATGTGGAAGCCACGGATGTAGTTGGTAGCGGAGACAATTGCGAGAGACTCATACTGTTCACAGCGAGATCCGTCTTGGGTCGGGTTGAAGCCTGTGGTACAGGCACAGGTTTTTTGATTGCCGGGTTTGGGTAGACACAGGTGGGGACAGCCCCCGTTGTTGGAGCTGCAGGCGTTGGTGGTCCCTGCGGAGTCTGAGGTGAGAGGAAAAGTTACTGGTGGAAGTAAGGATTAGTGGGTCATATGAGTATTGTAATGCAATCAACATCGGAATAAACATCGGAAGAAGCCAAGGAGAGTGTGGATTTTCTGCAGGAGAAAACACCAATAAAAGCTCAAAACAACTCCACGTACTGTCTCTGGCGTGTACTTTGAGGGCGCGCAGGCCGGACATCCCGCTCCTCATCACCGACATGTTAGCACCGTTGTGCTTGTCCACCCTCTCAATGACCTCGTAGTCCAGGTCGGTATAGTAGAGGTGGTTCTGGTGGATCGTCAGGCCCCAAGGATGGGAGAGGCCCCTCACCACAATCACCCGCGTTACTCCGTCCATGGTGCCACTCTCAATCTGGGAAGAAATAATGACGGAACAAGCAGAAGATGAAGATTAATTAAAAATAGAAATGACTGCATCTGGACGTTGAGTATTAAAAAGATACATTTTTATCTCCCCCCATCCTCCCGGCAATGCAGCTGCAGAAATGTACAGTAACTGCACACATTTTTGTTCTCAGTCTATATGTTGAGCGGGTACAGAATACGCACCACCCCTGAGCCCGACACGCCCCAGTACAGTTTCATGGTAGAGACGTCAGCGGCGATGAATCCAATGTTGGCCAGGTTGCCCGTGTAGAGGTTGGTTAGGTTTCCTCCGTCCATGTCGGCACTGCCAACCTTTGGAGGAACTCCATTGTCTGCGCCTTTGTCTGTCCAGAACAATTTCCTGTGAAGGGAATGTGTGAACTACTCAGTCATCATGCTGTTCATATCGAAGGTTTTTAAATTGAACTATGTGTAAATCCCATGTAATACCAAGATGGAGAATGTGTTTATTTTTACACGCTGTACAACATTTTGTTACTGTTTTTATCTCTAGCTGAACAGAGCTTTTACCCTCGAGCTGGATCCAGGGCTATTCCCAAGGGCTCTCCTGTTCCCTCCGGTTTACCGGTGGAGGTGATGAGGGTCTTCCTATAGTGCTGGTCTCCATCCACACGGATAACCTTGGTGAAATGTAAACTTTAGGTTGTTTACCTGTGCAATGACGTTTGCAAAAACTGAATTAAAGAGACACAAAATCCCAGATACATCCGTATGTATAAACCCAGCTGAAATTAAATGTGCTATGAAAGAACAGGGAGGGATACATGTTTATAATCTATTAATTTAGTCAATCTGTGTCATTTTGAGGCTATTTTGGCATTATATTGTCAGTCAACAATCCACACTCATTGCGTTTTTTGTCTCAAAGGGTGCTTACCTCGATGGCTTTCCCAGTCGGATTGGTGTAAAACATTAAACGGCTTATCCAATCAAAAGCCAAACCAGACGGCGAGCCAATGAAAGCAGCCGGAGCAAACTCGGACCTGTTGGCACCGCTGGTTTTCACTTGCCATATAGAACCCTAACCAAAAATAAGGAAACAACGTGCATCACAACTGGCCTCTTGGAAACTGTAGCTGCTCGACTAATGGCAAAGATTCAAGTCAACCTCGACTCACAGTGCTCTGCACCCAATAGAGTAACTGCTCCTGGTCATCAAAGTCGATGTCCTTCCCCTGGCTGATGCCTGACACGGGGGCCATGGCATTGTTGGAAGGGTCAGTGGGGTCCAGAGGAATGCCAAATATCACAGAATCTCTCACCACCATCAAGAAGGGAATTTCATCTAGAATAGGACAATGCACATGGCGAGAGGAGCACAGATTTCAACATGGTTGTGTAAAAGATACAAAATAAACGGCGATGAAGAGGAGAAAAAAAAGGTAAAAGCTACTGTAAGAAAACATACCTTTGACACATGTGCGTTTGTCGTCGCCAAGCTTCCAGCCAGACTGGCAGTGGCAGGTGTAGTACCTGGGTCTCAGGCCTGACAGCAGGCATAGCTGAGAGCACAGGTGTTCTCTGCATGGGTCGATGGCTAAAAACAAAACCAGTGTCACCTTCAACCACACTTAAGTTTACATTACATGTCATAGTCCTTTAGACTATTTTACAGCTTGCTTTCGAGAGTTTAACTGGAGGTTACCTGTTGGCTGCTTGATGGGATGGTCCATAACGATGCCCATGGGCTGGAAGACGTCGTTCATCAAAGTGGTGATGTTGCCGCCGTGGAACTTGTTCGTCCTCATCACTTTGCTGGTGTAGCGCTCCGACCAGTAGATGTCGTCCTCAAAGATGGTCATTCCGTGTGGGTGCTGGAGAACCTGGTGTGAGGTGAACAGGGATGAGCTTCATTTATTTATTAACGAAGATTTGCAGCTATGGGGTGGAAACAATTCTCAAACCTACCAGGTCACTTGCCATGACCTGATGGCGGTTGTTGCCATCGTAGTCACAGTAGTCAATATATTTGAGGTAGGCATCAGCAAAATAGAGCCTGCGTGTGGTGTAGTCCAGGGCCAGGCCGTTGGGCCAGTAGAGCTTAGTACTGACAATGACTCGTCTCATGGCTCCGTCCATACTGGCACGCTCGATCCTGGGGTTCTGACCCCAGTCCGACCAGAACATCAGGTTGGTGCTGAGAGGGATGACAACGCAATACGTATGTATATGTGATATCAATGTCTCTTTTTAGGGGCACACAAAACTGAAAGTCCAAGGGATAAAAATGTAACACCAAATAAAAAAACATCCAAATGTCAGTTTCACTCAAAGAGTCTCTACTCACTAGTTACGGGGGTCTAAAACTAGTCCGCGGGGGCTTGTGACATTTTTGGTGAGGAGGACTTTCCGAAATCGACCGTCCAGAGTGGAGACCTCAATGTTTTCCAAGACAGAGTCGGTCCAATAAAGGTTGCGACCCGTCCAGTCCACAGCTATACTCTCAGGTACCATCAGACCGCTGGAGAACACCTAGGACAAGGACATATTGAACAAAGAATGTTGCCCGGTTTGTTGTGTAGCCGTGTGGTCGAGGAGCAACGTTTGAACTCCACTTTTCAGAGGACCTTTGGTTTGGCTTACTTCCCGTCTGTCGGTGCCGTTCTGGTAGGCACTCCATATCTTTTTCTGTGAGGCATCTGCCCAGTAGATTCTGGAAGTCACGCGATCGAAGTCCACGGAAACGATGCCTGAACCGCTGATCACTGGTACGATCAGGGGGGGTCTCCTGTTGATCCTGTCCGCGACGATCTGACTTCGCTTGGCGACCAGAAGTACAGCTGCTAGTGGGTCTAAGGGAAGAAAAAATATGGTTGTTAAGTTGCTTTAAGATCCGGTAAATGCTTTTTCTAAGTACTCCGCTTTCATTTGTTTTGAGGTGCTGAGCAGATATGGATGTAGTGACGGAAAATACCCATCGATGTGCCCAACATCACGTGAATCAATTACTGTGAATGACCAAAAAAAAAGGGCCCCCAACGATACGTTTCAGGTTTTTTGTGATGCGGGTTCGTGGCTCACCTGCAGCTTTGCAGGTGCGTCCATCGGCCCCGAGGAGGTAGCCGTGTGAGCAGTAGCACCTAAAACTTCCTCTCTCGTTGAAGCACTGCTGGCTGCAGAAACCTGGGATCAGACACTCGTCGATGTCCTCGCAGGTCTTCGAGTCGTTGAGGAGCTGAAACCCTGATGGACAGGTGCACTGAGCCCCGAATGGTCCTTGGACACAGCCGTTGCTGCAGCCTCCGTTGTTTAGAACACAGTCGTCTTGGTCTTTGTGAAATTACATGAGTGAGTTAGTACTGTGTATGCATTAAGCATCGTGCTGTATTTGCTATTGCTGCTGTTTCTTTTATTTCTGTTACTTTGATGCGGCTTACAATGCAGTCGCACCGTTCGGTTAATTCTGCTCTTGTAGGAATACGCTTGTTAGAGGCTCAAATATTGTATATAATGGAAAACTAATGGAAACTCACTGCAGATAGGCGACTCGTCTGCTCCATTGGGGCAGTCCCTCTGGCCATTGCACACCTTGTCCAGGTCGATGCACAGCAGGTCGGTGGGGCACTGCCACTGTCCGGAGGGGCAACTAAAAGGAGGGGTGGGGCAGTTCTGTTCATCACTCATGTCCCGGCAGTCATTCTCGCCGTCACACAGCCAGTCCGACGGGACACACAGCTTGTTGGTACACTGGAAGTAGTCGGCCCTGCACGTGACAGGCGGGCAGGAGTTGTGTTCGTCCGATCCATCCTCACAGTCCGGGTGGCCGTCGCACTCCCACTCGTCTGGTACGCAGAAACCGTCCGTCTGGCACTGGAACTCGTTTTTGTGGCACAGGCCAGGAACACGAGTGGCTGGTGGAAGGGGCAGCAGCAAATAATACAAAATATTCAGAAAACTGAGACATTAAGACAGCGCCAAAATGAATCTGAATAACAATAAAACTGACAGAATTTCTAGTAGTGCCGTTAGTTTTAATTAAATCAACAGTAAACACAGCTATATTTGTTATATTGTGAGTCGGGGCGGGTAGCTTACGACAGTCTCTTTCATCGGAATGGTCCCTGCAGTCAAACACTCCGTCACAGCGATACCTCGAAGTGACACACTGGTCACCACTGGCGCAGGCAAACTCATAGGAGGCACAGGCAAACTCTAAAGATAGAAAAGGGAAATTAAGAGGCAAAATTGAAGTCAACTAAAGTAGGAAAACACAAAAGAATGGTATTTTCAAATTACCCCCACGTTAGTAAAACCCAACCCAACAAATATTGAAGTTAAAGTCACTCCTACCGCAGTTTTTCTCATCAGAGCCATCCAGACAGTCCTGGTCTCCATCACACAAATATGAGTTGTGGATGCAGCGGTGGTCGGGACACAGGAAGTAGGCAGGAGGGCAAGTAGTGATGGTTGAATCTGTCAATCACAGATACCGCTCATTTATCCAGGTGGCATTAAATTACATTGACGAACTTTGTTTAAACGACTCTGAACTCCCATAATTAGACCGCCCCCACACACTTACTGCAGTTCCGTTCATCGGAGCCGTCGCCACAGTCGTTGTTACCGTCACACACCCATATTTCAGAGACACACCTGTTGTTATCACAGGTAAAGTAGCCGGCTGCGCAGGTGCTAGGGAGACTAGTGGGGCAGTTCAATTCATCGGAACCGTCGCCGCAGTCGTCCACGCCGTCACAGCGCCAATTGGACAGGATGCAGTGCTTGTTGTTGCAGGTGAACGCTCGCGGAGAGCAGGTCGCTCCTGGTGAAGACACGCGAGGCAAGAGGATGGATTGAAGAAGTCATTTACTCAATCGTTCTCCTCCCGCACACACACACACGTTTTCGTATTGAACGTATACCCGTATCTGTGCAGTTGGCCTCGTCAGTCTGGTCTATGCAATCAGCGACGCCATCGCAGCGGTAAGAGTTGGGTCGACAGTGTCCTTCATCACACTCAAAAGAGAAGTCGCCACAGTTGTTGTCAGGCGGGGGGGGGACAGAATCGTCCTTGATACAGTCCCTCTGATTGGCCTGAAGTTTCATGCCATACGGACAGCCGCACACTCGACTGAAGGACGGGGTCGGGAAACAGAAGTGGCTGCAGAGCCCGTTGGACACCACATTGCAGCGGCTGGTGAACGCTGCCAGAAGGATGATGGAGAGGCAGTCGGAGAGTTTCCGGATTACACACAACTACGGCCGTGGTGATACAGTCAACTATTCTGCTACTAGAATGTGATATTTATTTAGTATTTTCATGTCCTCAGTCCTCCCCTATCTGCGGACTGCAGTGCAGTGTGTGAACTTACCGCTGTGGAGGTCAGCTGTGTAGGCCTTGACGTTCAAGATGCCGGTGATTCCTTGTCTGATCATAACATTACCTCCCCCATCCCTCTTCCTCATCTCGAACACTGCTCTGGTCCTTGTGTCAGACACATACAGGTAGTCTACAAAAAGAGTAGATGGTTTAGCATTTGAAAAAAGACTAGCGAGAGTATAACAATGAATGCAATATTCTCACAAAAAAGGGTGTGTGGTAATGTTTTAGAGGTTTATGAAGTTTGAGTAATTGTGTGAAAGCTGAACATAGATACTTTAATATACAACTGTAAAGGTAGTGTGCAGTTACAACCCACCTGAATAAATTGTTAGGGAGTAGGGTTGAGTGATTTGGCCAATATTGGAGAATGTCTGTCTGTCATGTCCTTGGATGCTAATGTGACCAATCTGGTCCAGTTGGGAATCCACCCAATACAGCCGGTCCGTCCTGTTGAAGACCAAGGGATCAACCCGTGAATATAAAACACACATATGATTATATTCTCTTGAAAAGCCTGAGAGTTGTCTTTTCTGTGCTTACACAAAGTCGACAGAAAGTCCATACGGCCATCCCAGAGTTGTGTTGACCAGAGGAACAGCGTTGCTGCCATCAGTGAAGCCTCTCATTATGACCGCTGGACGGTACCAGTCGGACCAAAACAAAAAGCTGGGGATGAACATTGTCACACGGTCACAAATAGTTCCCTCATAAAAGCACTTCTGGGGATTACACAAGGAATGACAGCGGCTCCAAGCGTGGGCATAAGCAATTTAATGTGTCGATTCCTCTGCAGTCCCTGGAACATAAAACCTCCCCAAAGCAACTACAGCCACTGTAGTTAGACCTTTTAAATAAGAGCACTCACCCAGCGCTGGGATGCACTGCGATTCCTTTTGGGTTCCTTAATCCCGTCACAATGTCTCGTCTCGACTTGTCTGGGACTCTGAAGGCCACCACCGTTTTGTAGGTGCTCGTGGTCCAAAACAAGACTTTGGAGGTCCAGTCGTAAGCCATGGCGTCAATCGTTCCCACTCTGTAGCCTGTCAAGATCTGTTGGACTGAGAAAGCACACAGTAAATCAATAAAGTGATATGCGACACAGAAGATTAATAATAGAAGCTTGAAAGATCTAATATTAGGCTTATCTCCCATGGGTAATAGATTAATTGACCATGTTATTTACCATGCGATCTCCCTTATAGTCCATCTTAATGTGCTTTATAAAACAAATCTAATAAAGACCCACCAGTGCCGTTGAGGTTGGACTTATAGACGAGGCCTCTGGACCTGTCGTTGTAGAAAAGGGCTTCCTCGTTGCCGTCAAACTCCACAGCGGAGCCAGAGAAAGACGTCCCGAGCCCTGAGAGGGGCAGCGTGATGTCCTCCTGAAGGGACATATTCAGTGGAATCCCCCGCACCCCGAGAGAGGTGGCCAACAGCAAGTAGTCCTTCACCTCTGTTCCAAGAGAATTAAGTCACAGGGACAAAGACTGTCAAAAACATTAAGGATATTCCGAATGTTCGCTGTAGTAGTAGTGTCATTTTCAGTGTCTTCAATGTGATGCATGTATATGTAACAGAATAACTTTGGTAATCGCATGTGTGGATACGTTTATCATTAGGTTAAGTCCTTTTCGCATCGACTTGATTAGCAAACGTCCTGATGAAATTAAATCAAAATTGCTGCCATTGTGAATAATTTTGAACAATTCTGTAACAATGTATTTTACAGAATATCGATCCTACAGCAGAAAATGTAGCCTTTGACTGATTAAAGGGAAACTTACTGAAACACGTTCGGCGGTCAGTTTGCAGGTCATAACCGTGACGACACTTGCATCGGAAGCCCAGGCCGTCATTGTCGGTGCGGTGACTCAAAACGCAAATCTGCTGACATCCACCGTTGTGTTTGCCGCACGGGTTCATCACTGAAAGACACAACACACATGCTCATTTCATTTCGCCACTGCTAATCAAAACCTCTGTACAGCAATGCCAGGAAAACTATATTGCATTTAATAAATCACTGCTAACAGAAGCAAAACCTCTGAATAAACACAAGGCCTCGCGTTCTCTCACACGCACAAACGCAACACAGTTTATTACAGTATATTTTAGCCAATCATACCATTTCATCTTCTCTACAGCATTGTAATATTCTAATATTATATAGCAGGAGGCTTCAAGTAAGCGCATTGGGCAGCTGACCTCTTTCTGCACTGTGACTATATATTTTTGTTTATGATTATTTACTTGCGCAAATAAATAAAACAAAACAATAAGTGCACCTCCTTACCAACGGGTTGCAGGGCAGCATGGGAGACTACGACGTGACCCGGCCGCTTTGCGGTACGATAGAGGAGTGCCGGGTTGCTGCCGTTGAACCGGTTGGCTCTCACCACACCCATCTTGGTCCAGTCGGTGAAGAAGACATGGTTTTCAAACACGGCGATTCCGAAAGGATACGGAGCCTGGGTTCCACCGTTGAGCACTATTTTCCTGGGAAACGACAACACCTCAGATTGGACCTCATTGTTGAGCCGTTTCCGGCTCAGAGGGTATTCCGTAAGTAGGAAGACTTTTTGACCTTGACCGACAATGGCCGACAACATCTTCAGTGCAACCTTTACCTGTCCAATCCGCTGTAGGTGACGGTCTCCACCGTGTCGAAGTGACTGTCGGACCAGTAAACCCTCTTGGTGACGATATCTAAGGTAATTCCTGTTGGGGTGCCGAGTCGGCTCTTCACGAGCTCCACGCGATTACTTCCATCCATGAAGGCGCGCTCGAGCTTCATGTGCTCACCAGCATCCCCCATGTCTGTGAAGAACATGTAGCTGCAAACAAAACCAAAATAAACTATTGAATTGACTGGAATTGACATTGATTTACTTACCTAACCAATAAACTTAAATAATTCTGATATTGAGAACAAATTAACGCAATGTCTTTGGCAAATGAGCAAACTTTAGACCAGTATTTAACAGAAGCTTCATCATTTTATTTAAAAAAGGAAACAAATCCCAATGCTGACACTATTTCCATTGTTTGTTACAGAGCATTTGACTACTAAAAACATATGTTACTTAAAGCATTAAAACGCACCCCACAGTAGGGTCCAGGGCGAGGCCATGAGGAGTCTGCAGGTTTTCAGCCACCAGCGTGACCCGATTCTCTCCACCGAAGTCGCACACGTCAATTCGCTCCATCGTCGCCTCCAACACATAGAGCTTGAAGTTGATCCAATCGACAGCGAGGTTCTGGACACTCTGGACGGCAGCAGTCAGAACCTCCTTAATGTCACCCCCATTGTAGTTGGCAGAGTACACCTGGCAAAAGGATGAAACGTGTTTTTTAACTTATGTAGAAGAAGCGATGAAAAAGGTGGGGGGGAACGAATGCCGTTATCGCAAGATGACCTGGACTGACCTTTTTGGTGTACGTATCACTCCAGAAAACGGTGTTGCTGTGCCAGTGGTATGCTACGCCTACCGAAAATCCTTTGCCCTGCGATGGCACCAGAGTTCTGACAAAGCGTCCATGTATATCAGCCATCATCACATCACCGCCGTTGGTGAAAATAAGCTGTGGCAGTCCAGCTGGAAATCACAAAGGGTTTTGCTCATCTTAGATATTTGATCAATTCTCCAAAATATACATCTTTTAGAAAACCAAGTCGCTGTATAGAAAACTAAATCTTTTTGAAAGAGTAATTTTTTCCCTACATACATATTGGACAAAGCTATGTTGTGAGTCCCGGTACCTGACACATTGGCTTTGCACACGTGGCCCTGCTCCAAGAAGTAGCCGTCAGCACAGCTGCAGCGGTGTGTCCCGGGGCGATCTTCACACAGCTGGTCACAGACCCCCCAGATTTCACAGTCGTTGTAGTCTGGGCAATAATACAAAGCCAATATTTAGACAATAGGCATTTCGGTAAGGAGCGAGTAAAAGCGAGTACTTTTGGCACTTTAAAGCTGGCTCACGTTAAAGGTCTTAACAAACACGCGGCACTCACCGACACAGGAGCGGCTGTCATTGGCCACAGTGAAACCATCGGGGCAATAGCAAGCGCCTCCCTCGGGAGACGGGTGGCAGAGGAACTCGCAGCTCAAGGCGGCGCACTGCTCCAAGCCTGTGAAGGAGAATCGTGTAAATTAGGCCTGTCAATAGATAGGCCTACAATTTTTTACTGATAATCGCACATTTTGAAATTCATTAATCGCGATTAAAAGTGTGTTCTCCTTCTAAAGACTAAGTCTCCCAAGTAGTAATCACTTTAGAAAGCGTGTATTATAGACACGGTTTTATAGTCGTATTACACAAAACTACACACATCACCTCGGAGGCAGAATCCCACCAGGTGGAACATGTTGAACATGTTAAGGATAACATCTTATCCTCGTGCACTTTGCTCTCAACTCTCCGTCATTTGACGGCTGTGTTTGAAGTGCCAACAATCTCCCAAAATTTAGCCAGGATGTTTTCCAAACCACTGTCTTTTAAGGACACAGTGGCAGCTAGCTAGCGGCTAGCTTAGCCTAGCTGCTGGATTAGCATAGCAGTGTTTTTTCGCGCCTCCGTTTGTTTTACTTCCAACGCAAAAATCTCTCTGCATCTTCAACCACCGGCTCGGTCTCCTGTCTAACTGACAGCAGCTAGCGGCGGTTTCGTTTCAGGGGCCATCTTTGTTTACTACTACGTTAAACTATTTTATCACATTCATCTCGGCCACATCAACCGCATAGATTAACGCGTTAATTTTCACAGCCCTGGTATAAATCAACACCGTGAAATGTAAGAACATCTGTATGAGCATCGTGACCAGCATTGAAGCTATCCTCAACCTCATAAAAGTTAATCTTAAACCAGCAGCGTGTGGTGGCAGTGATCAGGAGGCCGTAAGTGTCACTCAGCAGTCTCAACAGCTGACTCCTGAGGAACATTTACGAGTGCAATACACACAAATGTCTAAACTGCACGTGAGGATTTATCAAACCCCCGTAACGCATTAACATCCGTGTGACCTACTGCAGGTTTTTTGTGCTGTGGAGTTGGTCTCATCTGCTCCTCCGGGACAGTCGGGTTGGTCGTCACACACTTTGCCCACTGGTATACATACTGTGGAGCCTGGGCATCCCCACTCGCCAGGGTAGCAGTCTCGGGAGTTACTGTCTAAAAGTCACAAAAACACAAGTTTTAATTTTTTTTTTTCAATCTTTACTTTAAGCCTTCATTTGTCACCGTAGCTACACCAACACGACCAACACGTGCAATGTGCTGTTTACTGAGTTTAAAGTTCAAAAAACGTCCTCACCACATCCTCTCTCATCACTGTAGTCACCGCAGTCATTGAACTTGTCGCACACCCAGCGCTGAGGAATACAACGGCCACTGGAACATGTGAACTCACCGCCACTACAGCTCCGGTACGCTTATAAGAACAAATAGACACATTCAATTAGATTTTCCACAAAATTCCACATTTAAAATAAACACCTTTTCCTAAATATTATCTTTGTATTGCAATTTAATGTTTGCGATTATTATTATTTAACCTCTTGATGCATGATGATCAAATTTGATAAATTAAACAAAAATAAGAAAACACAGAATTTGGTTCAGTGACATTGCAGTTCTTCTGTTCCAGAGAAAAGGTTGATATTTTATGAACAGAATCAACTCGGTCCTCTTTATTCACACGTTCATTCACTTCAACCTCACCACAGCCTTCCTCATCGCTGTTGTCTCCACAGTCATTCCAGTGGTCACACACAAATGAATGTGGGATACAGTAGCCATTTGCACATTGATACTGGTGGATGGGACAGTGCTGCGTAGCTGCGAATAAAACAAAGACAGAAGTTAGAAAATGTCCACACTGCATCCTTGAAAAAACCTGCAACACAACTATTGACAAAATCATTTGTACAAGATAAAAGCAAATTGACAACCTTCATGGCTGCTTTAAATATATAATCCCAAGATCCTTGCACCGCTCTTATGCAGCTGCAATGGAAGGAATTCTGGGTTTTTATACCTTTCCTGCAGTGGCGATGTGTGACATAGTTAACTTTAACCGAACAAAGATGGCGGCAAGAAGTGACATTCTTCTTCTATCGGTAGATTGTCACAAACAGTTCAACGAGAACGATACACTTTATAGAGTATATAATAAGGGATTTGAATAATACACACAATAATACATCCTTCCTTTTGAGCCAAATGTTTAGGCCATGGTCCAAGTACGGTATGTGTTAGCTAACGTAATCATTTATTTAGATGTAGTTTGTATATATTTTATCTGACAAATCCATCGTGTGCAGAAAGGTTGTTTTTTCTTCAATTATGTTTTAACATAATGATTAATAACTATTCTTTTTCCCTTCAGCGTTGCAGAAGAGAACACACAGGCTATTCTTAAGCATCTGCAAAACCATAACAGCTATTCAAACCACGTTGCTCTCATTTAGCATTACTCACTGCAGTTGAATTCATCGGAGCCGTCTCGGCAGTCCTGCAGTCCGTTGCAGTGCTGCGAGTGGTTGTAACAGGCCCCATTCGCACAGGTCTTCTCAGTGCAACGGGGATAGTCTGCAAATAATTTGTATTATATTTATTCAAATCATAACATATTTCCCCCCCCAATGATGCAAATAAAATAAAACCCGAATCAAAACCAATTCTTAGAGAGAACATCCATACTGTGAATCTTTGATTTCTAAGGTTCATTGAAGATTTAAACGCCTTACTGCAGTTGTTTTCATCGGAGTTGTCTACGCAGTCCTTCACGTGGTCACATCTGTATTTGCTGGGGACACACTGGCCCTCCTGGCAGGTGTACTGGTCTGGGCTGCACGTCCGTCCACCTGAACCGAGAGCGCGAAAGTGAGTATCGTAGTACTAAAGTATTTTCATGACTTATACGTTCATGGGAGTCTTTCATTGTTACGAATAGCCGACAACAGATCCACTCTGCATACCACAGGTTCTTTTTTCATCCGAACCATCAACGCAGTCGTCCTCTCCATCACAGACGAATCCCAGAGAGATGCATTCACCGCTCGTCACACACTTAAACTCCTGCGAGGTGCATGTTGAAGTCGCTGCCAAAAAGAACGACACAATTGAATAGTAAACACGTAAATGTGTGGAGGCATTGGCTTTACCTTCCCTCGGTTGCTTTTTTTTGTTTAATACTCACGACAGTTCAGCTCATCTGAGTCATCTGTGCAGTCTTTAGTCCCATCACATCTCCAAGCTTTGTTGATGCATTGTCCACTACTGCACTGGAACTCCCCACTTTCACAACTTCCTGCGTACGCACAACCACAACCACACACACACACACACACACACACACACACAATGGAATGAATTTAAAACATCTGCAATCATTAAATGTTTTATTTTTACGTAAGTCCTTAAGACATTTAATATCATACGATAAAATGTCAGATGACCAGGTTGCTTAAATAAAAAAGTGCTTTTTACTATTTCCCGACAAATGAGTAACCATGTTTATGAGAGCTGTATACACACAATGTGCAACATTTGAACTTTCAAACATGTGATGCAGCCATTATAAAGGATTGTTAATTCTACAACATAATTGAACAGAAAATTCCTAAGACCTAAGTATACAATCATCATTTTAAGTCTGAAACAGCCGAGAGAAACATACTTTCTATCACTTATGCATTCTCAATATTTCTATAAAGAGTCATTTTGAATGAAGCACAAAATAAAATTTGTATTTTTTATTGGAACTACTGAAAATCATCATCAAAAATAAGATTCTTTATGTATTCTTTACAGAATATTTATATTTGCTGTACACATTTTTATAAAAACAGCTAATAGTATGACTTATTTATGTAGTCATTTCTACTTAAGTCAAGTATAAGTCAAAGTACAAAGCACAAATATACATTCATTACCATAATTGTAAAAGATAAAATCACTTGAAGCTTAATATCTTGGTGCAATTAAGACTAGTGACACAAATATCCCACAACTGACGATTGTTGAGCATTTACGTTTTTCTCTCATTACTTAATATTTGTGACTAAAGAACCCCATTCATGTAAATTCAAGAGAACACACATACCTTGAGAAAGTTGAACCCCTTGGGACAGCAGTAGAAGAGACAGAAGTTGAAGACTTTTAAGGCCCATCATTTTGACGTTGGTGTCATTTGGACACAGTGCTGAATCTGACTGCGTTAACGAGGTACTGCCTTTGGGACGGAGACGTACAACGTGCAGCAACCAGCAGACCAATAACGTCACATGGAGGAAAACAGCTTTTTATGGCGGGCTCCTTTACATAAAGTTCATCTAAGATTAACTTTTACCTGGTGGTATGTTGTCTACATCAGCAAGAAAATGTAACAACATTTTTTGTGTAACACTGTGGCGGAAGTTAACACATTTTTTTGGCTGAAATGAATGTTAATAGAGACTATTGAAAGCAGTACAGATGAGTGTTTTTTCTGTCAGTGTCAGTGTCAGTCTTCCATCGGTTCTCTACAACCTAGAAAAGGTCCCCCCAAAAAGTCAATCAGCATGTTGTACTCAATGCAAGTAAATATAGTTTGGTATGTGGAAAAAAAAAGAAAACACATTCAATATTTAATTGGTTGTACTATTGAAATTTGATAATGGCATATGGGAAGGTTTTTTTATACGTAAAACAGGGTTTCAGTAATGACTTGTAGTCTTGAATAATGCAGAGGCACAGGACAGTGGTCTTACTGGATTCCACCTTGTTTAAATCAATGCCACGTTTTTAGACGTTTTCATAGCTGCGGTTATCCGACAAACTAAATATCAGCAGCCTCTACTGGCTTCTTTATTGCATATTACGATGTGTGGCCTCGTGACGAGCTACAGTTAAGGTTCAATAACATGTTCCCGTCCACTCGTTTCAGTAATTCAACATATTCAGAAGTGTGTTTTTCTGACTAGACCGTGTAATCATTGTTTATCTGTTGTTGCATATGAGAAATAATTTGTCACAATGTATTTAAAACTCGCCCACTTGGGGACTTTTGAATTTGAATTTCTTTAAAGCATTTTGCCGTATTTTGGACAATATATCACCAGATTGATAAAAACACCGGTCAACCCCCTGTGAAAACCCAAATCATGTGGGTCGTCGTGGCGCAGGGGGTGCACTGAGAACCGCAAGGTTGGTGGTTCGAGTCCCGGCTGCCCCATGTCTCAAGTCAAAGTTTCCCTGAGCAAGACACCTAATCCCTAATTGCTCCATGGGCAAAAATGTAAAAAGCTATGGGTTTAAAGTGTAATGTGCTTTGGATAAAAGCGTCAGCTAAATGACCTGTAATGTAATGTTGCATCCCACTGGGATTATCCTCTTCGAGACTGTTAAACTCTGGCGCCCTCCAGTGGCTGTACAAAAAGAGTGTTGCGCAGTGCAGTAGTACTATGATGTAATGCACTACACTGATGCTACAAATAACTTGTAATTGTTAAGAACATTCCAAGGACCATCTCGAAAAACGATAAAAGAAAGAAAGACAATATGAAAAATTGTCTGTAAATAAGTGTTATGTCTTTGATAATAAATAATTTCACATTCATTTGAATATCTGTGGCCAACTAGCTGGCGCTTGCTTTTAGACCAACGCAAAAAGAAGAAGAAAAAAATCAATAATTTATTTTAAATGCATTTTAATTTTAATTTAATTTTGAATGTTAAATTTAATATGTGCTTTTCAACATTTGTCATTAATTTCATATAGATGTGAGTGGCAAAGACAAATCAATACATTACAATAAGTGGTATAAATAACTATTTCGAAATAATGCTTTTTATTTTATGAATTGAATTGTTTGAGTGATAAAAATACGCAATACTCTCAGTTGTACAACACAGAATGACAAAAACAATTTGATGTTTTATAGGGATATAACATGTCCAAATTTGGAGGAATAACTAAGAAAAGAGAGTACAACCAAAAATTGTGATTCATCGTAAACATAATACATGTTACAACAAAGGTTTTATCTGTAAATTCATAAAGGAGCAAGACATAATCTTCTTTTCAAAGTAATTTAACAATTAAAAAGTCTTAAGAGACTGATATTTAAATTGATCAACATTGCAAATTATAAATATAAGCCTTTAAAAATACCTTGAATCTCGAATCCTTAACTTTAACCAAGGACAGGATTAATCTATGACAGCTTATGATTGGTTGATTTCCGCAATTGCACAAGACCCAATGCGACTCTGCTCATTTCACTTCCGGTTTCAAAACTCTCACCATCATAGTGTATTTGTGGTATTTAGCTACCTAAGAAAAAAAGAGCTGATTCCCAGGTGTTTCCTATAAAACTCATTTTAGATTATTGTAGGATAAACCTTCGCTGGGGAAGCCCTGTTAATTAAAACCGCTTTCCGTTGTCGTGCATGTAGTAGGGGTTGCTGTGGCCTTGGCTCTGGCCGTACAGGTTGGCGCGAGGTTGATTCTGTGTGTAGGGGTTGCTCTGGGGGCGAGACTGAGCAACTGGGTTCATGTCACCGTGGTCGTCGTAGAGCCGCTGCAACAAAAAAGAGAATTTCTTCATTGGAGAATTGCAACACCAAACACTCATACCGCAGATCTCATTCATTTTCTGCTCAGTTCCTTCTCTTGGTGCATACTGACCGAGTTCCCCCCCGCTGGAAACAGGTTTTGTCCTCTGCTGCTCGGAGTCATCTCCATGTTGGCTCTTTTTTCCCAACTGTTTGTGGCGGTGGCCCTTGGGATCCGAGGCGCCCCGGCACTGGGGAAGCCTGACATCCTGTTGGCCGGCCCACTATACGGGGCATGCTGGCTTTGAGCTGAACCGCCGTTAGCCATTGATTGCTTGGTAGGAGGCAGTCTGGCGTATGGCTCCATGTCTCCACTTTTCTCGTTCTTGGAGACCTTCTTTGAGTATCTAACAAGATGATAGAACGTTGACATTACTCTACTGTTACTGTATTATTTGCTAAATGTGGACGCCTGAAATAAAACAGCCAGTTTAACACCAGCCAATCTTGTTGCTATTAAATACGGTTCATTATTCATTTGACTGGCTACATAAAAGTTAATGAGTATAGACGGAAACATGATGAAGAAATGGCACGGGCAATAGTGAATGGCTGAGTAAATAGATGAACTCACTTGTGCACCAATACAGGCAGAAGAATGAGCGCGATGAGCAGCAGGCCCCCGAGCACGGTGCCGGCGATGACCAAACTCAGCTTCCAGGCTAACAAAACACAATGAGAAGAACATCAATAAGAAGGCTACGCTGTTAATCGGTCCTCTCCAACTAACTTCATAAAGTGTTTCACTTATCAAGTGAAAGTTATGAAAGTTGATTTCAACATAGCAAGGTTTTGAATTATCGCAGAAGGCTTTAAAAATATATGCCTTGGGTTCTGTTAACATTTAAACGATGTAACAGAAAATGCAGTTGCCATAGAGACCATATGCAAACACCACTGGACATGCAGCAGTTACTGCATGTCCTACATCACTCACTCTACAATATTGATTTTATGTCAATCCCTAAGAGGTTGTTACTTTAACTCTCAAAAACAAGCATATTGTATACTCACTTTCCCCACAGTTAAAACCAGAATAACCAAAGGGACAACTAAAAGACAGGAAGAACAATTCATTTAATGGTTTTATCTATTAAACAAGCTTTCTATAACCAGAGGTCATATCTACAGTGCCTCTCATTTTTTATCTTAACACTACGATGTGCATGAAGTATTAACTAGATACACACAATGTGAAATTTAAACACTCACTCGACACATTCTTTGGAGTCTTTAGCTTTTTTACCACTAGGACACGCTGCAAAAACAGAAAAGGTTGAGATTATTTTAGATCTTTTAGATAGAAAATAAATGTTATTATAACACACACAAACACATAAATGCAAACAGACTAACTCTTTTAGACAAACTAAATTTCCTTACCTATGCACAACCTTTTACCGAAGTCTGTCTTAATGAATTGTTCCAAACAGGTGCAAGTAAAGTCTCCATCTTGCGGTTCGCATTTTGTAGTATTATCACAGGGATTCAAAGCACACAAAGGTTCGTCTACATATCAGGGATAAAAAGAAGACTCATTCAGTTCACCTATATAAATAAGTACAGAGGTACAAAACAAACAATGAATGGATATGAATTTTCAGTGTGCTGGTAGCACTTGAAAGATGACCTCATTGGCTGAAGGATACACACAGACCACTTTCTGTACGATGATAAAAGGCCATGGCATGTATATGTAATCAGATTTAAACATAAATTAGTATTTCAAAATCATCACTAACGTTTTAGAATTTTGACAGTTGGGTAATTTTAACCAATGGCTCACAATGTTAAATAATAATTGGCCACAATGTCTGCCGTTAAAAATACCTAAATAAATAAATAAAAAACAAAACGTACAGAAAACCATATAAAGATGTGCAAACAGCATTTAAAAGTAAAGCTCTGGCTGAAAACTAATCTTATTTTTATTTAGAGCCAATTCAAACTTCAAACAAGATATAGTTCACAAACTTACTCTTAAATTGTGCACCCTTCAGTAAGCAATCCGCACAGTCTACGGCAGCTTTCATCTGCTTTAGAACGTCCGTTTCTTTAATCTCAGCACCTTTTTTGAAGATGATCTCTACAGTTGCATTTACTGTCCCTGAAGCCCTCGCTGACATTGACCAAACTTTGCTTTGTACAGGCGACCTATAGAGAAGAAAATCCCACACAATCATGACTACATTCTGCAATTTTAAGTGCAATATGCACGTAGGTGTGCTGTAGGCTCTGTAAGTGACAGAGGGAAGGTGAAACCTTTGGGACTTACGCCTTACTGATTTCCACCACTGTCGATCCGGAGAAAGAAGTATCATCCTTGAAAACCATCGTAATCTGTATTTTAGGAGAAAATGATAACATTTTGGTTCGGGATTTGATCAATTTAACTACGGCATTTGATGGACATTGTGAAGCAGTTTAGTAGTATTATTTATTTCAATAGTTAATCATTGTTTATAACCGTCACACATCATTTCAAGTAAACATGGTCGTATATCTGCTGGTTCTTCATTGCTGTCACAGCCCTTTGTGTTCTCCCTCACTCTATTCTCTCAGAACAACAATCATAAACCTCACATTATGACAACCGCCTCTCTGTGTTTTATTGTTGTTTTATTCTCATTGTTGATGTGTTCAGAGTGTTATTCCTTTAACTGTTTCAGTTACTTATTTTTTTTTTACCGTATAAAGTGCCTTTGAATAATCTTTAAGGCGATGTACAACTTCAATATATTATTATTAAATATATCTATCGCTTCTGGGAAAGAATATGAAGAAAATAGATAACATAAAAGCAATGGGTGTGCATTACCTGGGACCTTGAAAAAAAAGGATCATAAAAAAAGTCAAAAATAATATAACTTCTCGCTTACCTCTTTGTTAATGTCTAAGGAAGCCTTTTTAAACTCTTGTGATGTCTTGTCAGCCATTTTTATATTGTATTCGAGGCCAGGCAAGGTTAGTTGTCCAGGAAAAACTTTGGCTTTAAAAGAAAAATATAATCTCAGATTCTGTTCATTTCAAAGAATTGTTCAACATTTAGACAAATTCCCTTTCTTGTTCATTACTAGACAAAAGTACCCAAAACCCAGTCTCATTTCTGTCAAAATAATAACAGCTACACTTAAGACAGCTGGAACAATAATCATTTTGCCTGGCAACACAGCGTAACGACAGGATGTCACAGTTCCAGTTCAAAATATATTCCATACCAGATGGTTTTTACAGGGTTTAGTTTTTGCGGATTATTTAAACAAACGTCTACATTAACACAACACTTTTTTTTCAAATAGCACAGATGAATAAAGGCCGACAATTTGGTAATCCCATAACATCACTTTCTAACCAAGAAATCCACAAACTAAAGACAAACACTCACCACTCTGACATGACTTGCTTTCAGTATCATAGGAATCACCAGCCAAACACAAGCATTCAAAGGTTTGATTGTGACGAGGCTCACAGGTGCTCCCATCGGAGCATGGGTTTCCATCACAGGGTTCTTCATGGTCAAATAATAAAAAACATCAATCACACACAGCAATATAAGCTTTGCGGTAGAATCTAAAAAAATTAAGTTTTAAAAGATGAAATTACCTAAAGGCTTTGTGGTTGGAGGATCTGTAGGAGGCTTTGGTGTTGTGGGTGAACCATCCGGATTTGCTGTTGTTGTTGAATCTTAAACAGTGGAAATAAACCTGTTGTTGTTATAGGTTCTACAGCTGTAATAGTCAGACATCAATCACACAAAAATGTAAGCATTCTGGCAGTATCTAAAAACTATTAATTTTTGAAACAGAAGAAAATAAAGTTTTAAAAGATGAAATTACCCGTAGGCTTTGTGGTTGGAGGATCTGTAGGAGGTTTCGGTGTGGTGGGTGAACCATCCGGATTTGCTGTTGTTGTTGAATCTTAAACAGTGGAAATAAACCTGTTGTTGTTATAGGTTCTACAGCTGTAATAGTCAGACATCAATCACACAAAAATGTAAGCATTCTGGCAGTATCTAAAAACTATTAATTTTTGAAACAGAAGAAAATAAAGTTTTAAAAGATGAAATTACCCGTAGGCTTTGTGGTTGGAGGATCTGTAGGAGGTTTCGGTGTGGTGGGTGAACCATCCGGATTTGCTGTTGTTGTTGAATCTTAAACAGTGGAAATAAACCTGTTGTTGTTATAGGTTCTCCAGCTGTAATAGTCAGACATCAATCACACAAACATTTAAGCATTCTGGCAGTATCTAAAAACTATTAATTTTTGAAACAGAAGAAAATAAAGTTTTAAAAGATGAAATTACCCGTAGGCTTTGTGGTTGGAGTATCAGTAGGAGGTTTCGGTGTTGTGAATGAACCATCCGGATTTGCTGTTGTTGTTGAATCTTAAACAGTGGAAATAAAGCTGTTGTTGTTATAGGTTCTATATCTGTAGTAGTCAGACATCAATCACACAAAAATGTAAGCATTCTGGTAGCATCTAAAAACAATTAAATTATGGAAACAGAAGAAAATAAAGTTTTAAAAGATGAAATTACCCGAAGGCTTGGTGGTTGGAGTATCAGTAGGAGGTTTCGGTGTTGTGGATGAACCATCCGGATTTGCTGTTGTTGTTAAATCTAAAACAGTGGAAATAAAGCTGTTGTTGTTATAGGTTCTATATCTGTAGTAGTCAGACATCAATCACACAAACATTTAAGCATTCTGGTAGCATCTAAAAACAATTAAATTATGGAAACAGAAGAAAATAAAGTTTTAAAAGATGAAATTACCCGAAGGCTTTGTGGTTGGAGTATCTGTAGGAGGTTTCGGTGTTGTGGATGAACCATCCGGATTTGCTGTTGTTGTTGAATCTTAAACAGTGGAAATAAACCTGTTGTTGTTATAGTTTCTACAGTTGTAGTCACCAAACCTGTTTTTGTAGGTTCTACAATGGTAATCACCTCACCTGTTGTTAAAGTTGCTAGAATTGTAGTCGCTGCACCTGTTGGTACAGGTTCTAAAGTTGTAGTCGCCACATCTGTTGTTACAGGTTGTACAGCTGTAGTAGCCACTCCTGTTGTTACAGGTTCTACGGTTGTAATCGCCGCACCTGTTGTTACAGGTTCTACAGTTGTAGTTGCCGCACTTGTTATTCCAGGTTCTACAGTTGTAATAGCCGCACCTGTTGTTACAGATTCTACAGTTGCCGTCGCCGCACTTGTTGTTCCAGGTTCTAAAGTTGTAATCACGGCACCTGTGGTTCCAGGTTCTACAGTTGTAATTGCCGCACCTGTTGTTACAGATTCTACAGTTGTAGTCGCCGCACTTGTTGTTCCAGGTTCTACAGTTGCAGTCGCCGCACCTGTTGTTACAGATTCTGCAGTTGTAACCGCCGCACCTGGTGTTACAGGATCTACAGTTGAAACCCCCGCACCTGTTGTTACAGGTTCTACAGTTGTAATCACCGAACCTGTTGTTATAGGTTCTAAAGTTGTAATTGCGCCACCTGTGGTTCCAGGTTCTAAAGTTGTTACAGCTTCCACAGTTGTAGTCGCTGCACCTGTTGTTGAAGGTTCTACAGTTGTAATCGCCGAACCTGTTGTTGTAGGTTCTAAAGTTGTAACCGCGCCACCTGTGGTTCCAGGTTCTAAGGTTGTTACAGCTTCCACAGTTGTAATCGCCGAACCTGTTGTTGTAGGTTCTAAAGTTGTAATCGCCGAACCTGTTGTTGTAGGTTCTAAAGTTGTAATCGCCGCACCTGTGGTTGCAGGTTCTAAAGTTGTTACAGCTTCAACAGTTGTAGTCGCTGCACATGTTGTTGTAGGTTCTACAGTTGTAATCGCCGAACCTGTTGTTGTAGGTTCTACAGTTGTAATCGCCGAACCTGTTGTTGTAGGTTCTAAAGTTGTAATCGCGCTACCTGTGGTTCCAGGTTCTAAAGTTGTTACAGCTTCCACAGTTGTAGTCGCTGCACCTGTTGTTGTAGGTTCTACAGTTGTAATCGCCGAACCTGTTGTTGTAGGTTCTAAAGTTGTAATCGCGCCACCTGTGGTTCCAGGTTCCAAAGTTGTTACAGCTTCCACAGTTGTAGTCGCTGCACCTGTTGTTGTAGGTTCTACAGTTGTAATCGCCGAACCTGTTGTTGTAGGTTCTAAAGTTGTAATCGCGCCACCTGTGGTTCCAGGTTCTAAAGTTGTTACAGCTTCCACAGTTGTAGTCGCTGCACCTGTTGTTGTAGGTTCTACAGTTGTAATCGCCGAACCTGTTGTTGTAGGTTCTAAAGTTGTAATCGCGCCACCTGTGGTTCCAGGTTCCAAAGTTGTTACAGCTTCCACAGTGGTAGTCGCTGCACCGGTTGTTGTAGGTTCTACAGTTGTAATCGCCGAACCTGTTGTTGTAGGTTCTAAAGTGGTAATCGCGCCACCTGTGGTTCCAGGTTCTAAAGTTGTTACAAGTTCCACAGTGGTAGTCGCTGCACCTGTTGTTGTAGGTTCTACAGTTGTAATCGCCGAACCTGTTGTTGTAGGTTCTAAAGTAGTAATCGCGGCACCTGTGGTTCCAGGTTCTAAAGTTGTAACAGCTTCCCACAGTGGTAGTCGCTGCACCTGTTGTTGTAGGTTCTACAGTTGTAATCGCCGAACCTGTTGTTGTAGGTTCTAAAGTTGTAATCGCGCCACCTGTGGTTCCAGGTTCTAAAGTTGTTACAGCTTCCACAGTGGTAGTCGCTGCACCTGTTGTTGTAGGTTCTACAGTTGTAATCGCCGCACCTGTTGTTGTAGGTTCTAAAGTTGTAATCGCGCCACCTGTGGTTCCAGGTTCTAAAGTTGTTACAGGTTCCACAGTTGTAGTCGCTGCACCTGTTGTTGTAGGTTCTACAGTTGTAATCGCCGAACCTGTTGTTGTAGGTTCTAAAGTAGTAATCGCGGCACCTGTGGTTCCAGGTTCTAAAGTTGTTACAAGTTCCACAGTTGTAGTCGCTGCACCTGTTGTTGTAGGTTCTACAGTTGTAATCGCCGAACCTGTTGTTGTAGGTTCTAAAGTTGTAATCGCGCCACCTGTGGTTCCAGGTTCTAAAGTTGTTACAGCTTCCACAGTTGTAGTCGCTGCACCTGTTGTTGTAGGTTCTACAGTTGTAATCGCCGAACCTGTTGTTGTAGGTTCTAAAGTACTAATCGCGCCACCTGTGGTTCCAGGTTCTAAAGTTGTTACAGCTTCCACAGTTGTAGTCGCTGCACCTGTTGTTGTAGGTTCTACAGTTGTAATCGCCGAACCTGTTGTTGTAGGTTCTAAAGTTGTAATCGCGGCACCTGTGGTTCCAGGTTCTAAAGTTGTTACAAGTTCCACAGTTGTAGTCGCTGCACCTGTTGTTGTAGGTTCTACAGTTGTAATCGCCGAACCTGTTGTTGTAGGTTCTAAAGTACTAATCGCGGCACCTGTGGTTCCAGGTTCTAAAGTTGTTACAGCTTCCACAGTTGTAGGCGCTGCACCTGTTGTTGTAGGTTCTACAGTTGTAATCGCCGAACCTGTTGTTGTAGGTTCTAAAGTTGTAATCGCGCCACCTGTGGTTCCAGGTTCTAAAGTTGTTACAGCTTCCACAGTTGTAGTCGCTGCACCTGTTGTTGTAGGTTCTACAGTTGTAATCGGGAACCTGTTGTTGTAGGTTCTAAAGTTGTAATCGCGGCACCTGTGGTCCAGGTTCTAAAGTTGTTACATCTCCACAGTTGTAGTCGCTGCACCTGTTGTTGTAGGTTCTACAGTTGTAATCGCCGAACCTGTTGTTGAGGTTCTTGAGTATAATCGCGGCACCTGTGG